TCAAAGGCAAACTTGTTTCAGTGAGAATAAAACCACATTTCTCATCTCACTGACTTAAAATATAACATATCTATCATATAATGATATTTATTCTCATTCCAAGCAGCCAATGATTTGATCAATAACTCGAATTAAAGGATCTTTCGAGGATCGTTCCTCATATGAACACTGTTCGTTCCTCCTGTTGGTATTGGACATTAAGGTCTGTCTCCTGGGTAGCAACAGTGGAGAGATGACTCAATCAGTGATTCATCAAACATTTAGAAAATAATTCCAGGCCAAGGAGAGATTTCTGTTTCCATCGAACCACAGCGAGCAGACGTCTGATTGGCTGGTTGAGTTTACAACCTGAACACATCTGTGGATTTCCTTTATTAAAACACGGGTTTCTGTTGGTTTAGAGATAACTGGATCAATAATAATAATGATAATAATGATCAGTAAGACTGATGGAACGTCCCCGTTAAAGAAGGACTGCTGGTCACGTTTCCCTCCGCCCTGCAGGAACCACCGGGCCAAGAAGCCGACTCAGGAGAGCGACAACACCACCTTCAGCGGCGGGGAGGACAACGGTGACGCCCGCTCCCACCTGTCTCACGACTCCGCCCCCTCGCACACCCCTCACCGCCCGGGCCAGACGCCCTCGGAGGCCGGGCCGAGCCGCAAGCGCCCGCGGGCGTCCGACGATGGCTCGGGGCCCGAGGCGGACAGCGGCAGCCCCACACCTCCGCTGAGACGCCACAAAGAGGGGCCGGGCTCCGAGATCGAGCTGGTGTTCAGACCGCACCCGCAGCTCGTCCACGACCAGGACTACAACCAGACCAGGTGAGGCCGGACCCGAGGGCGCCGGAGACTTACGCCTGTGGCTGCGGCGGGATTCCTAAAAACTGCTGTTTAAATTTAAAAACAGGAAACGTAGTCCGGTGATTTATTCTCAAACGTCTTTTGCAGGTTTGTGAAGACGACCGCCAACGCCACAGTGGACCACCTGTCTAAATACCTCGCCCTGCGCATCGCTCTGGAGGACGGACAGACCAACGGGGAGCCGGAGGACAGAGGACGGGAGGAGGGAGGAGGAGGAGGAGGAGAAACAGGAAGTGGAGAAGGGTCGAGTCTGAGCAGCGTCAGTGAGAAACAGTACACCATCTACATCATGACGAGAGGAGGACAGTTCTCCGTGAGTACGACTCGCTCTTACAGCCGATCACAGGATGAAGCATTTTAACCCGTTAACGTCCACAGACGCCGCGGCGCAGGTTTCTCCAGTTAGTCACTGCGCGTTGCTCTTTATGTTCCAGGTAAACACCTCTGCAGCAGCAAAGGTTAGGACATTTAACCTCCTTTCATACACACATTTTCTGTTACAACGTAGATTCATTCAGAGATCTGCTGGGTTTTTTTCCTGGTCCAGTGTTTCCATTAACAGACCTGTTCTAATGTGTTCCTATGAGATTAAATGAGTGTGATACAGAAAGGGCTTCGGAAGGGGCTTTATTAAGACACCATCTTTATGTGAAATCAAACATTTTGTTGTGTTTCTACGTCAGATTTAACCGGAAACAATCAGTGAGGCTTTTAACAAACTAAATATGAGTCACTAGTCCCGACTGGCTTAAAGTCTCCTCTTCTGTTTCTCTACAGGAACTCAAACACATTTTATTAAGTCAAACTGTTCCTCTGAGGAACACCTGAGATAATTAAACATTGGTGGAGAAATGATTTTACCACATCTGGTTTTATCTGACTGACGATTTAAAACCATAAACTATAAATAAACCCGTCTGTGTGAGGGCCCCTGTAGTCTGTGTGAGGGCCCCTGTAGGTTGAGGTCTGAGCTCTGGTGGATCCGGCTCCATGTGAACTCACTCTGTCTCCCCTCAGACGCTGAACGGCTCTCTGACTCTGGAGCTGGTCAACGAGAAGTACTGGAAGGTCCGGAAGCCTCTGGAGCTTTACTACGCCCCGACCAAGGAGCAGCAGCAACCGGCACAGCAGCCTCAACAGAAGTCTCCTCCTCCTCCACCACCTCCTCCTCCTCCACCACCACCTCTTCCTCCTCAGAGGGAGGCGTGAGTTGGAGACGCTCACCGCTTCAACCACACGTCTCCGCCTGAAGGTCAAAGTTCACCCATTTCCAAACGTACCGACGTTAACGGTTGTTTGAAGAGTGAAATCTGACCTGAGATCAGCAGCCGGTAAACGTCTGTACTGAAGATCTGGGATCAGAAACCTGGAGGCACCAGTAGGATCTCTTTCCTCTCTGGCTTTATTATCTTATTACTTATAAATATTAAAATCTGTGCAGAGTCTGCTGCGGCCTCGAGCTGCTCCGATCGGCAGGTTTCACTTTTATTACTTTTATTTATTCCTCCTAAGAACAGATAGAAATATTGGAGCACATTTCAGACAGGAACTATTAAAATTCAATTAAATATGTCGTCAAATTTAAACGTTTTAAGTAACAATTTCTAAACTGGGATAATCTTAGAATAGTATGTTTTTCTGCAGGTTACATTTAAGACTTTATTAATGAAATTTAAGACCTATTTTATGTCCATGACGGCAGAAAAATAAATAAAAACCACTAAAGATATGACGGATAATCGATATTGGTTCCGTATCGGTTTGGTTTTGTAGTTAAAGCACGATCAATACAGATCTTTCCCCAAAAAAACACATTTAAAAGATAAAAACAAATACAACTTTAAACTACTAACGTGTGAAATAATGTTTTTTATTTATTTTACTTTATTTTGGGACCAGTTTATATTCCAGCAGGACAAAGGCGGCTTTATTTACCGCCTGTAGACTTTTTATAAAATTTAAAATTAAGAATTAAATTAAAAGAATGAACTCAAGAGTCTCCATATCGGGGAGACAAATATTTGAATCCATCTGTAATGTTTAAATATTTAAGGCCTAAAATTGAGATTATCGGGTAAATTAGCGTCTCATCATTTTAAATTCTGTCCGATATGTGAAAGTTATTTTCTCCATAAATATCACCAAAGATGTAAAGTCTAATAATCTGAACATTTACTTCACTTTAGTTCACTGAAGTTAATAGAAGCTCGTTTCTGAGGAGAAAAAAGATCCTGTAAGTAATTATAGAGAAACTTTATTTAAAGTTTCTCGTTATAATTACTAACAGGATCTTTTTATTTCCCGTCACATTGGCAGAAATTAGCTTCCGTAGCAGTTTATTGATCTCGTTTGACTTCAGAAATAATCTGAATAATAAAGAAACGTCTCCGTCTTTCTTTTTTTCTTTCTTTGATTTCATTTCACGACTGAAGCGCTGTGCTGCGTTCGCTGGTCACGGAACCAGTGTGGGACCTCTCGGCACTGATGAATAATAAGTCATTACTTCTTTAAACGCACCATCGCTTGTTCAAGCTGCTTATTCTGCTTTAAGGGCTGTGGAGGAGATAGAGCCTATCCCAGAATGCACTGGGGTAAGACAGGGTGAATATACATCTGCTATATTTTACAATAAACAATTTTCTTATTTTCCCGCCTCTCGAGATGTAGCTGTTTGACCCTCTTGACCTCCTGTAAAGTGTTTTATTATTAGTAGGTCTGCATTAATCACAGGGAGATCGCCGCTCATGAAGCCATAAACCTCCACTTTCTGTCTTTATGCACTTTATAGTTCCTGCAGCCATATTCAGTTTTTATGGAATATTTGTATATTAAGAACAATTTATGATGAATATTTCCTTTTTCTTCTGTTGGATAATAATTAACTCTTCTGTCAGCACAATAAAATCAATAATCTCACGTTTGGTGTCAAATGTTTTAAAGTTATTTTATGTTTAAGAGTTTCTATGGTGACTGTTTGATGCCACCAGAGTCCTTTTAAAGATGGTTAAATGTCTCCGAAGTGAAAGATGGAACCAGGACAGACAGATTTTATCAACTGTGGCTTTATTGAAACGAGGGGAAGCAGGGAGTTTACTTCTTCTTGGACACACCGACGGTGCGACCGCGACGGCCGGTGGTCTTGGTGTGCTGACCGCGCACACGCAGACTGGAAGGAAAAACAGAGGTTCAGAGTTTAAAATAAAGAACATGTGAAAGTCTGACAATTAAAGAATAAAACTAATTCATCTGATGACACACTGAGAACCTGTTGGTCAAACTTTAATATAAAATCAGGATTAACTGAAATACTTCTGTTAAAGTCTCAGAATAAACAGCAGGAGCCTCCTCTGTGTTAATGTGAGACAGATAATAGAGTTTATGATGGAGGAGCAGCTGCAGAGCTACGATCATATTCTGACTAAATGTTGTCGGCAACTAAACAAAGACAATAAAACATGAAACAGGATTTAAAGAGAGATTCTTTTCTTAAAGCGTCATTATAAAAAGCAGGTTTGTGTAATTCTCTTTAAAGATATACAGACAGCTGTAACTGCTCTCTAATGAGATCCAGTCTCTGGTGAAGAGGACAGACAGACAGGATCAGATGTCTTACCCCCAGAAGTGCCTGAGACCACGATGAGCCCTGATCTTCTTCAGCCTCTCCAGATCTTCTCTCAGCTTGTTGTCCAGACCGTTGGCGAGGACCTGGAGCGAGACGCAGCGACAGCGGAGACGTTCGTTAGTTCACACCAACCACAAACCGCCACAGTATATCTATAGAATACTGTATCTGCTCTCCTCTACTCATCTGCCCTCTGTAACCCTGAACTGACTGACGACCATGTGACGGACACTAGAGACATTAGAGCTGATATTTATTTCACATTTCATTTTGCTGAAGAAATCATTTCCAGAACAACACAGCAGCACTGGCTAACAATCGACCTGAAAATACAATGTCAAATATTCCCATAACTGGAAAACTATAGTGTCTAAAGTCCTGGGTTTCCAGGTTTTCCAGGATGTGTGGGAGTTTACGACTCTGACAGACAGTTGAGACGTTTAAAAGGCCGATATAATAACGATTGATTGGAGGAAGCAGACAGCTGGTCACCTACCTGGCTGTATTTGCCATCCTTGACGTCTTTCTGCCTGTTGAGGAACCAGTCTGGGATTTTGTACTGGCGAGGATTCTGCATGATGGTCACCACACGCTCCACCTGAGACACAAACACAGGACGGTGAACACAGGACGCCAACAACAGACAGCTGGAAGCACAAACTGCACACAGACACACAGACTGTGTGCTGAGAGAGACAGACAGAGAGGGAGACAGAGAGAGAGGGAGACAGACAGAGAGAGAGACACAGAGAGAGAGACAGAGACACACAGAGAGAGAGACACAGACAGAGAGGGAGACAGAGAGACAGACAGGCAGACAGAGAGAGACAGAGAGGGAGACACAGAGAGAGAGACAGACAGAGAGGGAGACAGAGATGACAGACAGGGAGACAGAGAGAGACAGAGAGGGAGACACAGAGAGAGAGAGAGGGAGACAGACACACAGAGAGAGAGAGAGAGACGGAGACACAGAGAGACAGAGAGAGAGACACAGACAGAGAGACAGAGAGAGAGACACAGACAGAGAGGGAGACACACAGAGAGAGAGGGAGACACACAGAGAGAGAGGGAGACACACAGAGAGAGAGAGGGAGACACACAGAGAGAGAGAGGGAGACAGACAGAGAGAGAGAGGGAGACACACAGAGAGAGGGAGGGAGACAGACACAGAGAGAGGGAGGGAGACAGACACAGAGAGAGGGAGGGAGACAGACACAGAGAGAGGGAGGGAGACAGACACAGAGAGAGAGAGGGAGACAGACACAGAGAGAGGGAGGGAGACAGACAGACAGAGAGGGAGGGAGACAGACACAGAGAGAGAGACACAGAGAGAGAGGGAGACACACAGAGAGAGGGAGAGACACAGAGAGGGAGACAGACACACAGAGAGAGAGGGAGACACACAGAGAGAGAGGGAGACACACAGAGAGAGAGGGAGACACACAGAGAGAGACACACAGAGAGAGAGGGGAGACAGAGAGAGAGAGAGAGAGACAGAGAGAGAGACACACAGAGAGAGAGACAGACAGAGAGAGGGAGGGAGACAGACACAGAGAGAGAACACAGAGAGAGAGAGAGACACACAGAGAGAGAGAGAGACACACAGAGAGAGAGGGAGACACAGAGAGAGAGGGGAGACACACAGAGAGAGAGAGAGACACACAGAGAGAGAGAGAGAGAGAGAGAGAGAGAGGGAGACAGACACACAGAGAGAGGGAGACACAGAGAGAGAGAGAGGGAGACACACAGAGAGAGAGGGGAGACAGAGAGAGAGAGGTAGACAGACAGACAGAGGGAGACAGACACACAGAGAGAGGGAGACAGACACACAGAGAGAGGGAGACAGACACACAGAGAGAGGGAGACAGACAGACAGACAGAGGGAGACAGACAGACAGACAGACAGACAGAAGAGACAGAGGAACTTCCTGTCTGATAACTGACTCATGTTTCACAGAACCAGGAAGAATGAACTGAACTTTATCTGGAGGTCTTATAGAGACAATCTACACATTAACCACCACCAACATATAAAATATAATAAAATATAAAATATATTAAACTATAATAAAATATAATAAACTATAACTGGAAGCAGCGGCTGAATAAAGTGAACATGTTCTCTAACGGGAGCGTTCAGTCTCTTTAATCTGATCCTCAAGAACACGATCTTATTGCTCCTTATCATACTAATAATCAATAATCGATCAGCTGACCGTCTACAACAGCACATATCCTCACCTCCTCATCAGTCAGCTCTCCCGCTCTCTTGCTGAGGTCGATGTCGGCCTTCCTCAGGACGACGTGGGCGTAACGTCTGCCGACACCCTGAGAGACATTAACACAGAGTGAGTGACCCGACCTCACAGGTGAGCGCCAGGTGAGCGCGCTGCAGGCGAGCACGCTGCAGGCGAGCACGCTGCAGGTGAGCGCGCTGCAGGCAGACACGCTGCAGGTGAGCTCGCTGCAGGTGAGCACGCTGCAGGCGAGAGCACGCTGCAGGTGAACCGCTGCAGGCGCAGGTGAGCGCGGGCACTCACTGCAGCGGACGCGGGCGCTTTAATAACGCGGCGCCGTGCAGAGAGAACCAGCTCACCTTGATGGCGGTGATGGCGAAGGCGATCTTCCTCCTGCCATCGATGTTCGTGTTGAGAACACGAAGAATGTGCTGGAACTTCTCGGGGATGACCAAAGACTGAAACCACAAACAGATCATGTGATCAGATTATTGATTGATTGACTATTGATCAGCTCCTACAGCGCTGAATGGAGGCAACCTTTATTAACTCCTTCACAAACACACAAACAGATTTATTGTTCCAACACATTATATTCTGTTCCACAGGCTGCTGGAGCTGCTTTACCCAACTTCAAACCAACTTCAAACCAACTTCAACCAACATTTACCCCCCTTAGAGAGTATTATTTACCCCCCCGGTGTGACTCTGCCGCCTCCCAACGTGATGCTACCGACATGTTAACACTTTGGGAATATTTCTGGAACTTTTCTGTAACTGTGCCAGAGTGGAAGACGAACTGTAACCGGACATAAATTCTGCTTTAACCCGGGATTAAACCCAGCGCTGCCTCCGTTAGCGTTAGCCCGGGTCAGCGCGGGAACTAAACCGCGTTAAAAGTCTATTTCTGAGTCTAATACATCAACAATTCAACGTCCCTCCGCTCGCTCAACGTCTTTAAAACTCACCATGAGTGTAACAGTGATAGGATAGTGAGTCTGACGCGAGATGATTGCGGATTAGAGAAGAAGTCCCGCTCGGTGGAAAACGTACTCACCATCTTGGAAGGAGGTTCCGTGCGAAGAGGAAGTCCACGAGATCTCGCGAGAGTTTCACCCTCTTCGGGAACGGAAGTCAGTGCATCACTTTTAAATCAGTCCGAGCGGAAAGTTAAACACCGGTTAACATAAAGTGAATCTGAAGCTATTATATTATTTATTATTATTATTATTATTATTATTATTATTATTATTATTATTATATAGCTTATTCTTCTCACGCTGTTTATAATCGTGTTCATATTTTATCTTAACAAACGTAAAGACGCCTTTTTGTTTTAAGGTCGACGAGGCGGAACTTTACATTTGTAGTTTTGTTTCTAACGGGATGGTAAAGTGACCGTGATGGCGGACGGAGCTGCGGCCGCGGTGGGAGCTGCTGTCGATGTAAACACAGCTGGGAACGCGACAGACATCGCGATGGCGTATTTACAGGACGAGGTGAAGTTTGGTTCCTTCTGTTTTAATCAGCTGTTGTTCAAATACAACGACAATATTCACCGTCGGACCGCTGCTTCCGGTTAGCATTCCCAACCGGAGGCTGCGACCGTCTGCGGCTGCGCACAGTAACAGCTGTTCTAAAGAATACATATTATTGTTATTATTATTATTGTTATTATTATTATTATATGTAAATATGTTTATATTTTATATTTTTATCGAGTTGTTGATTTTAACAAAGGTTTATTTATGTAGCTTGAAGCTAATGTAGCTGTTAGCATCGAAACACCGTAAAGCGCCTGAACGCGTCACGTGACAACACGTCACAGTTTAAACTGTTTAATAATAAATAACAACAACAATAATAACAACAACAACAATAACAATAATAACAATAATAATAATAACAACTATCCAATCCAACTTTATTTGTTAAGTACTTTAAAAACAACCAAAGTGCTGTACAGGAGAATAAATGATAATAATGATTATAATAAATAATAATAATAATTGTAATGATAGTAATATAATAATAATAACAATCATTACAACAACTATGATGGTAATAATAAATAATTATAAAAATAACAACAACAATAATAAATAATAACAACAACAATAATAAAATAATAATAATAATAATATTTATTATAATTATTATAATAACAACTATGATGATAATAATAAAAATATAATAAAATTATTATAATAATAATAATAACAACTATGAAATAATGGTTATAATAAATAATAATAATAATAAGTAATAATAATAATAATAATAAATAAATAATAACAATCATTACAACAACTATGATGATGATAATAATAATAATTATAATGATAATAATAATATAATACTACAATAACAATAATAATAATAACAACTATGATAATAATGGTTATAATAAATAATAATAATTATAATAACATTTGTATAATGCTTTTTTTTTTTTTTTTACCAATGTTACAAAGTGCTTCACTAAGAAATAAAACCATAATAATAATAATAATAATAATAATTATTGATCACAGTCATAAAAAGAAAATGTTCTCTGTGATTGACATTTTATTGACTAACTCAATAACTGATGAATGAATGGTAACTCGTGTTGAACATAAACACTGAGACAAATAGAAATAATATCTGTGTGTGACGTTTTCCTAGAACACTGAAGGAGAGATCCCCAACCTCAACCTGGGAGAACTGGACCTCACCACTGACGAGTTCATCCTGGATGAAGTGGACAGTGAGACAACCTTCATCATCAATAATATAGTGATCAGTTCAGATTAAATGAGCCGTAGTCATCGTGTTTAAACTGTATGTTTGTCTGTGAGCGTTTAATCTTTAATACAGGAATATACTGCGAGGTTTTATCAACATTTGAACATTTTAATGTATTTTTAAAGTCGTATCTGGATCCTATAAAAGCTCCTGTACGGAGGAAACTACAGGTTTAATGTCCCTCTGTCTGTCTCCTGCAGTTCACATCCAGGCCAATCTGGAGGACGACCTCGTGAAGGAGGCGCTCAAAACGGTGAGAATATATCGCCACCCTAATGTTTGACCCTTCTCCGGCCGGAGGTCAGGATACAACGGGGGAATATTACCGCCAGTGGCCAGTTCCTCCTGCACCCTTCAGCTGGTTGCAGTCTGCAACTTCACCACTAGATGGCACTAAATCTCAGACACTGTCCTTCAGAAACACACTCCTCTTTCTTGGGTTCATGAGCCCAAATACAGTTATTAATATAAGTCAACTATGAGCCAATATTAGGTATATATTCCTCTGGTTGGACTCTGTGTGTATCAGTAATCTTCCCTCCATCTGTTTCAGGGCGTTGACCTCCGTCAGTACTCCAAACAGGTGGAGTCGGAGCTGCAGAGGATTGAACAGGCCTCCATCAAAGACTGTATCCTTCCTGTTGTAACACTGCATTGTTGTTCAGGTTGGACTGGATCTTTACTACCTGGTTGTTTATTGGCAGGTTGAAGTTTTCCTGTGGTTGTTCTTCCTGACTGTCCGTCTGTCAGACATCAAGGAGAGTCAGAACATCGCTCTGCTGCACAACCAGATCACCGCCTGTGACTCCATCCTGGAGGTAAGACGGGACGCCTTCACCCTGATCCCACAATCCTCGGCGTGACGAGGTCAGACAGTGAGTCAGCACAAGTGTGGACGTCCGAGAACATTCAGATCACAGATGAACTCGCTGCCTGAACTCTTTACTCGTTCTTAAAGTAGACGAGACGTTGGCAGTTGGCAACCGCCGGTCTACAATATGTCCCCGACCCAGTTCGTCCAACCTTTTCTCTAAAATGAGCTCTTTTCTATCACTGAGTAAACTGATATATTTTATGTATATTTCACATTATTCAGTAATAACAATAACAGTAGAGAACAGCTGACTCAATAACTGCAGGAAGTTTGTGTAAAAACAGAGATTTGGATGAATTCTGAGTATCAGAGATGAGTTTTCTCATATTTTTAGGAACTTTTTAACAATCATTCAGACTTAATGGGCAATTTCTCTTCTCACTGACGCTTTGCTCTCGTAATATTGGCTCTGTAGTTGTTTTAACTGCCTCTTTCAGGACAAAAAGAGCTGCATCCTCCCAGTGAGATAAAGTAGAACTTCAACCATCGAAGGCACAAACATTAACCTTCACTCTCTGTCTGTCTGTCTGTCTGTCTGTCTGTCTGTCATTCTCTCAGCGGATGGAGGGCATGCTGAGCGGCTTCCAGAGCGACCTGTCCTCCATCAGCAGCGAGATCCAGACTCTGCAGCAGCAGTCGGTCAGCATGAACGTACGGCTGAAGAACAGGCAGGCGGTACGCAGCCACCTCAGCCAGCTGGTGGACGAGCTGGTGGTGCCCGGAGCCATGATCTCGTAAGTGAATGGACAGAGAGAGAGACAGAGTGTGAGAGACAGAGTGTGATACCGTTTGTGTCTGACGTTTGTCTCCGTGGTGTCGCAGCACCATCATGGACAGCCCGGTGACGGAGCAGGACTTCCTGGAGCAGCTCCACGAGCTCAACAACAAGATCAACTTCGCCAAAGAGCTGAGCTTCAGAGAGACGCTGGCCTGCTCCGATATCCAGGACATCGTCGACCGCCTCAAACTCAAGGTGAGACAGAGAGTGAGACATAGAGAGTGAGACATAGAGAGAGACAGAGAGAGAGAGAGAGACAGAGAGGAGAGAGAGACATAGAGAGAGAGAGAGTTCTTCGTTTTACACATTTATTAACGATTATTATCAGTTCAATTGTTTGTCCTGTAAAGTCCCGTTACAGTCCTCCTGCAGCCCAAAGTGCCTCAGTCAGAACAACCAACAGTTCAGAACTCATAAATATTAAATATATTACACTTTTGTGAGAATTTTGTTCTTTAAAAACATCGACTTGAAACATTTTGACTCTTGGCTGAGTCGATAAAAAGAAAATGTGAGAAAATGCATCAGATTGTGTCCTGAAACGTGGCTCAGTATCAGATCTGTGCGGAGCGATGAGGAGACTGTAACCTTCCTCACTGAAACGTCTGATTTCCATCGTTGGAGCTTTGACTGGAGCTCTTTTAGTGACCGTAGTTTAAAAGAGAATCAGCTCCATCAACCAATGAACACATGTTCTGTGAATGGAAACAAACATTTATATTTTATTTTGGTGATTTCTTTGGAAAATGTTTGTCTTTTAGCTTGAAAATGGACTTGATTTATTTTCTCAGATGAAGATTGATATGAAACTATATTAATATTAATATCTGACTTCAGGCGGTGTCAAAGATCCGAGAGTTTATCCTTCAGAAGATTTACTCCTTCAGGAAGCCGATGACCAACTACCAGATCCCCCAGAACACCTTGCTGAAGTACAGGTGAGTCGGTTACTGAAGGGATAACGTTCATTACAGTGGTTTTACGTTGCTGTCCGACAGCCTTTACAACGGGAGGATGAGGCCTTATATCGCTCCCTTCAAAGCCACCTGACTCCATTGATAGAAACAGTACTTTTACCTCACAGATTACGGGAGTTTTCTGGTCTGTCGCTGCTTCGATCTGCAGAAAATAACATTAATTCAGATCCAAACTAACGTGTTTATACGACAGAGTATTAGGACCAGACTAAGAGAATTTTATTAATTAATTTTATTTTAACCAGCAACTCCTGTATCCTGTGAGGTAAAATCAATGGAGTCTGGCGGCTTTAAAGAGATCTTAGATCAATAGAGCAAGATACGTTTTTATTGAAGCTCTTTATTGACTGACACACTTTTATTTGCCTTTTTAGTCTTCCACATTATTTCTCATATGTTTAGTGTCTCTGTTGTCACATTAGTGTTGTTCTAAAATAAGTTGTCGAGGTATAAAAACACATTTAAAACTCGTCTGACTGGAAACGAACCGCCGGTGCGTCCTTTTGTCTTTTTCGTCCCGCTGTAGATTTTTCTATCAGTTCCTTTTGGCCAACGAGAGAACGGTCGCCAAGGAGATCAGAGACGAGTACGTGGACACGATGAGCAAAATCTACTACAGCTACTTCAAGTCGTACAGCGGCAGGTTGCTCAAAGTGCAGGTCAGTGGCTCCACGCAGGTCCTTTCACAATAAGATTCAGCAGTCTAGAGCTTTATATTAACTTACAGTTTATGTACTTTTATCTTCTTTGTTTCCTCAAATAAACAGATATCAGAAAACAGTTGAAAGAAACTGAAATAAACTATATTGTGTTATAGGAGCGCTTCATTTCTATCTCAAAGAAATAATCTGATATCTGTGTGTCCTGCAGTACGAGGAGGTTGCAGACAAAGACGACCTGATGGGAGTCGAAGACACAGCCAAGAAAGATATCCTTTAACCTGTGTGTGTGTGTGTGTGTGTGTGTGTGTGTGTGTGTGTGTGTGTGTGTGTGTGTGTGTGTGTGTGTGTGTCACTTTTAATGCTCCTTGACTTCCTGCTGCAGGTTTCTTCTCCAAACCGTCTCTGAAGAGCAGGAACACCATCTTCACTCTGGGCCAGAGGGGGACCATCCTGAGTCCTGCAGAGCTGGAGGGTCCGATCCTGGTCCCACACACCGCTCAGAGGGGAGACAGCAGGGTGAGACAGCTGAGAGAGAGACAGAGAGTGAGACAGAGAGAGAGAGAGACAGAGAGAGAAACCTGCATTCTTCCTAGTGGCCAGCAGGGGGAGCTCCACTCTGATAGTATTGACTCTTATGGAGAAATGAGTTTCTGGTCTCGGTCTCTAGTTTCAGTCTTCTTCCATTTAGAGTAAAATATAATCCCAACAGTATAATAAATAATATATAATAGAATAAATGTTTATCTCCGTTTGTCCTCCAGTATCCGTATGAGATGTTGTTTCGCAGTCAGCACTACGCTCTGCTGGACAACGGCTGCAGGGAGTACCTCTTCCTCTCCGACTTCTTCATGGTGGCGGGAAACTCCGCCCTCGACCTCTTCAACAGCATCATGGGAAAAACTCTGAGCATGTTCCTGGTAGGAAACAACGCAGCTTCTCTTTCTCTGTGTCTTTAAAGGCGGCAGGTTTGCGCCCTGAGCCTCCACTCAAACCACGTTTATTCATATAGTTTTAATATAGAGTCTGTAGAACATATGATACTGTTTCCTTATGCTGTTGATACAAACCCAACACTTCCTGCATCTCAAATGAAAGCCCTCAAAGCAGTTCAGCTGACAGAATCTCTGTATTCCTTAATACAATGACGCTTTTATTTTGAAATATTTGCAGGAACGTGTGTACGTTTATTGTAGCTACAGTTAATTTTATATATTATATATAAATATCTATATATATATAATACTTTATATTTTATCTTCTATTTTAGTTTTAATTCTATTCTTAAGGTTAGGGATTTTAATTTTAGTCTTATGTATGTTTAATGTATGTTTTGTATTTTGTATGCTACTGGATACTTGAATTTCCCTCGGGATAAATAAAGTATCTATCTATCTATCTATCTATCTATCTATCTATCTATCTATCTATCTATCTATCTACAAGATTAGATAGACTACAAAATACAGTTAGGCTGAGACACAGATACTCTTGCAGTGACTGACGACAGACAATAATACCAGTAATGTTTTAGATACTGGAGGTAATCTGCTGTATACTGAAGTAATCTGCTGTATACTGAAGTAATCTACTATATACTGAGTTAATCTACTGTATACTGAGTTAATCTGCTGTCCTGTCTCTGCTCCGTCTCTGCAGAAGAGTATGTCCACGTACGTGTCCGACTGCTACGACAGCATCGCCGTCTTCCTCTGCATCCACATCATCCTCCGGTTCAGAGCCATCACCGCCAAGAGGACCATCCCCGCCCTCGACAAGTCAGAGTCCCTTTAATATAAATATTATAATATTAATATAACTTCATTTAACATCAAACATTTTAAGTAAAACAAACTACATTCTTTAAGGTTAAAAACACGTTTAATCAAGTAGCTTTTGTAACTTTAAGTGACTTCATTTTGTTAGTTTGTGTTATTTACAATGTTCGATGTAATCCGTTTCAACTATTGTGTAAAAGAAGAGATAAAAACTTCAGTATAATGAATAAATATTAACAATGCTGAGAACTGGATCCATTAATACTAATGAAAGACTAGAACAATATTCAGTATAATTACAGTGTTAATGGAACCTGTATATTTATGGGATTGATCCATTATAGTGAATCTGTTTTGGTCTTTAAAGTCATGCGGCACATTCAGGGTTTCCAGGCGTCGTAGAGTCTAATTTTCCACTCATGGAAACACCTGGAAATTGATCAAATATCCTGGAAATAATCTTTGTTGTCCTGGAAAATGTTTAACTGTGTTTTAGCCCGACACTTATTATTTAAAGCTGCTGCGTATCGCTGGAAACTCAACTGTTGTGACAATTTAAAGCTGGTGAAGATATTAATGTGTGTGTGTGTGTGTGTGTGTGTGTGTGTGTGTGTGTGTGTGTGTGTGTGTGTGTGTGCAGGTACTGGGAGGCGGTGCTGGAGCTGCTGTGGCCGAGGTTTGAGATGATCCTGGAGATGAACATCCACAGCATCAGAAACACAGACCCTCAGAAACTGGGAGTACTGGATACCAGACCACACTACGTAGGTCCACACACACTCTCACTCACACACACACACACAGACAGAGACAGACACAGACAGACAGACACACACACACACTCACTCACACTCTCTCTCTCACTCTCACTCACACACACACACACACACTCCCTGCCGTCTCACTGTGTGTTTTTTACTGATTTCAGATCACTCGTCGGTACGCTGAGTTCTCGTCGGCTATCGTCAGCATCAACCAGACGTTTCCCAACGAGAGAACCAACAACCTGCTGGGACAGCTGCTGGTAACACACACACACACACACACACACACACACACACACACACACACATTTTGGTAGCAAAGTCAGTTAAATATATAAAAAAATTGGAAATAATGTGCAGGCATAAATGATAAAAGCGTTTATTTGTCCTCCAGATCGAGGTGGAGAACTTTGTGCTGAGGATGGCGGCGGAGTTTCCCTCCAGAAGAGATCAGCTCATCTTCCTCATCAACAACTACGACATGATGCTCAGCGTCCTCATGGTGAGCAGTTTGTTTCACCGCCATTAAACCGACACTGTTACTCACACGTTCCCCTCTCATCGAGCTTTATTCTGTGCTCCTGTTTGTCCAGGAGAGGGCAGCAGACGACAGTAAAGAGGTGGAAGGTTTCCAACAGCTGCTTCTGGCCAGGACGCAGGTAAACACCACAGAGGGATTATGGGAAACCTGTGTTACACTCACTACTTTTACTACTTTAACTTTTACTTCACCCTCTGTGCTCAGAGCTTTTATTTTGACACAATTGCAGGAATATTAAAAGTGAAAATAGAAACAGTTTAACAGCGTAGAAGGTTTTGTAATTATATATATATATATATATTATTATTATTATATATATATATATATATATATATTATTATTATTATAAGTAGCATGTTAGCAGTTCTTCTACATATTTCCTCTTATTTAAATGCAGAAATATAATGTTTAAAAATTCTAAATTGAAATGAACTTTTCTTCTAATTAAATATTACAAAGATCTGGATTTAAGTTGAAAATCTCATCCGTTCGTCAGTGTTTTTACATTTTAAAGATCCTTTTCTTACTTTTCTTTACGTCCCCTAAAACGTCAGAGCTGGACTTTACAGGAGGGCTGTCCCTGTGATGTAATACAGAGCATATGTACTTTAATGTACTTGAACTGCGCACTGTAATATCTAAAATATCCGTTCAACAACAATCAGGAGCCGGTCGGTCGGGATCACAGAGTCACTGGGAACATTGTTCAGTATTTTTACCCCAACTGTCTTTGATTGGTTTTTATTTTAGGAGTTCATCGAGGAGATCCTGTGTCCGCCCTTCGGAGGGATGATCGCCTTCGTGAAGGAGGCCGAGGCGTTGATGGAGAAAGGGCAGCTGGACCGGCTGAAGAATGAGGAAGGTGAGAGGAGTTTCAGTTTCTCTTTCTCACCTGAATCTTTTTAAATGTTCATTTTATTTACAGCTTTATGTTTAAGATATAATAATAAGGACTTTATATTTGTGTGTGTTATGAAACTAGAGCCAGAGTCTCTTAATGACCTTTTCACTGGCGCTGATGGTGAGAACAGACTGCACTCTGTTTCCTGTGTGGCTCCACGCCCAGCGGTCGGACTTTGAGCTCAGGCTTTAGTTCTGTTTTACTGAGTAATGAGCAGTTTTGTTTTCCTCCAAAAGTCTCGAGACGCCACAATTTCTGCACATTTTACCACATCAGCTTCCCCACATCCTTTTCTCTCGCGCCCTCCTTACACGGGGAGAGGAAGTCACAGCATTCAAATACTTTTCACTATTTTCTAACTGACATTTGACAAAATATAGTCCAATATAGTTCATAACAGGAAACTTCACAGTGATTTTGTTTTTAAAATATTCCAAAATCTAAAAAACTTTTACCATGAAGACTTTTAATTTGAAAGGATGGCTTTTTGTTCTTAAAGGCTACTAATAGAAGTTTGGGGTCTCAGAGTTTCTTCACACTGTAAAAGATCATTTTCAGTATTTTATTGTTTATTTTTTTTTACAGTTTTTCCTGAAGGATTCAAACTCACTGAAGCTTTTATTATAAAAAATGAATGTTGTACAAATGTGACGTATTTTAGTTTGTAATATAGTTAGTGTTATAGTGTTTATTGCTTATTCTGTACATTGTTATTGATGAATATTGGTGGTTCCTCATGTTTGATTCCTGTTCTTTATTATTATCATTATTATTATTTTACTGTATTATAGGAATATATAGATAGATTTTATTTGGATATTTTTATTTTGCCGGTACCGGGATTTTCTTATCCCAGAAAACATTAAATTAACCGTGTGTGTGTGTGTGTGTGTGTGTGTGTGTGTGTGTGTGTGTGTGTGTGTGTGTGTGTGTGTGTGTGTGTGTGTGTGTGTGTGTGTGTGTGTGTGTGTGTGTGTGTGTGTGTGCGCAGCCCGTATCACCCAACTGGTTCGGGGATTTTCCAGCACGTGGAAACAGTCGGTTGAGTCGATGAGTCAGGACGTCATGAGGTCCTTCACCAACTTCAAAAATGGAACGAGCATCATACAGGTGAGACGGCAGCAACGTCCTCAGTCTAAAACAGTAATCTATTACTCATCACTTGTTACTCAGTTACTACTAAACGACCCCCCCATGGTGGCCCGTCGCTGTAGAGAGGTTGAGATGAACCAATATACAGAACCAGACCTCTCCACTAACGCACTGCACCACGTCGCTGTGTTTACTTTCACGGCTTTCATTCATCATTTTTTGAGTTTAAAGAAAATTTAAAATGATGTTGTTATATATTCTGGGTCATTCCTGTGTGTGAGTGTGAGGAAGTGATGTAAAAGTCATAACCTCTTCCTCTTCCTGCCGCAGGGCGCTCTGACCCAGCTGATCCAGTACTACCACGGCTTCCACAAGATCCTGAACCAGCCGACGTTCCGCAGCCTGGCCGTCCGCTCCGAGCTCATCAACCTGCACCACCTCATGGTGGAGGTGAAGAAGCACAAACCCAACTTCTAACCGGCCGCTTGTTCTTGAAACCGGAGGGTGAACACACCCGAAAGGTCTGGAGGTCTTCGTCCCTCTCAGCTGAAGAACACAAGTCCGTTTTCCCTCCAGAAGAACAGATCGGAAAGGTTCGACACGGAGACGTGAGCCGATGTCCTCGATGGATACGAAGTCCTTTTATTTGTCACTTTGCATTAAAACATCAGCAGACGTTTAACGCTAACAGCCCTCACCTGTAACACAGATTCACTTAAATAATCCGTTATAACCCTTCAGATTTCTGTTTATTGTGCAGCTGAAAAAAGTAGGTGGATTTTAACTCTAGACACTAAAAGTAAAGTATTATGGAGCTTTATGGAGACTCACTGCTGCAGCCTCTAGTGGCCGATAGAGGAACTGCAGCGACGGAGGTTGCAGCTTCGTTAGGGATCAAATAAAAAACAATAAAACCGGATTAAAACATTCCTGTCAGTCTCTTGTGTGAAGGCATCATGAATCCAGGACCAGGAGTGTCAGAACCCGCCACCAGACAATGAAAACTACCACAGAGAAAGAGAGAAAACATAAACAGTGATTCTGAAGGATTATAACTTTTAAAACAAATAAAAACAGAAGTGTAAAATGTTCATTCATTCATTTCATGATGAAAATATACAGAAGTTTAAAAAAACTGTTTATGGGACAAAAGTTCTGATGAGAATTTGTTTATGTTGTTTGTTTTAATTTAATTTGATGTTCATGGGAGAGAAGCTCTTGTGAACTCATTACTTGAAGGTGAGACTGACCATTAAAGGATGAAGCTGAAGATATTCTGTATGTTTATTCTTCATCACCTGTCGCACGAAACCAACACTGAAACCATCAATATGTCGTCAATACTTTCACTTCCTGTCTGTGGCTCTCGGCCCCAAACCCACTGGTTCCTACTGAACACGTAAACCTTAAAAAACTCATCTCAGATATATTTAAATTCATGTTTAAAAAGGTTTTTATCAAACAAACAGGAAATGTTCTGTTTGTTCTGTTTGATGAGTATAAATGCAGAATATCTCCAGACTGACTCTTTAAAGATTCACTCTCTCACTCTTAAAGTTGCTTTGTGCCTTTCTCTCTTTGATTCATCAGTTCATCGTGTTGTGAACTTATAACTGTCTGTAGAGTTTCACAATAAAGGTAATACAACATGATTGTGTTTGCTTTCTTTTATTTTTATGTCTTTATTTTATTTCAGGTGTAAATAGAAACCAAACTTTACATTACACAGATAAACAATAAACAAAATGAATTAAATACTGATTGCTACAGAAGATCACAGCACAGCAAAAGCCCGATAACCACACAATATATTGATCAGATTGATTTGTATGAACATGAAATATACCAGAATTATTTGAATGTTATTTGTTTTTAATGGGTTAAAATATGTGAAAATACTACTTTGGTTAGAATGGAAAGTAAGCGTAGACCTATATAAACCTGAAGCTTTATATTTACACAGTTAACAATCCAAACCAGCTATCATTAAATTTAATTAATATTCAGCTTTTGATATCAAAGACAATGATGTTGGAGAGACGGAAAACAATGTGTTTATCACGGAGTAAATAACATTATATTAATACAACCAGAACTTTTAATCAGCTCTTTTGTCCATATTCTTACTTTTTCTTTACTTTATTGTATTTTAGGTACATTTGTAAAGTAAATACAATTATTGTTAATCCACTATGTCACATTGGGTGTATTCTTCTCATGTTTATGTATCATTTGAATTATTGAAGAATAATTATTTCATATTCATTTTTAGAATTTGTGTGTTGAATAAAAGTCAGTAAATAAACAATATATATAAAATGAGGTCACTGAATTGTGTCTAAAGTATTTCAATTTTGTGCAAAACTTGATGAAAACTACAGTTTCTGACTTTAATTTCCATAAAAACACACTTCAGTCACTGTCCACACTCACAATTTACATGCTGGCAAGTTGTTGTGTTGTTATTGTCTTTTTCTTTCAAATATCAGATTAAAAAAACACAATTTGTTCCCATTTTTAAGCTTTGACGTCTCCACACTCTCCAACTCTTATGTTTTCTTATTTATTACAAATCCATCCTAAATAAAAATACTGGTATGATTAAATATGGGCCATAATATGTTATAAATGTTAATTAAATGGCTGAACATCAGACAGAGCCGGTGTAACTGTTTCCCTCTGCTTCCAGTCTGCCAGTGCTAAGTTAGGCTAACGACTCCAGCTTCATATTCATTGGAAATAGTTTTATTAATGTGCTGATCTACGTCTCAGGAGGTTGTAACTCCAGCAACACTTGTAAAGAACAACTTTATACACAGACTGAGTTATCGGGGTCATAACACACGTTACAAATAACATTTAGAAATTTTCTTATTTTATAATTTAAATGTTATTTGTGTTGTTTGACGCCCCGACGCATCGTCTGACAGTTCAATGTATTCACACGTCCGACATTTTCTATTTGCCGTGTTTCAGGTTGTGAGTCGTGTAAACAGAAAAAATCTGACAAAATCATAATTTCACAGTTTCCCAACGGATCTGCCGGGACATCGAGGCCATATTTCAAATAAAACAACAGATCCATTAGATGTTGATGTTGTTGTGTGATATTGTGTCAGATTTAAAAAGCACATTGTGGTTAAACCCTCAAAGGTTATGATGTTAGGTGTTATGCAGATGATGGTGTGTTCTTCATACTACAAATATTTCTAAAATTGTATTATTCTTAAATTGAAATATATTTAATTGTAACTGTATCGTGATACGTGTCATACACGGGTGTAAACATTACTGTTTGATATCGTTACACGATACGATGTGAAAGCTGTAAATTAATTCTGAAACATCTTGGACACGTTTATTTAAGCCTGACAGTAAAACTGGATGTAATAAAGCTTTTAATGTAACATTATCGTATTGTCTTGTCACCCGACTGTAGAAACGTTCTGGTTAAAGCTGCAGCAGGTAACTTTTATATAAATAACTTTTACATTTATTTGCTGAAACTTTTCCTTCATCCTGACAGAACATGAGACAGATCATTTGTGAACGGATCTGGTCCCTCTGGCTCTTCCTGGTGCTCCTAACGGCATCTATAAGAATCCACCGGGCCCGAACAAAAACAACCAATCAGAGCAGAGAAAGATAGAAAGACGCTTTGCTTGGAGGTTTGATGATGAGTGATTGCTGAGTCTCATTCTCAGGGAGTCAAATACAGATGCTTTGATACCCTGTGAATGAAACTCTAAACAATCTATCATCACTCCACCAACCCAAAGCCTCTTTTTGAATCTCTCAGCTCGGATTGGTTATTTGCGTTTGGGCCCGGTGGACCCTTGTAAATACCGTCAAGGAGCGCAAGTACGAGCCAGAGGATCCTGATATTTTAACAGATTATCTGTCTCGTGTATTTCTGTCAGGAAATATTTGTATAAAAGTAAATACTGCAGCTTTAAGTCAGTAACAATATGTGACATTAACTCACTGGAACCAATATTTCTGTGTAATGTTAATACAACACAATGAGTTCAAAGCATTTTAGTTATTTCGTGTATTATTAACATTAAACAGGAATATGGGTTCCAGTGAGCATGATGTCACATGATGTTACTGACTTAACGCCAACCGGAAAACATCTCTGAGGTCGCAACGGGATTAAAGTTCTGTCCAGCGTGTTTCAGGTCGATGTTCTTTAAGTTTTCTGTTGGCTGCAAAGAACATCGACTATTTTACTTCCAGGCTCAAAATAAATGTGCAGATATTTTAGAATTAATTTACTTTTCTGCCGTATCCTGTAACGCTATCGAACGGCAATGTTAGCCAGGAAGCGGCTGGATGCTAACAGCTTCACTTTGCAATATGGCTGACTGTAGGAACGTTCTGGTTAAAGCTGCAGCAGGTTACGTTTATATAAATAACTTTTACTTTTATTTGCTGAAACTTTCACTTCATCCTGACAGAACATGAGACAGATAATCTGTGAACGGATCTGGTCCCTCTGGCTCTTCCTGGTGCTCCTAACGGCATCTATAAGAATCCACCAGGCCCGAACAAAAACAACCAATCAGAGCAGAGAAAGATAGAAAGCCTCTTTCTGGCTCTTCCAGCTCGAATTGGTTGTTTGCGTTCGGGCCCGGTGGACCCTTGTAAATGCCGTCAAGGAGCGCAAGTACGAGCCAGAGGATCCTGATATTTTAACAGATTGTCTGTCTCGTGTATTTCTGTCAGGAAATATTTGTATAAAAGTAAATACTGCAGCTTTAAGTCAGTAACAATATGTGACATTAACTCACTGGAACCAATATTTCTGTGTAATGTTAATACAACACAATGAGTTCAAAGCATTTTAGTTATTTCGTGTATTATTAACATTAAACAGGAATATGGGTTCCAGTGAACATGATGTCACATGATGTTACTGACTTAACGCCAACTGGAAAACATCTCTGAGGTCGCAACGGGATTAAAGTTCCGTCCAGCGTGTTTCAGGTCGATGTTCTTTAAGTTTTCTGTCAGCTGCAAAGAACATCGACTATTTTACTTCCAGGCTCAAAATAAATGTGCAGATTTTCTAGAATTAATTTACTTTTCTGCCGTCTCCTGTAACGCTATCGAACGGTAATGTTAGCCAGGAAGCGGCTGGATGCTAACAGCTCGTCAAATATGTTGCTTCACTTTGCAATATGGCTGACTGTAGGAACGTTCTGGTTAAAGCTGCAGCAGGTTACGTTTATATAAATAACTTTTACTTTTATTTGCTGAAACTTTCACTTCATCCTGACAGAACATGAGACAGATAATCTGTGAACGGATCTGGTCCCTCTGGCTCTTCCTGGTGCTCCTAACGGCATCTATAAGAATCCACTAGGCCCGAACAAAAACAACCAATCAGAGCAGAGAAAGATAGAAAGCCTCTTTCTGGCTCTTTCAGCTCGGATTGGTTGTTTGCGTTCGGGCCCGGTGGACCCTTGTAAATGCCGTCAAGGAGCGCAAGTACAAGCCAGAGGATCCTGATATTTTAACAGATTGTCTGTCTCATGTATTTCTGTCAGGATAAAGTGAAAGTTTCAGCAAATATACTTTTCCGTCATATCCTGTAACGCTACGAATGTTCGCCAGGAAGCGGCTGGATGTTGCTTCACCTATCAAGATGTCCGATGTCCCTCCCGATGTTTTCAGATGCTGATCAATCGGGAAGCAGTGACATCCCAGTTTGTCAGATTTTGTATGACTTGCAACCACGCAGCGGTACGACAGCTTCCCACCCTGAGAAATATGCACCGTGTATATACGGTAAATAAAGTTGTTCTTTATACTAAAAGTGCTGCTGGAGTTTATATTATATATTAGATATTGTGTCAGAAACCTGCTCTACTTGTACAAACTCACCTAACTCTAAAGCTGAAGACATTTCGACCAAACATTTCCTCCAATCAGACCTCACGCTCTGTAACTCAACGTGATCCGGCACACGGCTCTCCTGGCTTATCTGAAATGTTATTCAGGCTACACGATGACGACACAGCAGAGAACATCTCCATTATGTGTGGTTATAGTTTGCAGGGTCGATATCTGTGAGCAGATATCTGTGAGGAGGAAAGATTCTCAGACGAGACGAAGAATTTGGAAACTCGTGACAAGAACAGACAAGAGGAGGAGAGCCGAACAGCTGCTTCTGGCAGCGTCATCTGGAAACACATCACACAGACAGAGACTGAGGGTTATTCCAGGTCAATGGTATCTTTACACTTTCTTTCCCTTCAGCTGGATCTTCTTCAGCTCTGGTTCTACATGTTAATCTCACCTGTTAGTGCTTGTCTATCCAGAATCTGGTCGACTTTGAGAGCTGTGGACTCTTCTGTAAAGCAACAAACAGTCGCATCAGGTACTGCTGCAAATCATAATTCAACATTTAAAGACTGCTCGAGGAAAGATGTGAAGACAAACTGTTAAATGTTTTAAGAGTGGAGGATCGATACCAGGCAGATTCAGGAGAAAGAGGACAACTTATACAGCTGGGGAGCAGACGAAAGGGAGGTAGAAGTCCAAAAGGCAGGCAGGGAGGGAGGCAGGCAGGGAGGGAGGGGGACAAGGCTGGACTGATAAATATCAAGCACATTAGACCAGTGGTTTAAAGGGAGGTCGAAAGGCCTTCTTGATTTTAGCTAAGTTTGCAGTTAAAACCAAAGAGCTGATAGAACAACGGGAGCGTCAGAGAAGAAAAAACACAGAATGTCTGACAAGTAGTTATTGCGTTCACTGTTTGTTGTTCTCTTCTGTTATTGTCATTATTACTGAATATTATATATATTATAGTCAGTTGACTCTGTGACAGAAAACGGCTTCCTGAAGGAAACAGGTTGAGAATCAGTGTAAGACGATGGTGGTAAAATATACTGCAAGGGTTAATGAAGAAGTGGGAGCAGGTGTGCAGGTGGGTTGGGGGAGGAGCAGGTGGGTTGGGGGAGGAGCAGGTGATGGAGGTTACTGCAGGGCAGGAGGGGGTGGCAGGATCTGAAATGAAAGGAGAGTTCAAGTGTGGCAGAGACAGCAGAGAGCAGACGTGGCACAAAAACCAGTTAAAGAAGCGGGAACTCAAAGTCCAGTTTAGTTAAATCGTTTAACTAAATATTTCCCGGTTGAAGGGATTTGAATCCCTGTTCACTGACACTTAGATCTCCGGGGAGGATCAGCGCTTCATCAGTCTCAATGCCGAACAACTGAACCTTGAATTTGGAGATAAAATGCTTTCAAAGCTGCTGACGACGTGTTTGTACGGAGGCTCGAGGTGCCACCCGAATAATTATAGACTTCAAACGTGTTTGATTATGATACATTTTACTCTATTAATTCAATTTGAATTTAAATTATAATAAAACTTACAGTAGAAAACAATAAATGATCATCAAATTTCCTTATTTTTTAAATTAACATTTAACTTTTTGGCGTTATATTTAATGATGAGCCCGTTCTGTGTCTCAGTGGTTTCTTTTATTAAAACCAGAAACCTCACATTGAATCCAACCCAGAGAGATGCAGTGTCATTCCAGTCGCTCCTCCAAACACAAGACAGCCAGGATCATACACACCGCTTCGGGGCGCCATTGTTTGTTTAGTTTGTTCATCCTGGCACCTCCTCCTCGATGACATCACACAGGTCGGTTACGATTCTCCGGGTCCGAGTCTCTCTGCCGAGTCACAGCAACAATTTATAAGGGTTGCGACTTCCGGGATAGATTCAGCGACTTATTCAGACCATCAGGAAAAATACAAGAAATATTTATTATATTGTACTTCAATCCGATGCTGCGCCGGAGTCTCTTCCTCTCCTCTTGTTCTGCGCTCGCAGGCCGTCGTCGGCGGGGTTGAGCAGAGACGATAACCCGGATAAAGCGGCTGTCATCTTGTTGAGCAGTAGTGATCGGGGGGTTGATTGCGCGGTATCGAGGTCCCGCCCATACGCCCCGTTTTCATGACGTGAAACCAACAAATCACAGCGTGATGAGAACGACAGAAAAATGTATTTGACGTGTACTTTTGTTTAAGTTTGTCCCGTCTGCTAACATGGAGGAGGCGGGGTTTATAACCTATACTGCAACCAGCCACCAGGGGGCGACAGAAACGGCGTTACTATTGAGGAACTATCTATCTTTAGCGACTTTCGAGCGAGTGCTAGCTACTTTCACTCAGAAACAATTGGCCTAAAGCTGGACTAAAGCCCCCGCAGGGCTCTCACCTTCCACGTAGAGCTGCACGGTGCTGACGGCGAGCCCGTGCTCATCCAGGACTTTGTACAACCCGTCGTCTGAGCTCTTCAGCTGCTTTATCGTCAGCTTCTCTTCAACCAGGTCTTTCTGCAGACGCTCGGTGTCCTTGTCGCCCCTCATCCACACGTCTGACCACTCCGAGCTGTTCCTGTGAAGCAAAGTTCAGAGACTGTTAGATGTAAAGCAGTTGCTCCCTGAAGGGAATCTATCATTTATTCATCTCTATTTCATTCTGGATTAAAAACTGTACAATTATCCCAAGGTGATTTGGATTAATACTGAGCTGAGTATTTCCTGTTAGGTGAACTTTTAATACAATTCTGTATTGTAAGTTGTAAGTCTGTATTATGTATTTTTTATGATTTTTAACAATCATACAGAATAGGCTTTTTTTTTTTGACAAATTCAGTGTTTTCTTGGACATTGTTCTATTAGATAATAACATTTCTTCACAGAAGTGAACCAAATGCTGAGATATCGGCCTACTGTATATATTTTTAAAGTTTTCTAGCACGCCTTAAAATCAAGAAGGCTATGCGACCCCCGGGTTAGGAACCACTGACTTTAAGTATAGACTGTGTGTAAATACAGTAAAGAGTAAAGTAACATCAAAAGTAAAGAGCTGCTGCAATAACAAAAGTATGAACACTGTAAATACATTAAACCAGTTTATTCTTTATGATTGTCATTTTTTGGTAATTTACATTTCTGCTCAGCAAGAACAAAAAGTTAAACAAACTAACTGCAACAGAAGGAACAATGAGACAAAGGACGTCTGTGTGACGCAGTCTAATAAACGCCTGAAGTGACTCATTAAATGTTTATTCAGCTCTCAAACGAGCAGTTTGTTCTGTAAGCTTCAAACTAAAATATGAGCCAATTACATCGACCACCTTTGGAAAGTTCTTTGACACAGAAGAGACTTTTTTTCCCCAAACCCCCACATGGTTGTGTTTCTATTTATCCTCCATTGTGTAAGCAGACCTCACAGGGTGACTCATAACTTTACCAGCAGCCTGTAATCTGCTTTAGTTAGATGCAAACAGTCAGATCATACGGGCTGCGTGGTACAAACAGCACAGACGACAAAATACCAGATGAATAAGAGGTGGAAGAGATGAAGAGTTCAGACGTCAGAAAAGGGCAGCGGATGTGAAAAAGTGGGTTTCGTTTGTCGGGAAGAAGCTTTACCTGCCCTGGAAGACCACTCTCATAGAGTGAAGGGTGTACAGATCCAGAACCAGCTCCCCACCTGGACGTCGGGACTGACGGGTTTTATGGTCTGAGAGGAAAAACATTCGAGAACAAAACAAAGCAAAGACGTCAGCAAATAAAAATGGGATTATGGAGATTAAGTGAAAGAGAATGAGACGATGACGATGAAGAAATGAGACAGTAGACGACAGTAGAAGAGAAAGAAGAAGAACTAACCGAACACAGACAGCTTGACGCTCTGAATGAAGACCCTGGTTTTCATGTCCCTCACTCCGTCCACCACCATGAAGCTCTCGTATCTCCCCGTGTCTCCGATCTGAACGTCGTGGATGATCAGAGAGCAATCCCCAGACCCGAGCTTCTCCTGAGGAACCTCCATCCGGCCCTGGAACGCCTCCGCCTGCCACTTCCTCTCCCCCCGCAGCTCGAACACCGTGTCCTCCGTGGTCGCCCACTGGATGTGGCAGGTGGACGGAGCCTCCTTACCCAGACGGGTCTTCCAGCTGCAGGGAAGGACCGCCTGGTTGCCCACCCTGCTGGTGACGGACTGGGGACGGAGGGAGGAGGACAGGGAAGAGGAGTCTGGAAGAAGAGAGGAAGGAGGAAATAGAGGATGACCTGTGTTCAGCCTCAGTTCCTCTTAGATATTTAATCTTTATTCTACTTTATATTTATTCTCCACTCCCTTTCAGAGGCTAATCATGTGCTTTTGATTTAATTAAAGATACTACACAGAGTTTAAAAAAAGTTTTAAACAAAGACCATCAGAGAGAAGACTGGATAGAAGTAGATAGAGTCCACAGGGGGCGCCAGAATCAACACAAAATGTTGGAATAAGTTCCTTAACCTTTAACCAAAGATAAAGAAACATATGCAATACAGTAGATATATATAGGCTTCATCTTCTGAATCATTTCTATACGTTTCAGCAGCAAAAATGTGAAATGTATCTACAGGAAAACAAATAATTAAACCCAGGTGAATTGTTGTTGATACGTACACGTTATTCATTGTTCTCATTCTGTGCCTGTTTGTAATATTTACTTTCTTTGTACATCTGAACGATGCAGATACCTGTGGCGTTGGTCCAAGGTTATGTCTCTAACTGAAGACGATTGCCATAGAACCGGTTTCAGTCAGTATCAGGTTCAACTTATCTCATTTCTAACGAAACCAAATGGCATCAAAATCTTCAAAATACTAATAAAATACACATAAACTCTAAAGGTCGAAGCAGTGAGAGTCTTTCCTCGTCTAAATGTCTCACATGGTTTCATTTTATTAACTGTTTAAGGTCCACAGATGTCAAATCAACCAAATATTTCTTCCTTCCTCATCTCACAGCCCCTCAGATTTATTTAACTTTGTGTTGATTGTGGCGCCCCCGGTGGACAGAAGCAGTAATGTCTTTATAGAAACATCCAGTTTGTTTCTGAAGAGGCTTCAGACTGTTTTATAACCAGTTTAAAGTATTTACCTCCAGTCCCTCAACGACTGTTAGTATAGTATATTGTATTAGGGTTTAATTTGATTGTTCAGCAAAAAATTTAAAAGGAAAACAAATTTTTTTAAGATAAGTTGTTGAATTTGTTACATTAAATATATAAAACTAAACATTACTTTGATTTAATTTCACTAAATATTAAGTCCTAATACAGCCTGAGATGTGTATAATCCTAATTCACTTCATAAAAAAAGCCTTTCATAAGACTGACTCGAGTGTGTGTGTGTGTGTGTGTGTGTGTGTGTGTGTGTGTGTGTGTGTGTGTCTCAACATTGTTCTATAACTGCAGCAATTACACAAACTGGTTCTGGAGCTGCTGATCCATTAAACCGGTTGTAAAGTTGCACTTTCATTTATCATGAAAACAGATCTTTAATAACTGCTCCGCCCACCACGGCCTCGATCATCAATAATCGATCAATAATTATTTATTATATAGTCTTTTATGAGTATTACCTGGTTTCAGTAACGAGATCCAGTTATAAGGAAAGTTATTAATCATTAACTGGATGTAATATGTAGATATCAGTATAATAACCAGCTAATTAACAGACTTTAATATTAATAATTTAAAACATAATCTGATGTTTTTTATGACGTTTAATCTCTTTCATACATATTTTATCTACAAAATTTAACCGTTTGGATGGTCAGAACTTAATAAAATGAGTCAAACGACAAACACCCGCTGCCTTTTAGAGGTATTTAGGTGATTTCTGAACCAACAGGAGCAGTTTTAAACTCAAACCACAGACAGTGTTAATGAAAGCAGATACTCACCAACTAAACTGCCAACCAGGAGACAGTGTAGATGAACGAAGAACCTGAAAGAATGAAGAGATACGATATAATCTGTCACACAGGCATCAGAACAAACATTATTAATATTAATATCTTGTTTAAATTAGGTTTTTAAAGTTCAATCAGGACTCAGCAGCAGAAAGAAACTCATTTTATTCCTCATACGAAGGTTTTAAAGGATGTTATAAAGATTGAATGACGATAGAAAAGACATTTTATCATTTTTATATTAAAAACATTCATTATTTGATCTCAATGATGCAGAAACACTATGAAACATTACTGGAATCTACATTTGTATTTAATTAATGATGCAGGGTGTGGTCGCAGCCGATCTCTGACTGACTGAAAATCACATTATATTCATTATATTATTATATTCTGGTTAAATACACAGAAATTATCTTACTACAGAACAAGTTTGAGTATGAGTCTATTATTAAAAACAGAATATTAAAGTATGTTAATGAGGGAGCTTAAAATCAGAGTCCTGAGCCAATAAGAGACCAGAACAGAATAAACCAGTATTTGTATTTATTTGTGTTTATTTGTGTTTATTTGTGTTTATTTGCTTTATTCTGATGTCATTTGAATATTAATTGTCGGCAGTGTGAAACTTACACCGCAGCAGCCTGAGAGTAGAGTTTCGTTTCTAGTTGGTTTCCTCAATAATGAAACTCATGCAGTGTGACCGCCTGCAGGTCAGCAGCTGGTTCACAGTCTCACTCTCTCACTGTCTCACTCTCTCACTGTCTCACTCTCTCACTGTCTCTCTCTCACTCACTGAATCTGAACCATATTCTGTCAATGATCTGAACTAAATAAAAGACTTGTCCCCTCTGCAGATGAGTCCATTGCGCTCTCTGTGATCACCCTGCAGAGCCAGCAGGTGCAACAGTTCAAAATAAAAGCATTTGCATTGAGAGTGAAGGAAGCTTTTAGTTTGAAAGAGTTCTTACCAGTGTTGTGTTTTCATGATGTCTTTCTGTTTGGAGAGCCAGTTCAGTCCTCTTCTCTCTCCTCCGCTCACATAGAGTGTGTGTGAGTGTGTGTGAATGAGTGTGTGTGTTTACTCTGCAGACGCAGCTTATCAAACCTGCTCCTGGATACACTTCCGGTGGACATTCCACAATAAAAGCGCATCTATTACTGACTGATAATGAAATATGTCAAGTGATACTAATAAAAGATATATTTAAGCTTAAGTTAAAGATACACTAGTCTTTTACTGGAAACATCATTAATTTAATATTAAATAAATGTTTTAAACATTAGTCAGACTAATACATATATTATATATAAATATATATATATTTAAAATAAACAATAACAAAGTTGTATTGAGTTTTATTTTGGTCTAGTTAATGTTTAATTTGTTTTTATTAGTGTTGGTTTTTAATTTATGCTGTTATATGACATAATAATAATGTTGGGCTTTTACAAGCATCACTCTGCTCATAAATCAGTTAATAAAGACACGTTCAATACATTTTCTCATTTATTTTTAATATGAAATCAGTGATGTTTAAGCTACATTATGTTTTCAGGATATTTATTTATATTTATTTTATATTATATATTATATTTAAATGTTTACTATGTGAAATCGATATTTTATTCCTAAAAAGCCCCATAATGTTTGTTTTTAAGTAGATTTGGTTCATTTTAATAACTTGTTCCAACAAGTAAATCAGATTTTAATAAACATACATATTAGCTGTGGATTTATTTCTCCTTTAGACGCTTTTATTTTGAAGCGCTTCCGGTGTCCCTGGCCCCGCCCACCCAGCTGACGGCTCTGTGCAGAAATGAAACCTAAAGACTCAGACTCAGACCCAGACCCGAGCCCGGGCTGCAGCTCTGTGCTCAGCAGAAAATGTTCCTGTGGAAATGTTGGTGGTCTCTGAATAAAGTCCCGCTCACTTCCGCCCACTAATGTCACTGTCTGTCTGTCTGTGGCAACCTGTCTGTCCTCCACTGTCTGTCCTCCTGCAGCCCGGCACTCACACCTGAACCCGGTCTAACTATGGACGCTCTCCCCTGGATCCTCTCTGTGCTCTGTGAGTTCTGTTCCTTCCTCATCCGGATCAGACCTGCTGCTGTTTTATTGGTTTCAGGGTTCAGCAGCTTGTGGAGGTCTGAGGGTGTCACCTGGTTGCAGGAGGCACACCCAGGTACTATCTGGACCACATGACCCAGGTGCTGTGGTACTATCTGGGTCATGCGGTCTAGGTCTGAACCAGGTAGTTAGTGGGATTGAATGTGTGGCAGGAAAGAGCTTTAATATTGTTTCATCAGTTTTATCTGCTAAAAGTTTGAGTAAAATGTTGTTAAATAACTATTGAATATGTTATAAATGATTCTAATGAATGCAAACAACATAGATTTCATGCATTTAGTATTTAATATGATGACATTACTCGTTATTATGTGAATAATGTCAGTATAGTTTGTGTTAAATGTGAATAATGTCAGTATAGTTTGTGATAAATGTGAATAATATCAGTATAGTTTGTGGTAAATGTGAATAATGTCGGTATAGTTTATTATAAATGTGAATAATGTCAGTATAGTTTGTGTTAAATATGAATAATGTCAGTATAGTTTATTATAAATGTGAATAATATCAGTATAGTTTATTATAAATGTGAATAATGTCAGTATAGTTTGTGTTAAATGTGAATAATGTCAGTATAGTTTATTATAAATGTGAATAATGTCAGTATAGTTTGTGTTAAATGTGAATAATGTCAGTATAGTTTATTATAAATGTGAATAATGTCAGTATAGTTTGTGTTAAATGTGAATAATATCAGTATAGTTTATTATAAATGTGAATAATATCAGTATAGTTTATTATAAATGTGAATAATATCAGTATAGTTTATTATAAATGTGAATAATATCAGTATAGTTTGTGTTAAATGTGAATAAAGTCGGTATAGTTTTGTGCAGTTTGACTCTAAACAGATGTTTTTCACATTAATCTGCTGGAAGTGGAAAGTTTCTCCGAGTTCACTGAACATCAGGTTTTTAAGGGGGCGTGGCCTATTAGCATGATTTGTGACATAACATATAGTTTGTGTCCACCAGGAAAACTTTATAAATAATCTTTAATGAGGAGGAAGCAGTAGATGAGTTTTTAAGTGTTTTAAATTTGAATTTAAACTTTTATTGTGAAGGAAACACGTTATTGTTCCATGTAGACTGACTGTGTTTTATTTTTTGCTTTAACTTAAAGGGGCAAGTTGTGTAAAAAAGGCTGTATACATGTTTAGAGAATCACTGCTGGAGCCTCTAGTGGTCGTTAGAGGAACTGCAGTTTCTGTTACTTCAGTTTCATTTGTCAGTCAAGGAAGTTGTTGATGTTTTTCAGTAACTCTGGTGTTGTGAGGAAGTTTATTTTATTTTATCTCTGTAGACTCTGTGGTCGGTGGTTTCTCTCAGCGCTGGTTTATCAGCTCTTTATGTGGCGTTTGTACAGAAGTCTTAAAGTCACTGAAGATACACGTAGTGACGCAAAAAAGTAAAAATGTATTCAGTTGTATTAAGATTTATCTTCCCTGGAGTCCAGAATCTAGTCTAGTACAGCTGCTGGAGGTGCTCACAGACATTAAAGAACAGAAATAATAATTCTATTTTAATATCTAACAACATATATAGAAATAACAATCAGTACATTATAATACAATATATATATATATATATTATTATATACAGTATTAGTGCACATTAACCAGAGAACATTACAGGTTAATGAGTTAATGATATATTCTACATATTGTTCACTATTAAGATTAAGTATCGTCTGACCTTTCACCCTCTTCAGGTGCTGCAGGAGCTCACCTGTCTTCAGCCTCACCTGTCCTCCGCTCGGCCCTGGTGGTCCAGCCTGGGCAGAACGTCTCGCTGACCTGCAACCTGACCTCCAGCAAGGACGTCACCTGGTACGTCCTGCGCTCAGACCAGCTGCTGCCTCTGCTGACAGTCAAGTCCAGCAGGGTGGGAGGATCAACGGTCGACTTCCACACTGCCAACAAACGTCGCTTCAGCGGTCTGGGGGACGGGGAGAACGGCACGGTCCGCATGGTCCGCATGGAGATCCTGGGGGTTGAGGAGACGGACGCCGGGCTGTACTTCTGCACCGGGAGGCGTGAAGGGGATGTTCATGTGGACAGAGGAATTAATCTGGTTGTCAACGGTGAGAACATCTAACAATATATCACACTCTCTCTTTCTGCTTTTTAAATATATGAAAATATTAATAAAATGACACAAATAGCCTTTAAATGTATACGTACAAACATCTGTCACTGTAAATAATTTTATAATAATATTTAAAGAAAATTCAAATACTTCTGATAAACAATCATTTTTCACAGATATTTACTGTTTATTTAATAGACTGAACTGTTAAATTCAGTTTAATACTGTTTAAATGATGTAAAATGTGTGATAATTAACAGTCTGTACTGTCAGGATGTATGAAAGCTAGAAGAGAAATGTCTGGGAGCAGCTGGAGTCTTATCACCAAACTTATTTATATTAATCATTTTAGTTAGCACTCCCAACAACAATACAACCTGCTTCCAGTATGTATCTTGCAGTTGAGACATGTTGGAGAACAACTGTGTCCTGACTGTAAATATGTGGACATTATAATACATCTCCCTGTATCAGTGCTATAGAACCAGAGCTTTACTTTAGCAGGAAGTTGCTCAACCATCCCTGTGAATTCTTTGTCTAATCACCAAACTACAAGCAATCATATTCTCACTGGAATAAAACACCAAAAGATTTAAATATTGCAATTTTTGGAGCTGTGATTGTAATTTGTAGTGTTTTAGAACCGTTCACCTGACCTCCGCCCACTCTCTTACCATCACAGTTTAGCTCCTAACTAATCATGCATGTATGCGAACGTTAACAGGCTGATATTGAAACTAAATATTACAGGAAATGCAAAACTTATTTTAAATTACATTTCAGAAATCATAGTTACGATTCCAATAAGTTTTGACTTATTCCAAAGTTACATATCATCAAAGTTAAAAGGATTCATCCTCTGGGAACCATGAATGTCTGTTTCATGGCAGATCATCTGACAGTTGAGCGAGTACTCAGCTCTTTTTTTTAGTAATTTTCTAATAAATACAGAAACTTCTGCAGCGTTTTCAGCAGCAGCCGCGACTTTAATTCCTCTGACCTACTGCATTTTATTTGTTCGTACCACAGAAGTTACAGTTAAAAACCGGTTTCTCTTCTAAGTCCTGATTCTGAAGGTTCCTGCAGTTCAAAGAAACATGTAAAGAATCATCTGGATCTCTGAACTCTGAACTGTTTGGGATTTACGCAGTTATATTTCCAGATTATTGATTATCGGAGAATAAAGGAAAACCAGCAGTTGAACAATCAGTCGCTGAATCGATGAACTGCTTCTGTATTTGTTGTTTCCAGGAGTCGATGGAGACTCTGCCAGGCTGCCATGTTGGAGTCTGGGGATCTGTGTTCTTCCAGCTTTACTCGTCCTCTTCATCGTCATCATCATCGGACTCTACCTGTGCTCAGGTGTGTGTTCTCTCCTTCTATCCTTCTACATTCACTTCCTCACAGTGCTGTTTGAGGTTGAGACTCTCAGACGGACACAGGTTGGAGTTATGTATCAGTGAATTAACTCCATGAAGGGAAACCAACAGGTGTGTCTGTGGCACCACCCAGTGGTGGAAAGTAGCACCGCATCTACTCAAGTACAAGTTTGAGGTACTTTATTTCCACGTTAGGCTGATTTATACTTCTACTTTTGTCTTTATTGTGCAACAACAACAGATACGACACTGATAAACAGGAATAAAATACACAAGAAAACAAGTAAACAAACAAACAAACAAACAAACAAACAAAAATAAAAGATGATGTGGTTCGTATATGAAAAACAAACAGATGAAGGAAAATCTTTATATTGAGAGGTTGGAATAATACAAATATATATATACATAATAATAATACTGATATTAATAATGATACAAACATATATAATAATAAAAAACAGTAGCACAGTGAGTAGGGACTTGGCTTCAAGCCCCACAGACCCACCTTATGGAGTGTGGGCTAGTAGCTGGAGAGTTGCCAGGTTTCACCTCCTGTGCTCTGCCGAGGTGCCCGTGAGCAGGGCACCTAACTCCTAACTGCTCCCCAGGCGCTTAGTCTGCCCACTGATCCTATGTAGGATGGGTTAAATGCTGAGGCCAAGTTTCATTTCATGTTTGTAAAAGTGCTGTAAATGGTGTATATATGCTGTGAATATGACAGTACAAAGACTTTCCTTTCTTTTTTCAATAATAATAATAATAATAATAATAATAATAATACTTGTATTAATAATATATAATAGTAACAGTAATAATAATAATAATAATAATAATAAAATAATAAATAATAATAATACTATTATTCATAATAAAAAAAAGAAAAATAATAATAATAATAATAATCGTCACTTTGCAGATTCTAATTATTAATGCAAATATAATCAACAAATTAATTGCTGTTAAAAATGTTTAGATTTATATCAGATGGATTTATTTACAGTGACATTAAAGAAGCAAACTGTGCAGGTTGTTTCTCTGCATGTAGTAAATGGAGTTCATATTCTGGGGAAATAAAGGGAAAAGGAGGAAACTCAACACTTTCTGCCCAAATTAGGAGCCGTTGAAGTCGCGTGCGTGCTCGTGCGCCTGTTAAAAGTCACCATGACAACGATAGTGGACGACTGTGTGATTGTGTAGCTCCAACAGACGGACGCACTCCCGAGCGGACGCCTGCATGCGCATGCGCGGAGCTCAAAGGAATTCCAGCGGCTTTGATGTTACGTCACATATGACGCGCGCGCTTTGATGTTGCCTCAGGTGTGACGCGCGCGCTTTGATTCAAAGCCAGTTAAAATCCTGGAAGTGTTTAATACCTGAACACTTCTAATAACAGCGCGTTTATTTGCTTCATTACTTTATCGGGACGGACGTTTAATCCCTTTAGCACTAAACTCAACTCACAGCTAACGGTAAATAACTCGGATTCATTTTAATCAACTTTAATAGTTTTAGTTACTTATTTACCTCGTGGATTTAAGAGATTTAAAGCTCCAGATCATTTCTATAAAATCCAGACCCGCGTCGATTTGGGACCCTGCTTTTATTGCTAGTGTTACGGTATAAAAGTTGCTCCACACTTTACCGAACTAGTCAGGGTTCAGTAAATTACTAGTCTAGTCTAAAATGGAGCCGTCTGAATCCAACATGGACGACACAGTCTTCATCTCTCGACAGACTCTTCGGCCCATCGTAGAGAAACATCTTGAGAGGCTCTCTGCAGCGCAGTGGAGCATGTTAGCTGCAGGGACTTTGGACTCAGACTCAGTCGCCGTACTTGCTGATATGATTACTGAAATGATACAGACAGCCGCCCTGAGAACTGCCGTGTTGATGTTTCACAAGAGCACGCTCAGGAGTGCACCTGAGACCGATATAAGCGAACCGTTTGAGAGTTTTAAAACTCAGCTCGGAGACTCCCTCCCCGGTAGTTTGGCTGACGCTCTTCACCTCCCGCAGGTGAAATGTCAGAGCGCACAAAGTCTGACAGAACTGGTGGTGAAGGAGGTTACACAGAAGGTAAACTCTGTTGTTCCTACCGCCATCCGCTGCCCCGATTGGCCGGAGGAGCCCGCCGTTTTTGTCCCCTGCTGCATATCCGACACAACGTCTCTTCGCTGGATGGTGTTTCACGCTTCCTCGTGTCTGAAGGCATACTTATGGAAAGCGTGCCTGTGTTGGCAGCCAAGGACCACGGAAAGCTCTGAATGGTCGGACGAAATTCTGGATTCAGAAGAACCAGAGGACCGCGAGTCAGTTCAGAGCCTAAAGTCTGCGATCTCCATCCCCACTGCGACTAAAGCTGTGAGCGACATCCTTGTCAGGTGGTCGAGTGAGACAGCGGAGATCGAGGAAGAAGGTGAGGCTGAATGTGCTCTTGTTCCTTCTGTGATCACCACCCTGGATGCCGAGGCTGCGGCATCTGAAATTGTCAGGAAAATACTGGATGACCTGCATTACCCTGACAGTGAAGATGTTACCAGCAGCAGTGCGAAGAGCGGCTCACTGAGACCTCATTTCAACATGAGGTTAATAGTCGATAAGGTCAAAGACTTTTCCGCCTCACACGGCACGTCCGCCGACAGCGAAACAGCTCGCAAAGACAGCTTCCTCACGTTTTCCAAAAAGCAATTTGACAACGTGATGGCACAGCTGATGACAGCGAGTGAGAATCAAGACCCCGACTTTCTGGTGAGTCTCGACTTGGATTCAGGATCTTCTCAGCTCGGACTCGTAGAAGCTGCTGACGACATTTTTGGAGAATCTGTTCCAGAGTCTCCGAAGCCCAAATCTGACGCTGGCAGTGAGCCCAACATACGTATCGGATCGACAGCGGGGTTCGATATGAGGAAGCAGCTTTCTTTGCCAGATTTTGAGGCCATCAAAAACGATGTCGTCAGCTTGTTCCAGGAATTAACCCGTCCAGAGGAACCTGCTGCACTTCCCAAGAAATCTCTGGAAAATATGATGTCTAGTGACGAGATCAGGACGTTTTTAAAGAAACTGACTGATAAAATGTACGGCCGTCTCAGGAGCAGCCAAACGCATCAGATTCCTGTGACTCCGTTGGGAAGAAGTCTCTCTGACTCTGTCATCTCTCAGGTCAGGAGGGAGGTGGACGCCACCACTCGGTTCCCCTTTTCTCCTGACGTTCTGTACGTCATGACAGAGGACGCAGTGAGGAAGTTCTTGCAGCAGGTGCTCCTCTGGATGGACAGAGAGGCATCGCATAAAACGAGCCATAGCAGCGAAGTGTCCGGTGCACTGACAGACATCGAAGACCTAATGACACGAATGCTGACCCCACCAGAGGAAAACATCCTCCCAGAGTCCCCCGAAGACTGCGACAGGCAGAGTCCAACACCCTCTCGCTCAAGTCGGGGATCATCTGATGATGATGATGATGATGATGATGATGATGAGTTGTCTGATTTTGATGACTTGAATCTCAGGCGCCACGTTGATAGTCTGATTTTTATCAAACACAACGTCGATGTTGCTTCAGAAGACTCACGTCCTGAAGTAACCCCTGAGCCAACAGTCGTCTCTTCCCCGTGTCCTGCAGTGCGTTTCAACACTACAGTGGCAAACTCTAAAACGTCAGGCAGTGGACTTTCAGCAGTGTCAAGTGATACCACGTATGGTTTAATCAACACCATCATCACTTGTCTGCTCACGAGGATCCTCTCAAAGGCCCCTCTGAAAACCAGGAAGTCCCTCAAGATGTTAGACGTCTGCGCTATCGTTAAGCGTCTGTCAGACAAGGCGCAGGGGGAGATCAGACTCACTCGCTCTTTTGTTAGAACCCTCCAGAAGAGCATGGACATCAGCAAATGTTTGATTAAAGGTCTTCACCAGGAGTTTGGTTCTGAGGAAAAGCTCCTGGATGCTGCAGTGGCAACTTACCATTCATATTTTGACGAGGCTGTCGTGAAGCATCTGAAAATCCACCTGAATGTCCCCTTAAGTCCGCCGCGGAAGAGCGCCGCCGCCCGGTTCTTTTCAGCAGTGGGTAAAGCTTTAATCAGGCCCTTCAGGCGGTGCATCGTGGGCAGCACCGACGATTAAACCACAATCCCCACTCTGCGTCTTTTAACGTCTGGAATAGACCGCATTCATCTTGAGGGAGACAAGTTAAGGGAATCAGAAACCTTCACACCTTCCATCTCACATGAGTCGTAGTAAGTCAGATGAGGTGGAGGGTAGCGGTGGCAGAGACCTGAAGAACTTCTTTCCTTCAAGATGAATGCCATCGACAGACCTTTCTCACAGTGGGCATTTAGACAGATTACATCAGTTCACGTGATCCAGTTAGATGTGGCTCACCGACACATCTACGCAGTTAAACTTGAGTTTGAGGAGTCAAAATGTCCGGTGTGAGAAACGTCTCGGGCCACGCGGCAGCTCAGTGTTTCACACTGTGGCCTCGGTCAGGGTTTGATTCACAGCCTTGATCTTCGCTGTATGGAGTTTATATACTCCCCGTGTTGGCATGAGTTTACCCCGGGTGCTCCGGTTTCCTCCCATATAACATCAAAAGTAGATAATCATTCAAATAAATACATTAATATTTAAAACTGAGTTTAATTTTGGTCTTGTTTCTTTCTGCTGTCTGATGTTGACAAGTTCTAAACACCAAAACCAGAATCAGAAAACAAATTGTATAAATGTGTAACAAATGTATTTGGATGTGTACAAGTGCCCCCTTTTTTAGCTCAATACAACAAAATTAACTCCAAAATAGAAGATGTACAGTGGGTTCGGAAAGTATTCAGACCCCTTTAAAATGTTCACTCTTTGTTTCATTGCAGCCATTTGCTAAAATCAAAAAAGTTCATTTTATTTCTCATTAATGTACACTCAGCACCCATCTTGACAGAAAAAAACAGAAATGTAGAAAGTTTTGCAAATTTATTAAAAAAGAAAAACTGAAATATCACATGGTCATAAGTGTTCAGACCCTTTGCTGTGACACTCATATTAAACTCACATGCTGTCCATTTCTTCTGATCCTCCTTGATATGGTCCTGCTCCTTCATTGGAGTCCAGTTGTGTTTAATTAAACTGATTGGACTTGATTAGGAAAGGCAAACACCTGTCTATATAAGACCTTACAGCTCACAGTGCATGTCAGAGCAAATGAGAATCATGAGGTCGAAGGAACTGCCCAAGGAGCTCAGAGACAGAATTGTGGCAAGGCACAGATCTGACCAAGGTTACAAAAGAATTTCTGCAGCACTCAAGGTTCCTAAGAGCACAGTGGCCTCCATAATCCCTAAATGGAAGAAGTTTGGGACGACCCGAACTCTTCCTAGACCTGGCCGTCCAGCCAAACTGAGCAATCGTGGGAGAAGAGCCTTGGTGAGAGAGGTAAAGAAGAACCCAAAGATCACTGTGGCTGAGCTCCAGAGATGCAGTAGGGAGATGGGAGAAAGTTCCACAAAGTCAACTATCACTGCAGCCCTCCACCAGTCAGGGCTTTATGGCAGAGTGGCCCGACGGAAGCCTCTCCTCAGTGCAAGACATATGAAAGCCTGCATAGAGTTTGCCAAAAAACACATGAAGGACTCCCAGACTATGAGAAAGAAGATTCTCTGGTCTGATGAGTCCAAGATTGAACTTTTGGCGTTAATTCTAAGCGGTATGTGTGGAGAAAACCAGGCACTGCTCATCACCTGCCCAATACAATCCCAACAGTGAAACATGGTGGTGGCAGCATCAGGCTATGGGGATGTTTTTCAGCTGCAGGGACAGGACGACTGGTTGCAATTGAAGGAAAGATGAATGCGGCCAAGTACAGAGATATCCTGGAAGAAAACCTCTTCCAGAGTGCTCAGGACCTCAGACTGGGCCGAAGGTTCACCTTCCAACAAGACAATAACCCTAAGCACACAGCTAAAATAACAAAGGAGTGGCTTCGGAACAACTGTGACCATTCTTGACTGGCCCAGCCAGAGCCCTGACCTAAACCCAATTAAGCATCTCTGGAGAGGTCTGAAAATGGCTGTCCACCAACGTTCACCATCCAACCTGACAGAACTGGAGAGGATCTGCAAGGAAGAATGGCAGAGGATCCCCAAATCCAGGTGTGAAAAACTTGTTGCATCATTCCCAAGAAGACTCATGGCTGTAGTAGCTCAAAAGGGTGCTTCTACTCAATACTGAGCAAAGGGTCTGAATACTTATGACCATGTGATATTTCAGTTTTTCTTTTTTAATAAATTTGCAAAAAATTCTACATTTCTGTTTTTTTCTGTCAAGATGGGGTGCTGAGTGTACATTAATGAGAAATAAAATGAACTTTTTTGATTTTAGCAAATGGCTGCAATGAAACAAAGAGTGAAAAATTTAAAGGGGTCTGAATACTTTCCGTACCCACTGTGTATATATATCGTCTGATAGAATTAACTAGAAGAGGTGAAGTGCATTTTCCACTGCTGAAACCTTACAGTGCTGATATTTAATAAGTACATTTAAAAAAAAATTGTAAAACAGAATGTGGCCCTGACTTTGATAAACAGCGGTATAAGAGTGAAGAGACGATCTATCACCCTGTTAAACACTAGAGTAATAAAACACATTCACAACGCATAACACAAAAATAAAGAACGTCCTCACACCAGAATCTGTACACTGTTTATTTCATAAAAATTAGGCCATTGACCTCCCACAGAGATTCAAGGAAAACAGGAATTTTGTCAGTGGTGTAAAACATGTTTCTGCAGTTCTATTAAAATGGATGACAAAAATGGAACCTAAGGAATAAACTTCATGAGACACAGACATATTCTTTAAAGTGACAGAAAAAGCAATGAAGCTATGAAAATCAAACGTCATAACAACAATTTCCCAAAGTGGTCAAATCACATTAAATCACACCATTCACTGAAGCCCAGAGTTAAACTTTTCCTCCAGAACTCCTCCTTTGTGCGGACTAGAATAATAAAACCAACAAGGAAGAAAAAAAACCATAACTGTTAAATGAGAACTAGAATAATCCAATGTCACTACTTTGACACAAGATTGCTCATCACATTATATTCCACTAGATGGCAGCATGAATCAACTTCAGATGCAAAGGGCCTTAGACCTGTTTGAGGATTGCATCTTGCTTTCTCTTTCCTGCAGTCTTTTCTAGAGATGTTACCGAGTACTGATCCGATATATATTTTTTTATTTTAAAGTTTATACTACTAAGCCTGTATGATTTCCATCATTGTTGTATGGGCTGGCTCAGGTTAAAACCTTTAAATAAAATAAATGGAAGTGGATTGGTGTACATTTTGGGCGGTATTGGAGGAATTTCTGACGCTAGTATCAGAACAACTCTAGTCTTTTCTTACATTTGAACACATCATATGGAGAGCTAAACCGAGTTTGACCACTGCTGCTGTTCAGTGTGTACAATGTACAGTTGAAACCACAAAAGCATGTTCATTTTCTTACTTTTTTCTAGAAGTTAAATTCATTACAGTTAAACTGATTTCTAGAGGGGTCAGAATAAAGCAGCTGATGGTCAGCTTAAAGTCCCCAGTACAGTGAGACAGTAAAGTAGGATACGGTCGCCATTTTATGGGAAGAACTCAGCATTATTTTTGATAACATGTAAGAAAAAGGCCATACTGTGTTGTTGGTTATTCATACATCAACAATCATACATGGCTCAATGAAACACTGCTTTTAGTAGCATTAACTTGATCTCACTGGAGTGTGAAACATTTTTTGTGAGGTTTTTTTGTTGATAATGAAGAATTTATCTGCCTCTGATAACTCTGAAGACACATCACACCTTTTTCACAAGCAGCCCGTACGGGCGGACGGACTCCTGCACGATGGCCCTCGTCTTGACATCGTTTGAGCCTTCAGGGACGTAGACCAACCAGATGTCTTCTCTCTGGCACTTCACTCTCTTCTTTGGGTTGATGCGGTTCTGGAGAACCACTTTGTATGTCTTCCCGTCCACTTTGGACTTGAACTTCTTGCAATACTTCTCCGCCGTCTTGATGTCTGGCGTGGAGTACACCCCTCTGCCCTTCGTCTCCTCAGTGAGCAGAGAGTTGGCAGCGGCTTCCAGGAACCCGGGCTCATCGGCGGGGTTCCCGCCACGGGTCAGGATGATGCCGAGGGAGCCGTCCATGTTGTGTCCATTGTAGGAGACAGGCCAGGAGTCTTTCCCGGTACCGAGCCAGGAGTCTCCGTCATCATACTTCTGGACGACACGCAGGGCGGCCCGGTTCCACCCGCAGGGACGAATGTACAGCTCATTACCACGCATGAACTTGGTGTCGCCATCCTAGGAGGTGGACAGAGGGGTTGTCAGGGTCAGAGCTGCAATCACTTAAAGGAAAATGCTAATATGCTACATGCTAATCACAATGTTTGCTGCATTAACCCCACGTTACATAAGACCATCAAAGCTGGATACTTCCATGATATGAACCACAATGTCTCCATAGCCTCAAGTATCAAAAACTATCAAGTACCAAAAGTTGGCACTAAATTTAAACTTATTTTAAGTTTACCACGACAACGGGGCAAATGTAGCTCAGACACAGTTCCTCCCTGCAGACAACAAGCTGAACATAAAGGAGTGAGCTGTCTAAACTCAGCCATTCATTAACTCACTCACACTTATAGGTTACATTTACTGAGCCACCTTGCTCGTGCACTCTTTCACCCACTTATTCACACAGGATGACTCACTCTTGCATAACTGTACTGACAATTAGTTCTCCTCCCTTCCTCACTCACTTCAGTTCAATATTAGCTTGCTGTATTAGTATTCAACATGAGGAAATTACATCCAAACAAGTGATTACAATCATCTTATTGATGTCAATCCATTAATTAACAGTTCAATTTATCTTCATTCTACATGTAAGCATGTGAGATAAGTAAGGCCTATGTCAGCTGACCTCAGGTTTACAGTCACATACCTTTATGTTGGTGAAGTCGTAGTTGTACTGAGGGTGGAAGAAGTCCTCGGGGTTGATCTTAACAGTGGGTCCAAGACTCTCTTCCGGCCCAGGGCCTTCAGTCAGCGCCAGTGGGGAGCTATACATGTCCTTATCGTCCAGATCCTGCAGGGATAAAGTCCCTAAACTGGGGTACTCCAGCTGTTCAAACCCCTCCTGCTTGTAAAACTGCTTGAGGGCCACGATGTTGACAAAGTCCTGCGGGGTGAGCAGGGAGGGTCCGCTGGTGGCCTCGACGTTGCAGCCGGAGAGAACCGACAGGGCCTCCAAACACAGCTGAGTGTCCGGCATTGTGCTGAGGGGGAGAGGAAGGCAGCAGAAGAGAAAGATTGCTCTTCCCTTACGAAGAAAAACAGCCTTTCTTCTCTTTTCTGGGTTTGCAGTTGTGTTTTTCTTGAAGAAAAAGTAGAAAAGGAAGAGGTGGACGTCAGTTTCTGCCAGCTGCTTCAGCACAAACAACTCACCCTAGTTTCTCTTTCATACTTTCACTTTCATTTACTGACTGTGAGTCACTTATTATAAGTCACAGCCGCTCTGGTAAAGAGGCTGGGCTTCTGTGTGTGCTCTTTGTTCAGGGCACACCACCCACCCACTACCTTACTGACAAAGTACTGCTGAATGAAGTACTTTTACCCAAGTACTGTATCCGAGTACAAATTGTACTTGAGTATTTTCTTTCTACTTCTCAGAGGAAAATATTTACTTATGTACTTTTTACATTTGTCTGACAACTTTAGTTTGTGTTCAGATTACAATCAGAGTTTGGAGGGTTTTAAAATATATTATTTATAATATATTAAAAAATTTAATTAAAAAAATTTTTAAAAATTTTTTTTTTTTACAAAAAAAAAGAGACAAACAAAAAAAGAAAAGGACTGAAAACTGAAGAACAAAAGAGATCAGCACCCATACGCTACAAACTAGAAACAAAACCAAACTAGCAATTACTGAACAACTTAAAGGGTCACAAAAACAAAGGCACTGGCTGAATCCACTCAGATAGCAGCCAGGCAACACTAGAAAGACAAACACTAACACAATGTGCAAACGACAGCAAGGCGAACTGATCACTGGTTCACAGCCGCCCTGAACTGGACACACAAGCTATTTAAGTGCAGCTGGGGTTGATTGAAGTCTCCTGATTGGTAGCTTCAGTGGACTGCAGCCACACCAATCACTGAAGCCAGGGGACAGCAACCAGGAAGTAGGCGGTCTCTGCCCAGAAGACCAATCCTCAACAGGGAATCACATGAAACACCATAATGAATATACACTAAAACAGCCAGCGGCGGCCGAACACCCCCTAAATTACAAGCCCTGCGGCTGACGTCAAGGTTACATACATAACACATAGCTAAGCTCTACAGCCTAGACAAAGCATCAGCGATCACATTTTCAGACCCCCTTTATGACGGATGTCGAGGTTGAAGTCTTGGACCAACAGTGCCCACCGCATGAGTCGTTGGTGGTGATTAAACAGCACAAAAAACAAGGGGATTATGATCAGTGAACACTGTAACAGGTAGAGAAGAACCCAACATAGACCTCAAAGTGCTGTAGGCTAACAACAGAGCAAGGGTTTCCTTTTCAATGGTGGAATAATTTGCCTGGTGTCTAGGTTATCAACACAATCCTCCATGAGGAGAGGGTACAATTTCGAACAGTAACAGCATTTACTTTGCGGAAGTCTGTGATAAACCTGGGAGACCCATCGGACTTAGTTTCTAGCAAACACGGCGAACTCCACGACTGGAACTAGCAGAAGCCAAATTATTTTGTAGGAGATACTCTACCTCCTGTTTCATCAACTGACGTTTAGTCTGATTGGCACGGAAGCATGTTGTTTTATGGGACGCGCATCTTTACCTCTATATCATGTTTCAAGACAGAAGTGTGGGTTGGAACATCACTGAATAGACTATAATACTGTTCAATCAGTACCTCCAGGTCACGTTGCTGTTCAGCAGTTAAATGCTGCAAACAGCATGACAGGTTGCAAGCATTCCGAATTTGGAAGGCGACCGGGGATGTAGGGACGTGCATTGGTGGATCATCTTCGTGGGAAGCGCCCACAGATTCTGCACAATGATAGCAGCAGCTTTAACATCTGACGGTTCGGCTACTAAGGGCGAGGAACAGCAGAGCTAACATTGTCCTCGCAGGACTGGTAACGTTCAACATGTTTATGTGACAGACTCTAGTCTTACGCCTCTGTCTGGAGTACAGAGTACATAATCAGTGTCGCTAGACGCTCTTAATGGCATACGGACCGGAGAATTTAGCGCAAAACGGAGCTGGTGATGGGCAGCAACACCAGAACTTTATCGCCCACCTCAAAACTGCGAGATACAGCGGAACGATCGTAATAGCGTTTCATGGTGGATTGGAGTCACTAAGGGTGGCTTTAGCGAGGATATTAACTCGTTGAAGGCGCCACGGAACTGGGTGACGTAGTCCAACGCGTGCTTTTGGGCGCAGACTCACAAGACAAGAACTGTCGTGCAGTGACTAAGCGGCCCACGGGGTGTGTGGCCAAAACAAGCTGTGCAGAACTAAAGCCAATTGATTCCTGCACAGCGTCACGGGCAGCAAACAAGACAAAGGGAACTCCCTCATCCCACTGTTTCTCAGTCTCGACACAGTACTTCCTGAGCATCGACTTTAGCGCTGATGCCAGCGCCAAAGCTCCTTGTGATTGGGGGTGATATGCCGAAGACACGATGTGGTGCACACTCAAGCTCTTGAGTACCTGTCTGAAGAGACCAGACTTAAAATAGAACCCTGGTCTGTCTGGATCACCCGCGGTAATCCAAAAGTAGAAAAAACTTCAGTAAAGCTTCACTACGGCACTAGCGGTTATCGAACGGAGCGGAATAGCCTCTGGGTAGCAGTGGCAGCACACATAATGGTTAACAAAACTGATTTCCACTTTTAGTTCGAGGTAGAGGACCTACACAGTCGAAATCACTCGCCGAATGGCTCTGCTATCACAGGAATGGGATGTAATGGCGCAGGAGGGACAATCTGGTTAGGTTTCCCGACAACCGACACACATGGCAAGCACGGCAATGTTTAGAAATGCCAGACTTTAGACCTGGCCAATAGAAATGTCGGAGGATGGCTTGATATGTTTTGGTTATGCCCAAATGTCCTGCCCACTTACTCTCATGAGCCACTGACATCACATGCTGGCGGCATCCTGCAGGAACAACTATCTGGTAAACAGAATCACAATCAGAATCACCAGTAACGGAGAAGACCATTTACGTAACAGCATCTCACCATCCATAATATATGCTACTTTTCATCCCTTGCTTTGTCGTACCACCACCTTGGCAAAGCACTCTTGCAGTGTCGGGTCTGCTCTCTGCATCTGGCCAAGCGCCCGGTGACTGGAAAGCCGCACCTCCAGCTAACGGCAGTTCTGGGCCAGGCGAGGGCGATGCCAGCAACTCATCCTGAACAGGCAAAAGAAACCTCAGCCTCTTTCTTCCCTCTTGTCACCGAAAAACTGACATAACAAACTGTCAGACAACAAAACTCACGATCATCTGGGCTAGTTTCATGGAACGACCAGTACAGCCAGGCTGGAAATACATTTGGGGGTGTCTGATCTGATGTCCGGATCCCATCACACTGAGGTTGATCTAGGACTTCTAGTGTGGGAGTTACCTTACCTCCTGCGACATCGTCCCCACCAGGAAACGATACCGGGATTGGCAGTTCAGGACAAACCGCTACTGGGAAGAACCAGAACAAGGAGGACTGAATATGGACGCGGTGCACTGGCCGTGGCACGTAACCCATTTCAACTCCTCTAAGAACTGAACTGTAACGACAAGCAGTTTTATCAGAAAAGGCAGAGCTGACGCCAGAATAACAGATTGAGAGCATGCAGTATCTCGCAAAGCCTGTATGGAGTGTCTATCAGCTGACTCACCAGTCAGTGACACAAAGGCATCAAACACAAATGGCTTAAAACAGTCATCAATTTTCTGATCAGATGAGTCAGTGTTCACACCATGATCTGCTTTAATCAGTCCTACCCCTTTTGCTTGAGAAGAGCGTGAGGACTGTTCTCTGCGTTTTAGTGTCAAGCAATTTGCAATGACATGGCCGACCTGGTGGCAGTAAAAACATTCCCTTCCCTCTTCAGCCCACGGGGTTAGAGGATCTGGGAGGAAGGAAGGACGGAGACTGCAGAGTCTGGAGAAAAAGCAGATTTATGGGTTAACACATACTCATCAGCCAGCACAGCGGCGACAGAAAGTGTACCTACTTTCTGTTCATTCAGGTAAACAACAATACGCTCAGACAAACACTTCTTAAAGTCCTCTAACAGGATCAGCTCTCTCAACGCATTGAAATCACTAACTTTACATGTTGCACACCATTTATCAAACAGAGTTCCCTTCTCACGGGCAAACTCAACATAGGTCTGAGCAGAAGTTTTCTTGTGACCTCGAAACTTCTGTCGGTAAGCTTCAGGCACAAGTTCATATGCTCGTAAGATAGCTGTCTTGACAGTTTCATAATCTAAGCTATCTTCAACAGGGAGTGCGGCCATAGCAGCCTGAGCTTTACCATGCATTTTACACTGAAGCAGAAGCGTCCATACTTCAGGTGGCCATTGTAAAGCAGCCGCTATCCTCTCAAACACATTGAAATAGGAGTCAACTTCATTATCCCGAAATACAGGTACTAAAGCCACATGCTTACTGATGTCAAACACTATTTTAGGCGAGCTGGTGGAGGTGGTGGAAGGTGGTGACATACCTGAGCCTCTAGGAGCACTCCGCCCTATGTCAGAAGCCTCAAGCTCGAGTTGTTTCAGTCTCACTGCCTTCTCAGTCTCAGCCTGAAGTTCAGCTTTTCTTATCTCCAACTGGAGCTGGAACTGGGATTGGATCTCCCGCTCATGAGCTTCAAGTTGCAGCCGAGCCAGACGGACTTTAAGCCGGTCCCCGGTATTTCCAGTACTGCTCTGTGGGGAAGGATCATACTTAGGCATAATAAACGGGGTCTTCCCTCGCTCACCTGCCTGGTAGACTTCCCCAGAGTCTGAGGGTGTCTCAGTACTTGGACCACTCACTGCTTCTGCTGAGGAACTGGGAAGAGGCCCAGACTCCAGCTGCTCAGTCAGAGTAATCACACCCTGTTCCACCAATCCACTAATCACTCGCTCCCTAATTTCTTTTTAAGCATGGACCTGACAAAGGGAATATTGAAGTGATTAGCTATCTCCACTAAATCATCCTTCCTACAACTATTTACTTGTTCAACGGTAGGATGTTCTACAAATGTCTCCAAATTAAACTTTTCTGCCATGGTGCTCAGTAGCCAGCAGCACTCACTCAAGCAGACAGCTGAATCCACTAATGAGCTCACTTAACTTACCTAGTAGTCAAAGGAGCCCAGCAAACTCTCACCAATTAATTAAACACTGACAGACCCTATTCCAGTGTCAATTTACAATGACCAATATACAATTTTCTTTTTAGATCCCGGACGAGCCCCCATTTATGTTACGACCCAGCTCGATTTGGGGAGCAGTAACATATAATTGGAATTGGAAAAAGAGATGGAATACAACAATTGACAGGTTCAGGTTAAAATCAGTAGTTTTAATTAATTAAGGAGAGTATGCTTGCACAATGAAATACAACAAAGGAGAGGCTATACAGGTGCTGACAAACAACTAGTACAAAAATGAAAAGGACTGGATAATACTGAAGAACAAAAAGAGATCAGCACCCATACGCTTACAAACTAGAAACAAAACCAAACTAGCAATTACTGAACAACATATATATAACTCAGCTACATGTTATCCGTTTGTAAGTAGTTACGTACTGTAGGAATGTAACTAAGTCATCAAGTACTTAAGTATTGTATTTGAGTACAAATTCAACATGCTTGTAAATAAAAACATTCTTTTGTCTCAACTGCATAATAACAGCAATAAATCAATAATGACTGAAACATTTACATTTTAATTGCATGCTAAATACCGTGCACTGTCCCTAATAAGTACATAAAGACTAACACTAATGGTTGGAGGTACTGTACCAACAAGGATGTTTAATCATACTGTAGTTGGTTTAATATGTGGATTTGTTAAAGTGAAAATATTATTTTCATGTATTAGTGTAATTACTCCTAGAGTCTAGAAAACCTTTTTAAATGTGAATCTTTGACTGTTGAAACGTATATTATATTAAATAGATTCCATGCTGGATTCAGAGTCAGTGATGCTGTTAAACCTCAGTCCCTCTTAAACCAGATTAAACTCGAAACACAGCTGTTTGGCAGTTGGATTGTGTGATCTATCTCCGTCCTCAGGCTCAGTCACCATCTCTTTTCTCTGCAGGTAGACCAGCTGCTTGCTGCTGTAGAAGCAACATGAGTCTGAAGGTTGCAGAGGTCAGTAGATCCTGTTTTTACTCCTCCACAACATCAGATTTATTTTACATCACATACATACATTATGCTGTTTCTCATAATCTCTATTTACTTCACCTCTTTTCCTTTTAACCCACTATAATAATCTTCACTGGCTGTTCTTGAATTGTCATTTTAAACAATTAAGATTAAATAAAAGAATGTTTCCACTAAATATATCTGATAGCTCTTAGTTAGTTTCCATGTAAAGATTTAACACTGAACGTGCAATAAACTCATAAATTAGCATTACTGTTATATTTATTTCTTATTTATTTCCTTCTTCATCTTCTCTGAAAACTGGAAATGTGATCCTGTGTAATACAAATTGTCAAGCTTAAATTTACAAAAGAGTGCTGTTATTATTCGATTTTTTCTTATGTTAATCTGAATTTTAAAAGTAACTAATAAAAGTCATTATCTGTGAAATTACAGTAATTATTGTGGTTTTCATTGATAAAAACTGTATTTTGACAGTTTACCAATGCTTATACACTGATAAACAACATTTATTCAATGTTTTTGTTGTAGAAACATCCATAATTATACAAGATATCTGTCAATTAACAAACAAATCCATGTAAAATTCCACAACAAATACTTTTTTACTGTTAATGTCACTAACTACATCATTTTAGAAATGGATTAATAGTATTAAACTTGAATTTAACAGTTTAATTGATTAAATAAACAGTAAATATCTGCAAAAAAAAGTATAGATTCGCAAATTTGTATATCATTTTATAAACATTTACATGTTTTTAAAAAATACAGAAGAAATCTCTAAAATAAACATATTTTTACATTTATTGTAAATGTCTGTTTTTTACTGACAGTTATGCTCAATATTCCCTGTTATCAATAAACCTGAACCTGAGGAATTATTCACTGTCTGTCTCTGCAGGACGAGTCTCTGCATTATTCCAGTCTGAAGCATCCAGACAAGCCCCGCCTCTCCAGCCGAGGAAAGAAGGGATTGGCCGAAGACAACGTCACATACTCGGCAGTGACCATTCGCCAGAACCCAAACGGATCACATGACCGCAAATAGAGCGGCTCTTTGTTGTCCAAAGGAGGAAATGTGATTTCCTTTGAGATTTTAAACAATGACTCTTTAAATAAAGCAATAATGAGCTAAAAACTATAAATATATAAAATGTCTGAAATTATGAATTTCAGGAACCTTCCCCCCAAAAAACTTTGTATATAAAAATTTTAATTCTTAATATGCTGACGACTGTTCTCTCTATGAGTGTAATGTTTTTATTTAGTTATGATTTTTAAAGCTATTTCACTGACCTTTGTTTATATTAAAATGTGATACTCTGCTTTGCTTTTAGTTTTAGAGGATTAGTCGATATTTTATACCACAGAATAATGTTAAAATGTTAATGGAGCATTGTTACTGCGTCCATATAATGATACAACGTTTATATGCAGTAATATGTAGCAGCCACTGTTTTATGTATCTGTCATTTTTAATAAATAAACTCTGATAAAACATTGATGTGAGCTCAGGTGTCATTTGTTTATGAAATGGTTGTTATTTACGGGGGCTGCTCAGAGAATTACATTAAAGAAATAATATAATTAGCTGTTTATGCTTTTTCAGTTTGTTGCGAGGTAAAAATGCTCTTTAAATATTTTGTTAATTATTATTAATTATTTTTCATAATCTATTTTATTCTGAAAACTTTTACAGAAGGGCTTGTTTATTATGTCATATTTTATCAAACAATACTTGCAAAATTGTTGTTTTTATTGTTGCTGACAGTATTTTCTCATTTATGGAGCGATAAAAAGAGATATCCTAAATTCCCTCTCTATATGTCAACATATAAAAATATAAAACAAGAATTTTGAACCTGGAATTTATACAAATTAACATATTTTAAATTAGATAATGCATCATTTGCATATTTAAACATAATATTTAAGAAAACTTAATTAAAAATAATTGTCTCAATGTAAAAAAATCAACTGGGGAAGTTTCATGATGATATCTAAAAGTTAAAATGTTAATGTTAAATGTACCCTGTTAGTTTCTCCTCTTAATGTTTGCCTGTCTTCTGATGTGTTAAAGCTGCTGTAAGGTAAATGTCTCTTGAAAGGAAAATAAAGTTAAGTGAAATAAAGTGCAGACAATATGTAAATCAGTGTTAATCACATGAACAGTATGTTTATTTTAGGAAAGAGCATTAACATGAACAGTAACAGCCTCTTTGCACTGAGAGTTTCTGCTGGAGTCTATTTGGCGGCAGGTCTGGTGATGACAGACGAGTAGATGACGTTGTGGTGGTTCTGGTCTGGCGGAGTCCTGCTGGGTCTCTCCTTCCAGTTCTGCCGGCCCAGAGAGGCGTAGTGGATCGTCTCCTCCGGCAGAGACGGACTCTCGTAGGCCTCGCACTCTGCAGAGACAGACAGGTGTATCAGAGGTGGAGACGGACCCGAGTACAGACCTGCAGCAGGATCCGAGCTGACGGCGTTACCGGTCTGTCTGCTGGACGTCTTCCACGGCTGCAGCTCGGTGTCTTCATGCCTCTGTGAAGCTGCAGAGACAGAACAGAGCTGAAGGTGGCAGCAGTTTGCTAAAGGTGCTCTTCAAATGTCTTCTTAAAAGTTGCTTTAACTAACTTCAAAATGTAAAAAACATGTTTAAACTGATCTGAAGGTTTTTATAGAACCATAAATTATGTAGATATATAGAACCACGTATGGAAGACCAAAACCTGAGGAAATAAACACATGAAGTGAATCAAACAGTAAATAAACAAAATAAAGTTCCACAATGAAAGAATAGAATTTAGAAGATGACAGAGAAAAATCTGTGAAACTTGATATTAAATAAAACGTTTACATGAAAAATCTTTGAAGGAATAAGGAATATTCAAAATTTTGGACAAATTCCATGACGTGTTGACCAATCAGAGCGCAGAGAGTAACGATGTTGTTGGTGCTGCGAGGTCGAACAGCGAAACAACACGACAGCCAGTATCGCACACACCGCTTCAGACGCCATGTTTGTTTGTATTCTTGTTCACAGAAGTCGGTCTCTAGCCCCTCCTTCCTGGTGACATCATGCAGGTGAACGTCTTTTGACTGATTCAAGCCAATAATTTATGTCCCTATAATCTCACACAGTGACCATCACGCAGTCTGAACCCCATTATGTAACATTATTTATGAAACACTTTCCGTACGTCCGACCACCGACCTGTACGTCTGTGTTTCTTCCTCCTCCTCCTGCACTTCATGCCGGTCAGTAAAACACAGACAGCGACCAGGAGCAGGACCATCAACCCCAACCCGGCGACAGCAACTATGAGCAGAGCTGAGAGACCGCGGACAGAACATCTGGTCAACAAACACTCGACAACATCTGTAAAGCTTTGTGTGTGAGACAGCGAGAGAGAGCAACCGACCGTTCTCAGGTCTCTTTTTCTTCTCCTTCTTTCTTTCAGTCTCATCTAAAGGAAGAACATGAAACACAAACCGAGATCAGAGACTGTTCATACAGTTTAACGTATAAAACAACATTCACAGTCAGTGAAGTGTATCCAGTTAATATCTGCTCCATTTCACCGGGAATTATTCTCCTTTTTACTGCAGTACATTTATTTAACTGCTATACTTACAAGTTACTTTAATCTGACATAAAAATATATGATTACTTATTGATTAGATCTGCTCAGGTTGGAGTTGTGCTCTGAGGTTCTTGAGGTATTTATTTAAAAACAATAAAGTTGTACATTGCCCCACAATTGTCGCACAAAATAATAATTCTGTACACAAATTATTATCTTGAGAAAATCTTCTTTTGGGAGCTTGACGTCTCCATATTATATCAATACTCATTGATATAATATCATTAATATCAATATCATTTTTGCAAACTGAGAACTTTTTTGACACTTCTGTACTTTTACTCAAGTAAAATTCAGAATTTAGGCCTTTTACCTGTAACAGAGTATTTTCACTCTGTGTTATTGTTTGTAACGCCTGCCATCGGGTCAGAGGTGGTAGAAACACAAACACTACCACTTTTGTCCACTGGGGGCGCCAGAATCAACACACACTTTGGACTTAAAGTAAAAGGTGTGATCATGTGTTGTTCCAATAAGAGAACAAAACAGCCCATTTGTTCACCATATGAAGATCAAACTTCATTTTCATACATAAAACTTACATAAATAGTCAAATAATTATGGTTAAGGGTTAAAGTTTAGCACTTAAAACCAGTTTATATAAAATATGTCTGGTCTTTATGTCGCTGTATTAATGTAAATCAATCCTACCTGTTTCTGTCACAGCATCTGTTGTTGTTGTTGTTGTTGTTGTTGCTGTTGTTGTTGTTGTCCAGGCGGTTTGCTCCGTGCTGGTTGGCTCCGGCTGCACTGATCAATCAATACATAAGACATTTTTACACATTATTAACAACCAGTTGCTATTTCTCTCCACTGATACAAAGCACAATACCTTTATTAAGATCAAAATGAATTAAATAATAATCTTTCTTTGTTTCAGTCTCTGTTGACTGCAGAATAAATTAACTCAGTGCTGTTTAACGTGTATAATAATATATTAATATCTATAAGGACTAACAACTTCTACAGCTACAGACAACAATCAAAACATGTTTCTTCCAATATCACATTGTAAATAACTTAAAAGTTAGTTAATTACTGTACGTACTTTAAACAGAACAAACAGTCCAATTAAGATAATTAACTGAGTATAATTTACGGAAACAAAAACAGTAAAAGTACAATAAAATGATATTATTTATTTATTTATTATTAATTATTTATTGTACATTTATTTAAATGTACAATTAAATGAAAACTAAAAAAGAAAACATGACTGAAAGTTAATTATCAATAGGGTTAACATACATTAGGTCCTCCAATGAATATAAATAATATAAATATAAATAAACTTTTATAGAGAAATTAAATTAAAGATTAGTTTAAAGAAATATATTAGGCCTTTATACAAATAACAGAAAAAATAATGTGTGTATGATGTGTTTTTATCAACAAAACAATGTATTAATTCCACATTAAAATCCTTAAAAAGAAAAAAGAAATTTCTTTCTACCTCATTAAAAATACAACAATCTATAAATACGCCAATTGTGATGTCACATATGATGCTCGTAGGCCCCGCCCCTTAAAATCCCACCAGTGAGCTCAGAGAAACTTCCCACTGCAGGAACAAGAAGGAACTCACCTGTCAGCGTGGTGACTTCGCTCCCCAGCTTCACCTTGCACTGGTACTGTCCAGCGTCCTCCGGCTGCAGGTCCTGGATCTGCAGGGCGTCGCTCTGGTAGCCGAGCCGCCCCCCCTCCCTCTCCGGTTTCACTGTACCGTTTCTGAACAAGGTGAAGATGAGCTCCCACTTCTCCCTCTCCCTCCTCCGGTACAACCACCTCTGTCTGTGTTTGGAGGAGCTGCTGCAGGGGAGCAGCAGCGTCCGGCCTGCAGACACCGTGAAGTCGTGGCCTGAGGGGGCAGAAACAGCGAGGCATTGTGGGTATTTGTCACAGTGTCTGTCGGTTAGGGTTTCCCCCTCCAGTATTTATATTTCTATATAAATACACAGCGACCTTATGAACCTGCCTGAGTCACAAAGTTAGTGTCACTTAAAGAAAGTGAATGTAAGCGACAGACATATGGAGATTTCTCTTTATCATCTTTCAAGGTAAAAAAAACAAGAAGAAGCTAAGAGGAACTGGGAGGATGTCAGCGGCCAATGTCAGCATCTGGCTACCTAAACATTTCATTTATTACTTATTACTCCTTTCAAAAGTAATATTACTTTACCTATAACTGCCAACAACAGTGCCTATAACAGTAATTAGTTAACTCAATAATTCTCCTACATTTCTATTATATTTTCATTAAATGTGTATTTTCCTGTCTGTTTTATATCTGGAGCTGCTGTAAGTGTGGGATCAATAAAGTATTTTCTTTTCTTAGCGAGACGTAACGTAAACTCTTAGTCATGAGTCCGATCACTGCTGGTGTGAACCGCTGTACCCCGCCACCCGGGTGGTAACTAATTCCTCCAAACTCAAACACCTCTCACTTCCTTTCTGTAGAGCCATGAAGTGTGTCACTGCTGGATGTCTCTCTCTCTATATTACTGAACCCTGGTCCTTTACCTCACCGTTACCGTTGGTTTCATACATCCTGAGGTGGCGTTTATGTCACATTCAGACTGTGGGAATATTAACTTTTAAATCCCTTCCCCCTCCCTTCTTACAACCAACATCCTCTTTTATGCAGAGAGAAATATTACAGAAAGTTTCATTTAAAAGCTGCTTCACAGCATCTTTCACAACTTATCAGACCGACTTACTTCCCTTCGGACAGACAGCGGTTTCTGTGGATTTCTATGGAAATCAGTTCATTCATCACACTCAATATTTAATTATGTATGTATGTATGTATGGATAACTTACATACAAACACAATGATTCCTTTTTACAGGTGATTGTACACTAATGAAAACATACCTGTGAATATTATATTCCATTTCTGACAGTAGATCCTCCTCAATGGACATAAAGTGTAACACATTGGGCACATTATTGAATAAAGACCTTCAGGCTTGTGTTCCCCTGGACCAAATATGATGCCCCCAGGTCCTTTCTTTGGTACAGCCTCTCTGTAACTGACCCGAAACCACCTGATCATTTTCTCACTTAACTCAAGACACAAAGGAAAACTTCATACAATTCATATTCACACTCACCAAATTTGGACATACATGTTTTTACTGGGTATGAAACGTTTGAACCTCAAATTTGTAGTTAAGTTCAGTACTTAAAGAGTAAATTAAATAATAGTAAATTAAACGTCAGTGTCTGCCTGAAATCACATCAGGAATCAGATCTTCATTTGTTTTTTCACCCACTCAAAGCTCAAAGCTTTGTTTATTACAGAAATCAGTCCAACCGTTTAAATACCCTTCTGAATATGTTTCCCATAATGCACCACTCTCAGCTCTACCTGTGAGCACCTGCAGCTCGGCCACCAGCTGCTGGTTGCAGTGATACTCTCCGCTGTCGGACTCATCGAGATGCAGGAGCTGGAGGCTGCCGTCGGGCAGCAGGAGGTAGCGCTGGGGGTCCTCGTTGGTCTCGTGGCCGCCCTGTCGGGTCACCGGGACGCTCCTGTCCCGGTGGGTCCAGACCACATCAGAGCTGTCGGCGCCGGGACACCGCAGGCGGATGTGGTGGTCCTCCGGGACTGAAACCCGGATCACTGCTGGAGGAGAGGGAACAGATCTGAATCTCTTTTTTATCCAGTTTCTATGACGGCAATGTTCATGGAGATGTTATAAATCATAAATAATTCTAGAAACATATAATAGAAATATGATGTCTTCGTCTTCTTCATTTGCTGCTGTTGTACATGCAGAGCTGTGTCACTCATATCCTGCTGATGGGCAGTTTTTAGCCCTGGTTCCTCTTTTATCTCATGGAAACATTCTCGCTGTCAGCCTCAAATAACAAAGCAGGAAACATAATGTCTGACAGATTACTGCCAGTGCACAAGGCCCGGCTAAAGTTCATCTGAGCTGCTCCTCTGGAGGCGGGAAATGTTTTATTGTTGCTGTTTTGTTGCATAAATACAAATAACCCGTAGTCACTAAAGTTAGAGCGAATGAAATCATCGTATCATCCAAACCTTTAGTACTCTTCATCCCTCTGCAGGGCTCAGAGACGCCCTCCACCACATCATCACACTGTAGCATCCACATTTAACTAGTTTCCTGCTTTTCAACCATCAATATTTCCCATTTTTAATACATTTGAACTTTTTCTTCATTCGTTCATTAGCTGACGCATGCAGATGCTCAGTTTGTACCTTCCCACAGGCGTACGGTAACCCACAGAAGTACACAGTAATACTAGAACTGGTCATAATAATAATAATAATAAGAATTTAAGTTTAGATTATGATATTTGCTAATGCATGGGTGTTACAATCTTATTATTTATTAATATATATCGTAATAACTGTCCTGTGAGTCTTTTGAAGTGGATATGGGATGCTCTGTGAATAAACATCTTGCACAGCTTGTCATATATTCATCACATCGTGCAGAATTTCTTTCTATGTTATTATCATATGACCCAGTGTTAGCATGCTAGCTGGGTTATTTTATCAGGTTAGAGCAACATTTCCTCAACATATCTGCACGTTCCTGCTCGGTTATTAACTTATAACTTATAACTTAACTTAAAATGAACAATAAAAACATGCTTTTATTAAAGAATTAAATGCTTTATTGTGAAAAAATATCTGAAAGTCCAAAACTAGTTTTCTTTCTTAAATAACCTTTAGGTGAACATATAGTCACAGAATATATATGTAGGTGATTTTTATGTTTTATATTTAGTTGAATTAGTTGTTTGTGGTGTTATTATTATTTTATACTGTTTATTTCCTTTATAACACCATCACACTGTATAAAATGTTTATTAAAAGTGCAGAAATAAAATATACTAACTACTAATTTTAGACAGTAAACAATACAATAACATAATAAAATGACTGTAACATGAATCCAAAGCAAATAAACAACAACTGTCCATATGAAAGTATTGAATATAACATGCAGCTGTACCTTTGGAGTTCTCACTGCAGCCGATCAGAACTGTGTGCAGGAACCAAACCTGACAGAAGATCATAAACCTGAACATCTTCACATTAAAAGCAACAACAACAGAAGCTGCTGCTGATCTGACTGAAGCTTTATGGTGTCTGACACTTTTCCACTCATCATCCCAACTGTTCTTCTTCCTCTTCCCTAAACAGCCACTGTGTGAAGAACTGAGCGTCACTGTCCTGGAAAATGGAGGTTTTATATTCACAGCACTTCACAAGCCTTCAGTAAATCAATGAGATGGTATAAAATGGTTGTAACTGCAGAATAAAGAAGCAATTTTAGCTGTAATTGTAGCTTGTAAGATTTTTTATTTTCAATTTACATAATATTCAAAACAGTATTATAGAAAAAAATATAAAGAGTCACATGGTGTCTCTCTCCCTCTGCCTGTGTTGTATCGCAGCCTCTCTGTGGTTTGTTTCCATAGCCGGTCTGCTCCGACTGAAACTGCTGTTTTTATCATCTACGTCGGTGAATTAAGGATTTATTTCCACCAAACCAGAGTTGCTGATTGTTGGAAACACTAACAGAGACGCTTTTAATGAGTTTTATTCTCTTTCTGTCCACTTTGAAGGAAGTCCTGGTCAATAAAACTTCTAAAAACACTGAATAAAGCAGTTCCACCATAAAGTCACTGCTTCTCCCACGCTGTTGGGCAGATAAAGGACGTCCCGGAGGAGCTACCAGCCGAGCTGCTGCTAACGTTAGCTCAGAGTTAAAAAGCACCAAGATCTAAACAGTGGATGGTAACAATGTGGCTTCAGACTGGATAAACAGTCAATGCATGACAGCTTCTGGCAGACAACCACAACGCTGACGCAGGCAAAGCCAAAAAACAAAAAACAGATTAATTGAATTATTTTATCAACTTAATTTACAAAATTGTACATCTGTAGATAAAAAGAACAAAATTAAAATGAATTGTAAGCGTGAAAATTATAAGTAAGTGCTGAAACACAATATATAATACAGCATAAATTACACAGCGGCTGGATCAGCGTTGAGTCAACAGGAGGAGGAGACGACATCCTTATCTGGTCCGTTTCTGTAAAACAAACAAAATGTTTCTCACTAAAGTAAAAAATTATCCATGAAATGTCAGTTTCATCTAACTTGTGAACAGTTTAAATCTACACTGCAGAATTATCGTAACTAAGTTTAAGTAACAAAAACAACTCTTGCAGAAGTAACTGGATATTTTCTGCAGGTTTTATGTTTTGGAAAGTGAACATCTTTGGGTTTTGTACATTTCTTTACTCTGTTTTGACATTTTATAGACAAATTAGTGAGTTTATTAATCTGGAAATAATCAGAAGCATGAAGGAATATTGAAAATATTACGTAGTTTCAGTCATAGTAATGCTGAACTCTTACAGTACCATTCATTTCATGCACTAAATTCACAACATGCACTACATTATATAAATAACAGCCAACATAAAGAATGATAAAACCTACATTTATTTCAGTGACATCAGAACTTGTTGACGAGGGAATAAAGTGGCTCACTGGGTTGAGATGTTGCTGTAAAAAAAGACAAATATATGTATTTAAAGCAGCCACAGCTGTCCAAATATACACAGAATCATCTGAATGAATCGACTGTGTGACAGTAGCTGGATACTGATGACAGCTCAGTCTTTACCGCTCTCGTTTGCTAGTGCTGGAAGTTCATGGATGACGGAGTAAGTCTGATCGTTTTGGTTTAGACCATCTGGAAATTAAAACCGACACACATTTATTTATGATTAATAATGTGTTTCCTTCAATTACCAAGTTATGCACAAAAACAAACTCGTATTGAAACTGTATAACTGCCAGGTGGCACTTTAAGCCTAGTTTTTAATAACTCTTTAATAAATCTTATGTCTCACCTTGTGCAGATTCAAACACAGATCCAATTGAGACCTTTTCGTAGTAGATGTCAGGCATTTCCTCACCACTTCCTACCAAATAAGAGCATGAATGTGACACGGTAATTGATTCAGTGGACAGTCATTTATAGGAATGATGAAAGATAAGACGATATATGCACAAATATGTTAAAATATGTGAAATAAAAGGAATATACGCATTGTTTTGCACAGTTTATATGCTACCTAAAAAATACAAAAGGATTCGGTACTTTGATAAAGAAAATAGAAAAGCAAATATATTTAGTCGATTTTTGTCTGGGAAATAAAGGATTCTTTTTCAGTCATAATTTGTCACATTTTGTTAAAATTGTATCTTAAATCAATGAAAAATATAGCCAAAGGTTTACACCCCAAAACTTGCGTTGAACATGTAATGTGTACAAGTAAAACTATTTAGTCTGTTTCAGGTACTACTGATCTTTTATCTTTGTAACCTGCACACTAGTGACCTCCGCCCAGGGACTAAAGAGGAAAATGTGCTTTTAGCTATATAGCCTATTGTACAATACATGTATAAATAAACAGAAATAAATAAATACAGGACTTCAACCCAAGAGACTGCTGCTAGTGTCCCATGTGAAACCAGAAGTAAACAATTTATTTAAAGTTACCTTTTATTCATGTATCAGTTACGATATTTCATTAAACTGTATATTATAAATCTGTTTAACATGTTTTTTGTGCCGAAACCTAAGTGCGATCATTTCACAGCCTTAACCACGCAAGCTTTATTTTGAAAATCTAACAGGATTATCACTAACTTGACCACAGGACTGTGCACCCAGAAATAACACTAAAGGATACCTACTGCTTTACATTTTAAAGCAAGGGGCCACTGTGGCATTTAAGTAGTTGGGAGTGAAAACTTATTGAAAAGACACCATCATATTTATTTGGTTTTCATGTGTTGTGATTAAATATTCTACGTAGGTAAAGATGGTGTAAAGTTCTTTTTGTAATTTATAACCACCAAAATAAAGCATTTTCAGATACATTTTTATCGGTCATTCACCTCGTCTTTTGATGCGGCATCTCCAAATGAGGAAGAGGATGATGAAAATGATGAGGAGGAGGGGGAGGAGTATTACAGCCAGCAAAACAGCAGCTGAAAGATAAAATGAATCATAACTGACACACTAACACAGAAATATAGGTGAAATGATGGCGAGCTGCGACTCTCTCTCACCTCCCTCAGACTCCTCCTCTTTGCTCACATTCAGATACACAGCTGGTTTTCCATCACAGAAGTACAATCCGGCATCATCAGGCCGCAATTCTTTTATCGTCAGCGTATTTTCCCTGGCCGAATATTGAAACCTGCTCTCGTCCGTCTGATTCTGAGAGAAAACAGTGATGTTTGTTCCACTCCTTTCTCTGGTCCACGTTGGGACACGTGACTCAGAAACGTTTGAGAGGCATTTCAGACTGACGCTGGCCTCAGCAGTTAGTGTGGGTGTTCCTGTATGTGACAAAACATAGTGAGAGATTAATTAAAAGACAAAAATGATGTTAAAAAGCACAATTCATAATACAAGTCAGAAGGTGTGAAGACTTTCTTTGAGAAACTCCTTGTTCTTGCACACAAGTGGAGGAATAACAGTCAAAGTGCTGCTAGACGACTTTACTCCACTAAATCTCAGAGGTAAATAATTAGCTTTTACTCCCTTACATTTGTCTGACAGCTTTCAATTCAATTCAAATTAGTTTTATTTGTATAGCGCCAATTCATGACAGAAGTTCTCTCAGGACACTTGAACCTTGGACAGACCCTTCGGCTCTAGGTGGGTGGGTGGGAGAGAGAGAGAGAGAGAGAGAGAGAGAGAGAGAGAGAGAGAGAGAGAGAGAGGAAAAGAAGTAACGACAGAAGGACAGAGAACAGAGACAAAGGTGCCATACCCTTCCTGTCCCATTAAAACTATGTATCTCCAGATGTGCTCATTTTTAATATTTTTTTCTTTTATCCAGGTAGGGGCGGAGCTAGAGGGGTGGCCGGGGTAGCACTGGCCACCGCTGGAACCTGATTGGACACCCTGGGTGCCACCCCAGTTGATTGACAGGTGCACGTCACATCGAAAACAGCAAGATTTTTAAACGCAAACAGAGAAGGCAGAATAAACAGATAACAATGAAGAGGAACGGAGATATTTCCATCTTTTTGCTAAAAAACACAGATGAGGCACAGACAGACCCCAGCCCAGATATCAGCAGCTCCCAACATGAAACTAGTTGATTCATTAATTCTCATACCAGTGGCGTCTTTATTTGATCCTTGAGCTGAGTCTTGCGTCTAGTGTCGGTGATGTGCAGCCTTCTCTTTGTTTTGCCAAGACACCGACTTTTCCCACGGTGTTTTTAATTTCCTAATGAATGACGGTGCGCCGGTTTAACTGCTGCGCCAGAAACTGAAAGTGAAACTGAGGTCCGTTCTCTCCAGCCACTTTCCGTCCGTCAGAAAACTCTTTCCCCTGAGTTTAACTCAACAGTCAAGAAGTGATGTACAGTACCAGTCGGTACAGCTGCCGATCTATCTACGGATTGCTACAGTGATTCGTGTTCGAATCCGACCTGCGGTATCCCAGAGTTTTCATTTATTAGGCCTAGTATATGGCCCCCCCTCATAAATCCCTGACCACCTTCCGACCACCCCCTGTATTAAAGTCTAGTTCCGCCACAGTTTCCAGGTGTTTAATTTACACTTCAGTATATTTTTTCAAACTGTTTCTGTCGAGGTTACTTTCACACATAACCCAGCGAGAACGTTTTTTTGGTTTAGGATTGAGGTCACTGTTCCTGAGCTTTCACGTCAAACCATCAAGGCGGACACGTTGTTGTTTATGTTTCTCATCCCCGTTTTAAAGAACAGAGACGTTATAAAGACAATGTGAGAAGAGTTGGGATGGACTCAGACTGCTGGGTCCAGATCGTGGAGAGTTGCAGGTTTACCACTGCTTCTATTAGTTTGTTTGTTCTGTTGATGCAGTAATACATCTGACCGGATCGATTTGGATGTTTTTAAAAAAGCTTCCCCAACATTGATGATCATACAGTGAAAGGTTCAACATCTGTGTGAGTTCAAATATAGTGAAGCTATATATATATAACACATTACTTACAAAATTAATAAGTCTTAAAAAAATAAGTAAATTGGTAAAATAGTTTACATACATACATTTACAGTTGAAATGCACAATTTTATTCATTCATTCAAAACTATTATTGTTATCAAAGTTGAATAAAAAATGTAACATTTAACTCAGAGACATGATTTTAAAACATGAACAGAAAACATTTGCCTTTGAAATCCACCATTTCTTAGATATGTCATTTTACTTTATTAAAGTCTGATGTTACCTGATGGGATCACTGTCAGCTCCACAGCTGGTTCATTATTACAGAAATATCTTCCAGTGTCTGAGACAGTAACTCTATGAATGTGAAGTGATTTATCTGCCAGTGAACTGTATCGTCTGCCTGGATCATTAATGTGTTTTATGTCACTGTCACCAGTTGTAAGTATGTCAACTTTAGTTCCATCTCTCTCTCTGCTCCACGTCACTTTACCCTCCACAGATTGGGGACAACGCAGAGTGACAGAGTTCTTCTCCTTGGATGCTTTATAGGTTATTTCTGAAAAAGAAACACATTTCTTCAATAAATAAATATCCATTGGAAGTTATTTTCTGAGCACATCTTATCTAATAAGATGTCTTATCTAATGAGATGTCTGTTGGAAAGGATATATTTTATACTTTAGAGGTCCAGTGTGTAACATTGAGGATGATCTATTGGCAGAAATGATACATTTTATTCGTAGGTATGTTTTTATATGTACAGACACTGTAGGTCGTCTTCTGTGGAGTCTGCCTTATGAAACATTATGTTTCTACAGAACGAACAAACCAGATACTGGCTGTAAACAGGGCAGTTAGACTGCTGTAGTCTCTCCTTCGTGCTTGAAAGGGCAGGGTGAAGGGAGAGAGTTGCAATCTGCAACTACACTGCTAGATACCACTAAATCCTACACACTGGACCTTTTAACACACAGACTGAGATGTTAACATATAAATCCTGAACACTGTATACTGTAGATACAACAGTTAAATTCAACCAGTTCCTGTAAATCCTGCACTTGTGTCCGATCACCGTAGTTTCCTGCCCAAAACGGTGAGTCACCAAACTCACTTCCTTGTTTCTCGTTGTGAAGCTACAGACCAAACTGACATGTGCGACAGGAACGTCTCACATTTACCCTCCAAACAGTGCAATGTTATTCTTACTGGAACAAGTCTTCGGTTTTTAATTAATTATACAAAAAGTAAAAAATAACCGCAACTATTTTTGCAGTTTCATTGGAACATGCATCGCAATTTAAATTAAAGCTTGCAAACATCTGGAGGGACTGATATATAGACATCTATACAGGCATAGTGTACATAACCACTTGTTTTACGTATATAAAGTAATCTAATCATTCAGTATTTATTCCAACACTCTGCTTATTGTTCATTGTTCGTTTATACACGCATGTATTTCTTCATCTATGCAGTCAAATGTTTATTTTTACCCCTCTTATTTTTAGCTGTGTATCTGTTTCCAACTTCCTGTAAACTGTCCTACTGTAACATTGAGAGTAACGAAAAACTGGAGTCAGATTCCTTGTATACGTTCATATTCTTCATAAAGCTGATTTAGAATATTTAACTCTAAAGTGCAGAGTACACATATATTTCATATGATTCTTTTAATCTGTGGTTCTTTAAATTAAATATAAACTATACATCAATGACATGAAATACAAGCCCAAAATATAGCACGGCCTCAGAGTGTGGCCCGCATTATGACAATGAATACAAACAACAGTGCAGAGAACATAAAGTATTAAGACAAGTGCAATAAATAGATAAATGAAAAAAGTTCTTACGTGCACTGACATTACAGCCCAGAGCAAAGACTAACAGCCAGCTGAAGACGCTCACCCTCATCCTGATACACACTGAAATGATTCAATACACACAATAATGTCAGATCACATATTCTGTGTGGGCTGAAAACAGGAAACTACGTAATTCTTAAGAAAGCCTTTTTCTCAATGTGTCTTTTTTTGTTAAACACCAGTAATGTTTCCTCATGTAGTGCTGGGTAGTAACTTTTTATTGTGTATTTTGTGTCTCACTGACACTACACACTGAATATTTGCGGCATAATACCCTGAGAAAAGTTGTATTAAGTTACTGCTAATACAAACCCAATATTTCCTACTGCTGCAGCTTCACATTAAAAGCATTTAACTGTTGAAACACAAGCTGACTTTTATTGTGAAGTAGCGTGTTTGTCTGTAAAGATAAAGAAAAACAAGGACAAGATTATATTTTCTCCTTAAGTATTTATTGTGTGTCCTCACTACTGTGCTTAGTGACTTTGAAGAGTTAAACCTTACGTAGCAAGTGTACAGTAGGTGAATCACTGAGGTCAGTCTGCCTCTCAGTCTGGAAATGAACAGTTCGCATGCAACACACAGAGGAAGTAAAGATTCGTGAGTGTGGGTGAGAGAATGAAAGACAGCTTCTGTGTCCACCCAACAAAACTATTTTCATCACAGAAAGTCAGTGGGTGGAGGATGGTGTGAGGTTGGATGTCACGGAAAGGAAGAGGGTTTATATGATATCACACTATTAAGAATAGAAATAAGAAAGAAGTGAGAAAACATTCTAATAATGCAAATTAGAAACTCCCAGAATTTAACCTCACTCAGCAACATTTTGTGTTTTTTATTATTATGTCTGGCTTTTATGGGCTTTTTTAAATGGGATGATTTATTAACATGCTGCTGCGCTAGTAATAGCTCAGCAGTAATGTGTTAGAATGCCAACAAATTATTTGTTTACCTTTGTTAAAATCACAAAACATTTAAATGTTCTTATATCTTATATTATGGAAAGTTATATACTTGGAAAAGTCATATACTTGTGTCTCCATTTTAATCTCAAATGTAGTTGCTAATATATGGGGACCCAATACTGCTGTGGGAAATGTTCAGGTGTTTTTAAATTAAAAAAAGAAAATGTTTTAAACACAGACAAGGAACGAGGTATGAGAAGGCAGGTTTTCTTTTCATGTATGATAATAATTTTATTTATACAGCAGTTTTCAAGCTTATGCTCATGCTTTTCAGATTAAAAGATACAGAACAGATATTAAAATCAGAAACCTGTGTGAGTCCCCCTATAAGCATACAAAATAAAGAACATGAGCACATAATCCCGCAGCGCTGAGCTGAGATGGAAGTGTAAATGTAAAATGAAAAAAATAAATTAATATAAAACTGGCTGAAATCTAATTAAAGGAGATAACCACATATACAGACAAATATGATGCAATTCTAAGAGGTAAAACCTTTTTAAGTATAGGCCATCTTGTAGAGGTGAGTCTGCAAGAGGCGCTTAAAAGTTCTTTGATATTATCTGGAGCCAACCATGGATGGACTTGTAGGCAATTAATAACATTTTGAAATGTATTCTAGACTTTATGGAAAGCCAGTGCAGTGACATGACCTCCTGAATCTGGTCAATAACCTGGCTGCTGAGTTCTGGCTTAATTTTATTTGTGAGACTGAGTGGAAGTGTAAGCTGGTAAAAAGAGAGTTACAGTAGTCCAGGTGTGATGATATAAAGGCATCACTGACTTTTTCTGTGTCAATAAAACTGGGCCTGTGTCTTATCTTGGAGATGTTTTGTAATTTATAAAAACAAGCTATGGTAATTTCTAGTATGAAGATGTGGAAACCTAGCTGCCATCCAGTCTGTGACATTGGGATAAACAGGAATGCAAAATATTTAGATTGTTAAGGTCATGTGGTTTAAATGAGAGGTATAACAGTGAATCATCAACGTAAAAGACAACTCTTGAAGTGTCCTTCACGCCTGACCTGGTGAGAAGACAGCTGACGAGACTCCACTCCGGCAAAGCTGCAGGCCCCAACGGTGTTTTTCCCAGGGTGCAGGATTCTGATTCTTGCAGAAGCAGGTTTTCATATGGACAGCAGCACAATATTCTGGTCCAACGTTGGTCACTCTTGTTTCCAATCTGCCCATTGAGGAAAAAAACCACAGAATTTCTATCACTTTCATCTGTGAGTGAAGTCCAATAATTTGACACTAATTGTCTTTCAGAGACAGTTAATAAATATTTAAGTAATTGGACAATAAGACAAAGTTACGGAGCACAGGGCAGATACAGGCCAGAGGTTAGTGCTATAGATACAGGGCAAAAGTCAAGTGTTGTTGATACAGGGCAGAGGGCTGTGCTGTAAATACAGAGCAGCCGTCAGTGTTATAGATACAAGGCATAAATCAGTGCTGTAGATACAGGGCATAGCTTTACAGGACATAACTTTATTTCATACATTTTACCAAATATTTGAAGGTGTTGCCTGTTGCACTTAATGGGGCATACTTTTTAAAAGCTGCATTGGATTGCTAATAAATTTGGGGATGTTGTACATAAAGCCACATTGCACGTGTGTGTAACAATAGCTCCACCTTGTGGCCATTAATAAATCCTAGCTATATCTATTGAAAACAGTTTTCAATTATGACCAAATTTGAATTGTATCTTCAGATGTGACCAACTGTTGCAGCAGCAAATGCAAATATTCGTATGTTTGGGAATGCAATCCACCTTTTTAAGTATCTTGTGTTATAAGGAATCTTTGACCCAGTAAACCTACAGTACATATGTATTTACTCTTAATACAATGCAAACCAAAATGTGAAGCTGATGATTAAAGTTACCTTTAGTATTTCCGCGGATAATGGTGTAGGTAATCAAGGAATATGTGGACTCATTAGGTAGAAATGTCTCTGTAAAAACAAATAAATATAAATATAGTGAATATACACTAACCAAAAAAGAAAGCATCAGAATATTTGGGTCAATGTTGAAATGTGTGATCGTAAATGTTGATGTCTTAACTGGTCTTCTTTTCCACTGGTGGATGATTGGGGATGATGGAATATGGAATATGAATATTTATTAAAACATTTACCAAAAAACTTTATTATTCAGAACAGATTTAGAGTAACATTTTAAGCTAAGCATTGATCTTATGAACGTCTGCTTTTCATTATTTACCCAGGAAATCTGTCATGTTGTACGTAGCTGTTGATCTGTATAAGCTTTCCACACCTGGCAACAAAGCAAACAAAATAATACTAAACTTTTTGTTCTGTTGTATCTTATTGGTTGTTTTATAAGACAGAAAAGTATAAATGCATTTGTTTATGAAGTTCTCTATCGTATTGAGACTGTCTCAGTTACAGTTACAGGTGGAGTCATTCTCTGGACATTTAACAGGCTGAGGAGAACAACAGTTACAAACTTGCAACTGGGTGGAAAATATCTAAAAACATAACAAAAAAATCTGGCAAGGAGATAATGGCTACTTCTTTGGCTGCCGCGTTGAACTTAGGAAAACTAAAAAACTTAGAAGTAGAAGTTAGAGTAGAACTTAGGAAAACTAAAAAACTTTTAAAGCTGTTGTTAAACATCAAACAGTCAAAGCAAGATTTTTTCTAAAATGTTACAATTCTCACAAAAGCAAACACAAAGATCCCAGTGTACAACTCCATTTCATAACAGTCTCGATCATTATAGAAAAAGGAAGTCTGTCTATTCTGAAAATGGAACACTTATTTTTTCTCAATGTTTGTAGACATGAACACCAATCCACACGGTATCTCATCATAGGCCGTGTGTATTTCTTCAGTTCCTATAAAAAAGATTGTGAAGGTCACAAATCCGTTGACAAACAGGCAGCTTTTTACTATATGTATATACATAAACATTCATTTTTATTCTATTGTGTTAGATATTGTATGTAAGTACTTTTCTTTAACGTTGTGTGAGTGGAACAACTGTAATGAACAAATTTCCCCCCGGGGATCAATAAAGTATTTCTGATTCTGATTCTGATATAAAACACAACAGTGAAACAGTTTCTTCTTATCAGTAAATTGAATCTTCTGAACAGAGGTCAACCTACTGTCAGGGTGGAAGTACAGTAAAGACCAGATCAAACCAGGTCAGTTTAGTCTCACCAAAGTGAACCCATACAGATGCAAAAATGATTATTCCCACAATTTTACCATATCGTACAGACCTTGTCTAGAGGACAATAAATCTCAGATGACCTCTGCACATTTCTCTGAGGAAAGCTATAATTTGATCTTAAAAAAAAAGCTCCATAGAAGATCATTTTTATTCACCTTGTCTTTTAAACCTGCAACTCTGAGTAAAGTAGAAGATGAAGATGATGATGATGAGGACAGGTAAGGGGACGACTATTCCTAACATCAAACCAAGAGGTGGTATCTGGTCTGGAGGAGGTGCTGGAAGACAAAGAAAGAATGAATAATGTATTGTATGTTATTCTCAGTACCTGCTGCCCTTTGCTGCGTGTCAAAAAGAGTTGGTAGTCGCATCTTATTAGTTAACACTGATGTTCAAAAAATTAAAATTTATGGTCATAAAAGCAACATAAAATATGTGAGCAGATGTTTAATGTTCACTTTACCTCACAGTAACTCTGTTTCATCATTTCTATGAAAATATAAAACAACATTATTAAAACTGATGACAGTGCTGCACAGACTGAACAGTTTGAAAAGTTCTTACCTGCAGTGACATTGCAGCTCAGAACAAAAGCTAACAGGCAGCAGCAGATATTCCCCCTCATCTTCATACAGACTGAACTGACTGAACAGAGCACGCTGTCTGTCTGAGCTGGGAACAGGAACTCAGCTAGGTGTTATCGTGAGTTCCTCTAAAAACCCACATGGTCAACTTATTAGAATGTATTTGTCTCTTTCTTTCTGTGGTTAACAGCCACTGATGTTTCCTCTCTTCTAAAAATACAATATGGTCACAACCAGCACAAGAAAGTCACAAAAAAAATAAAAAAAAATAAAAAACATAGCTATCATTGTCTTATATTTTATAAGTTATGACTTTATTGATCCCCAAAAGGGAAATCATGTTATAGTTGTTATAACTGGAACCAAGAAGCAGGACTCAAAGGCACGACGCGACACAAGTCCTTGAGGTTAAAACTGTTTTTTACTTGATTAAATGAAACTTCGATAAGCACAAACAAAGAAATCTGGAGGGCAAAGGAAGAACACCACAACACAATAATCCAAACCAAAGTTTAACACGACACTATTTAAACTGCATGAACGTTTGACACAAAGACGACCTGCAGCAGACTGACCAACAGACATTATATACTCTTAGATCTGGATGAACATGATCAAGTTATGGTCAGTAGTTCTTTGGAGTTTATTTCCTCCCTGGTGTCCCTGTCTCTCTCTCTCTGTGGACTCCACTCTCCCTGATTACCTGCTCACCTGTCTGACTGCTCAAACCTGCCAGCCATCAACTCATCAGTCCTGCAGTATATAAACCCTGGTTCTCCGTCCACTCTCTGTCACATCGTTGTCTCTCTATGCCTGGTAGTAACCTTCTTGCCCACTTAAAAATGTTAGAAGTTTTTTTTCCTGTCTGTGCTGTGAACTTTAACCTTGTTTTTTGCCGTGCCTCACGATCACCACCTTCACTTCCGCTACCTGCCCGCTCTTTCCCATCAGCCGCGCTGCCTCCATCTTCAGTTCCACTCTGCCTGGATCTCAGCCATAATCTTCTCACCACTGCCAGCAGGACCTTCACGTCACCATTTCATCAGCTGGTTCTCAATAAAGCCTGTCTTTGGTAACACAACCAACTGAGTTTGAGTTCTGCTTGTCGGTTCCTCTGTTTAACATAAGAGATCAAGGCGGGGCAAACAAAAGGACAGGAAGTGAAGTGATCTGCAAAACTTCATTATGAGACCATAATGTTAGTGTGTGACACATTATGGTCTCTCTGCTCTCACTGGCTGATCCATTGATCCATTGATTGATGTTGGTGTATGTATCAGATTCCTTCGCTGCTCTTTTAATCTGGTCACACTGATTAACAACATTAGTGGAGTCTTTGCTGACACAGCGGCTTACATGGAAGGATGCTCTTAACTTAAGTTATAAAGAGTTCGGTCTAGACCTGCTCTATTTGAAAAGTGTCCTGAGATAACTTCTGTTATGAATTGGCGCTTTACAAATAAAATTGAATTGAATTAATGATCTCAAATATGTTTTTTTAGTAAAAGAAATTCTTAAATACATTTAAAAACATAAAATTACAATAATTACAATATAATACCCAAAGGTAAATTTCATGGAGCTTTAAGGCGCCTTTGCAAGAAAAAGATGATTTTACATCTTTCATAAGTTGTGAATTTTACATTTGGGAATGATGTGAGGATCTTAACGTACACATGAATTAAGTCACATTTTCTTTTTCGCCAGTCAAACAGTTTTAAGCTCAACTTTCAAAAAATAAATCCGCTTTTTCCCCTCACAGTAACAGCGGCACAATATTCAGGTCCAACGTTGGTCACTGGTTTCCAGCTGCTTTGGGTTTCTCCAGTAAAGAATACGTGTTGTCAGTCGGCTGTGAGGAAAAGAAATCTCATATTATAACGGCTCTTTGATCCAGTAAACCTACAGTACAAATGTATTTACATTTAATACAACAAACCAGAATGTGGAGCTGATGATTAAAGTTACCTTTATTATTTCCACCGAGAAAAGTGCAGCTGATCCAGGATTACGAGAACTCATTAGGTGGAAATGTGTCTGTACACAAAAAAATATTAAATACAATGAATAACCATTTGGTTCAATGTTTAAATGTGAATGTTGATGTCTTTACCGGTCTTCATTTGCACTGGAGGAAGATCAGAGATGGTTGAATACGTTGGATCACTGTGGTTTGATTCATCTATTAAAACATTAACCAACAGCCATCATTAACCAGAACCAACTCAAGGATAAACCTGATTACAGTTTCTGAACTTTAGAAATCTGTGGACATCAACGTGAGATTCATCCAATTTATAAAGTTAGACAAGAAAGAAGGAGGAGAAGAGCCCTGAGTGATCACCGTTTGTAGATTGAAACAATGATCCATCCTCTATATCGTCATAGTCGAACATTTTCACAAGGTCTCGGTTTCAGAAATCTGCTGAGTAATCAGTGATTATCTGCTTTACACTGACAAACGGGCGACCTTTGACACCCATACGATGATGTCTCTGTAATACAACTGTATTTCCCTTCAAACTGACACCTTCAGTCTCAGACATTGTGTTTGGTCCCGGGTCCGGCTGTGTTTAATGGGAAGTTAAGGTAAATGCTGAGACTAGCTCATAGCGCTAGCTGCATAGCGGTGGTCAGCGTAACACTCAGTGCGATTGGCTGCTGTAAACTCAATTCAGGTACACACACACACACACACACTGTACATGAGATCCACATATCATCAGTCAGCCCCTGTAGACCGTCTCATCTCTTATGTTGTTTTTAATTATTTACCTGAATAATCTGACATGCTGAATGAATCTATTGATCCAGGCAAACTTTCCTCACCTGCCAGAAACAAAGCAAAACAGAAGAATACTAAACTTTTGGATTAAGGTTCTGTTGTATCTTCGTGGTTGTTCTATAAGACAGAAAAGTGTCTCTTATTGAGAGAAAGGTGCCCAAACCTTTTTCCTTGGAGTCAAAACTGAAACTTAATGGTGGGTCACAGGCCAAAAGCAGATTGGGCAACCCTGGTATTGAGATTAATATCTATCTGTCCACCCACCTGCATATTCCATCAGTACAGGTGGGGACATTCCTGTACGTATGGAATATAGAGCAAGGTGTTACAATGTAACCTACAGATATGAAATGGTGGAAAATATTTAAAAACTTTAAAATTTTGGTTAAAATAAATCTGGCTCGGAGATATGATGAGTTCTTTGGCTGCTGCCTTTTGCACCTTGAGTTGCACTTTGGGAAAGAGGTTAAAAATTGTGTTTATTGTGTAACAAATTGAAGTTTTCTGGACTCAGATGGACAGAAGAGTTCTTGAGGATTTTGTAAAAAGCTTTAAAGCTGCAGTTTAAACATCCACAATACTCATGAATGCGAGCACAAATAACACAAATAAAAATACTTTAAAAGGAACCCATTTATTCTCACGGTTTATAGATTGAAGCACAGATTCATCCTGAATACAATCATAGACAGCGTCTGTTTCTTCAGTTCCTGCAAAAGAGATTGTGAAGGTCACAGTTTCAGTAATCTGCTGAGTAATCAGTGGTTATCTGCTTTAAAATGACAAACCAGGGGAGGGAGGGTGCCCTGGTAGCTGACCTGGTAGAGCTGGTACCACATGTACCGAGGCTGAGCTGTAGCGACCGTGGGTTTGAGTCTGACCTGTGGCCCCTAGCTGCGTGTCGTCTCCTCTCTCTTCCACTTTCCTTCCTTCAAAAAGCCCCAAAAATAAATATAAAAACCAAAAACAATCAGCCTTTGACACGTCAGTCTATTCACTCAGTTTGTTCACCTTGTCTCTCAAACCTGCATCTCTGTCTACAGCAGATGATGATGTTGATGATGATGAAGAGTAAGAGGAAAAGGACAACGACTTCAATCACCAAACTAAGAGGTGTTCTCTGGTCTTTAGGAGGCGCTGAGAGACAAAGTAAGAATTAATAACACAGAAGATCTCTGATCATTTAGCTGAGAGTGAGCAGAAGAGAGGGATGTACTTACACTGTAATACTGTAGTTCCTGTAGTTCCTTCTGCTGCTGGTGTTGTTGATGTTGTTGATGTTGTTGTTGTTGATGTTGTTGATGTTGATGATGTTGTTGATGTTGTTGACGTTGTTGTTGTTGATGATGTTGTTGATGTTGGTGTCGTTTCACCGTCTGTATGGAGCAGAGAAAATGAATCGTACAGTATGCTGATGTAATTGCATCGTGCTTACATTCTGGGATTTTCTGGTTGCTAATAGTATTACTGTAACCAACATGGCTCCCATAGTAGATGTTAGTGTCACTGGTTAGCACACAGCAGTATGTCCCAATGTTAGCTTTCAGCTGAAAAAAACAAACGCATGTCGGCCTACAGGACAAAATCCAGGTTAGCCATGCTTGATAGTGTGATTGTCACTGCAATAAAAAAAGTAATAATATAAAAGTTTTATCTTTATTTCTCTAGGAATGCTACGTTGTTTTTAAAAAAATGTATTAATGGTTTCAGAAATGGATTCGTCTGTTTAAATGAATCTAAATTGTGTATTAAGCCTTTGTGCCCTCAGATTTTACCATTGTAATACACAATGTCAGCACTGAACAGCACCATTCATTTCCTGTGGTGAGTTGCCTAGCAACAGTGCTCTCTCAGTTTGAACCATCGTGTGCAGAGCGTGTTTTATCTGACTGTAACCACAAGTTTCATTTGAGTTAAACCTGTTCTTCTGCATATCTCTGCATCTTTCTGTTTCAGTAACTGCTTTACATTATTTATTATTGTTGCATTCAGAGTGTTTTTATTGGTAGTTTTAGGGTTAGTTCTGGTCTCTGACTCTCATATTGATCACCTTTTCATCAGTTCAGCTCTGTTTGACTTTCCTTTGTATTTCTGGGTCTCTCTTAATGTTGCTGCAGGAGCTGCTGCTGTTTGTGTTGTAGTAGTATTTGTTGTGAGTGGTGTGCTGTTATCAGTGTGACAAAGAGGATATATATATATATAACTGGGTTCAAGTGCACTTTACCACAGACAGTCACGGGTCAGAAGTGTCAGACATTTAACCACGAGAGTTTCATTCAAAGGTAGAATTCAACTTGCCATCTTGGTAGACCTGCAGATTACAGTCATACTGTATTTACCTTTATTGAGTCTTGTGTTCAGTTGTTTATCTGCATTATCTGTTTAAAGAAGATCAATACCACTCTTATGGAGCTACAGCCAGCTGTCTGTTAGCTTAGCACAAAGACTGGAAACAGGGGGAAACAGCTAGCCTGACTCTGTACAAAGGGAACAAAATATTTCTGTCTTCCTGTCTGTCTTCTTGTGTCTCACCTCTCTCAGATGTCTCATCTTTGTTCACAGTCAGATACGCAGCAGGTTTTCCATCACAGTAATAAAGTCCAGAGTCAGCAGGCTGCAGGTCTGTTATTATCAACGTGTTGTCAGCAGGTGAAACATGAAACCGTCTCTGTTGTTGTATTTCAACAGCGTCTCTGCTCCATGTTGGAACATCTGATCCTCCAACATCAGGAGGACATTTCAGAGTGATGGTGGTCCTCTCTGCAGCATCAAGTCTGGTTGTTCCTGTACACAGCAAACAACACAGGACTCATATTTTATAATGTACCATCATAAACTTATCACACAGATTCAGGATAAAGTCAGAGACCATGTGAAACCGAGGAACTAACATCTGTCACTGCACAGCTGTATTTTAGTTTAAAATATACGTCATCAAATAAGTTCCTGAATTAGGTGTTAGAGAGGTGTGCAGATGAGATCAGAGATAGTTGTATACATATATAATGTATTTGATTTCAGATTTAGTGAAAGAAATAAAATCAGAACTACAGATGTTCACCAAAACTCAACTACAGTACCAGGAAGTAAATATGGAAAATGAATTCCCTTCTGTTCCTGCCAATCTACTGATGGATGAAACTGAAACCTAAAAAACACATTTACATTTGAAATCCACCATTTCATTAATATGTGAAAGTTTAATAAAAATGAAACATTTAGCTCAGAGACATGAAGAGAAAACAGAACAACTTTATTAAAGTCTGATGTTACCTGATGGGATCACCGTCAGCTCCACAGCTGGTTCATTATTACAGAAGTATCTTCCAGTGTCTGAGACAGTAACTCTACCAATGTAAAGTGATTTATCTGTCTGTGAACTGTATCGTTTGCCTGGATCATTGTGTCTTATCTCTCTGTCACCATCAATTGTAAATATGTCAACTTTAGTTCCATCTCTCTCTCTGCTCCACGTCACTTTACCCTCCACAGAGTGAGGACAACGCAGAGAGACAGGGTCCTTCTCCTCAACTATTTTATGGATTATTGCTGCAAAAGAAACAGACATTAAATTAGCATCTGTTCTCACAATGTCAGCATTTCTAATATTGCATTGAACAAACAGTTTACTATCAGAGTCACAATCAACTGTTGAATGCACAGTGTTCATTATGTGACCTTGTTTAATGAATGTGAACCTGTTGTTCCCACATTATAACCAGTTCACACTAAAGATACAGAGGAGGGTTGTTGTCAGTGGAGATTGCAGCCACACTTGTCCACAGAGAGAAAGTGGAACAAAATTGCATCAAAAGAAAATACTTTTCAAACATTTGTTATTGACTCTGTCTGTTCTGGCAAATTCAATGCACGTTACGTACTTGGCACGTTCTTTATTGTCATTTTATGCAACCTCATTTTGGTCTGTTCAAAGGCTCTAACACACCGGGCCAACGTTGGACCGTCGGTGGATTTTACTGGCATGTTAAATTGGTGGCGGAGGCCATCGGTGAGAGAAATCACTCTGATTGGTTGTTCAGAGAGCACGCAGACGATCGACTCATTATCAACTTCATCAGATCGCTCAAATACACAGATATTTTAACAACAAGCAGCTGTTTCACAAAGCGAGAGCAGGGAAACCTACAACCTACACAGGGCTGCCTTTCTTTATATCTCCAGTCCTAGATCTTCCAGGGTTATTTTTTGAATGCTGAATGCAGACTACCGCCACCTGCTGCTGTGTAGAGTTATTACCTCTCGCGCAGGTGCAGGACATACGTGCTAGTTGGCTGTTCACTGTAGTTGACAGTGTGTTTTAGTGTTCTAGTGCGATGCAACAGTCTGCTCTTGTGGCTGCTAATTCTTTAATGACGGTTTGGTGTTTTCAGGAGCTCTAGAAAGTCACACAGACTGTTGTGTACTGTCTGCTGTGTGCTGGCTGTTTTAGTTTCTCAGTGTAGAGCAAAAAACATTGCAAATATTCTCTATATGAAGTGAAATGTAATAATTGTAGGTTATATGTTTGCACGTAGACGAGTGTTCATGTCTGTGTACGTGCACTATCTCACCCTCAGAAACCACGGTGCAATTCTAACACTTCTACAGAACTTTATGGTCATAAAAGCAACATAAAATATGTGAGCAGATGTTTGTTAATGTATTCCCTCTGATCGATCTCATTATTCACATCAGTTAATCTATCGAGACTATTTACAAACACACTTCCTGAAGTAATGTTCACTTTACCTCACAGTAACTCTGGCTGTTTAATTGCTCATGAACATAATTTTATGAAATATGAAAATGTAAAACAGTGTTATTAAAACTGATGACAGTGCTGCACAGACTGAACAGTTTGAAAAGTTCTTACCTGCAGTGACATTGCAGCTCTGAACAAAAGCTAACAGGCAGCAGCAGATATTCCCCCTCATCTTCATACAGACTGAACTGACTGAACAGAGCACACTGTCTGTCTGAGCTGAGAACAGGAACTCAGCTAGGTGTTATCGTGTGTTCCTCTAACAAAAAAACCCACAATGTCAACTCAATAGAATGTATTTGTCTCTTTCTTTCTGTGGTTAACAGCCACTGAGGTTTCCTCTCCTCTGAATAAACAATATGGTTATCGGTCAGTCACAACCAGCACACCAGTTATATATATATATACACTGGAAAAAATAGAAAACATCAAATTTAATCAAATCAAATGCATTTATTAAGCTCCAGAGAGGGGAAATCATGTCGCAGTACAGAAACTGTCTGAGGTACATTTAATACTATTTAAAATAATAATATATAAATAATAATACATTAAGAAGATACAGACGGGTGACAAATTAAAGGAAAAACCAACATAAAGTGTCCTAGTCAGAGATAAAGAAACAAAGATAGCTATAGACACAAAATACAAAATATTTAGGACCTAATGGCATTTTCAAGACTACAACACATCTGAATGACAACAACCACCCACAGCCAAGAAAGACAGAAATCAGTCACTTTTTTCAGCAGTGGCGAAAATGTACATATTCTATGGATCATGCACATGGGCGTGGCAAAATGCCTCAACAGCGCCCCCTAACCTGCAGTCATTGCACCCTGTTTCACAATATATTTATGTATATCTGAAAATTGGTACACAGACGTATTATATACAGATATACAAAATAGCCTCAAAGACCCATGCCCCAAACCCCCTGAAACTGGTTTAATCTTGACTTTAGAAAAAGAAACAAGCTTTGTTTCCCCGTATTTTCCTATAAACAGCTCTTACAGAAGCAGGTTTCAACCTGACAGCGGTACACTGTTCAGGTCCAACGTTGGTCACTGGTTTCCAGGTGCTTTGGGTTTCTCCAGAAAAGAATACGTGTTTTCAGTCGGCTGTGAAGAACCTGTTCATCGAGACATAATCACAGAATTTCTGTCACTATGTAGGTGAAAATTACTCACAACTGCTTATCATTCAATATATATTCAACTTAGCTTTTGTAGATTTACTTTTTTATTTTGCCTCATTTGGAAATACAATCTGTCTGTTTACGTAGCTCATATTATAACTTTGACCCAGTAAACTTACAGTAAATACAGTGGTGGCCAAAGTTATTATGACACTTATTTAAGAGGTTTTAGTTGTTTTTGTTTAATTGGCTATTAAAATACCCGTAATACGAATGAGATCTACAAAGTCATCATTATGCTCTCTAAACCATAGAATAGAGCCATCATAAGAAGATTTAGGTCATTTTCCTTACAAAAAACAAGCTAGGCCTATTTCACTGTCAATGTCACACAATCATGTTCCTTCACAGAAGAAGCCAAGTTAGTTGTGTAATCATTGTCAGGTGTGATCATGGTTAAATTGATGGTGATGCAAGATACAGCTGTGTGATTCTTTTGAATGTACAAGGCCTATCCTGCTCATTAAGTGATTGGTAACATTAGGGTTTGATCACTGAGGCCACACCACCAATTGGTATAAATTCAAAGCCTCTAGAAGTAGTCTTGAAGCACATCTTGCTCTTTGAACGTGGCTAAGGTGAAGAAGGAGCTAACAAGTGAGCAATGGGTTCGAAATAAGGCCCTTTTTTGATGCTGGCTGGAGTTACTGCTGCATAGCCAAGGACTTGAAATGCAGTCAAAGCACTATAAAGTACACTTTAGACCACCATGATGGTAGAAAAAGGAAACTTTCAGACAAGTGAAGCATCTCAAAATTCTCAGTCCGAAGAAAGACCTCATGAGAACTGCGTGACGAGATCAACACAACAGTGACTAATGGTGCAACAGTGTCTTCAAGAACTGTGCGTCGGAAACTGGGAGAAGAAGGACTTGTTGGCAGAATAGCAGCAAAGAAACATTACTGAAAGAGAAAAATAGAATGAAACGCCTGAAATTTGCAAAAGAACACAAAAATGGACAAAGGAAGATTGGTATAAAGTGTTGTGGACTGATGAGTCCAAGTTTGAACAGTTTGGCAACAAGCATATTTCAGTTAGAGTGTACGAGGGAGGGGGGAGATGGGGTAATATTATGGTGTAGGGTGTCATTTCAGCCTCAGGAACAGGTGACTTAGTAAAAAGTGATGGCATCACGGATAAGAAAGTATACCACAACATTCTGGTGAGTCATGGAGTACCATCTGGGGTCGTCTTATTGGGCCTGGATTTATTTTCCAAGAGGACAATGACCCTAAACATTCTTCTAACTATTGCCGGATCTACCTGCGACAGAACGAATCTGCTGGAACATTGAAAACGATGCACCGGCCCCCTCAAAGTCAGGACCTCAACCCCATCGTGCAAATTTGGGGCGAGTTGGAAAATAAACTGGACAGACCTATTGTACATTCAAAGGAAAGCCTTTGGCTTGAGTTGCAGAAGGCATGGGATAATGTTAGTGTTTAAGTTATTGAGTAAATATATTGACATTATGCCAGAAAGATGTGCTGCTGTAATTGCAAATATTACAGTTAAAAGTGGATAAAACAGTAGGACAACCATCTGCATGTTTAATGAACATTATGAAATTAAATCATGTTTTGGAGGCAAAAAAAGGCCAATATTTTCAGATCTGTCAGGTGTTCTAATAATTTTGGCCACCACTGTATGTAAAATCTGCAGCTGATGATTAAAGTTACCTTTATTATTTCCTCCAAGAAAAGTGCCGCCGATCAAGGAATATGGAGAGTCATTAGGTAGAAATGTCTCTGTTAAAAGAAATTAAATATAATGAATAACCAGAAATATAACCTCAGAATATTTGTTTCAATGTTAAAATGTGTGATTGTGAATGTTGATTACCAGTCTTCTCTCCCACTGGTGGAAGATCAGTGATGGTGGAATATGTGGGTTCGTTTGTTGAACCACCTATTAAAACATTTACCAACAAGCTTTATTAACGATATTCTACAGGTAAGGATACCAAATTACAACGTTTTACAATTTCAATAAAACAAGAAGAAACATTTTTATTAGGGATGCTCGATATTGGCTTTTCTGCCGATATCTGATATTCTGATATTGTCCAAATTTCCGATACCGATATCACCCGATACCGATATATGCAGGCTTTTTACACCAAAACTGTTAGGTAACAACATAACATATCTCCTATTGTGGAATTAACACATTATGCCTCATTTTATTGTGATGCCCCACTGGTAGGGTGGCCATTTCCTTCACATCAAAAAGGAGGACACTTTGCATACACGGGGACACGCAAGCAGATATTTGTTTGGTATGATCCGGTTTTAAATTTTAATGTTTTTCCACCAGATTACATAAAGGTGCATACACATACCACATAGCTAATAATAAATATACAAGATACAGCTCATGACAACTTGGCCTTCAAATTCAGATTACATAGGTCTAATAAACATCATACAGAAACTGTTCTTAATGTTTTTATCTGGATAGATAAAGGGGAAAAAAATACAGCACCTTCTGTTTCAGATGAGTATGAGCATTTTCAGAATTTCAGTCCAACAACTGACGTTAGCTCACCTTACGTTCTCTGTCACTGAGAGCTTGATTGACAGCCTGGTGGTAACCTAGCAACTGCGGTGAGTCAACACATGGCTCATTTATATATTAAAATTAGCCATGTGTTGATAGGTCACAACACAAAAATGTAACCAATGAAATTACTTATTTTGACTCATATTTTTAGCCAATAAGTATTAAACTAACGAGGTAATGTGTCAAAAGGCGCCTGCAGCCGGACCGATGGCCACCCTACCCACTGGATGCATACATAAATGCAACATGGCTTTCCAAATGTAAACACTGTCTGTGCAAAATAAGAGAACAACTTCAACTTTCATTGTATTAATACTGAAAAGAGCGCTAACGCTAAGCACTAGCTTTGCTTAATGTGTTTAATTGTATTATTCACCTGAAGGAGTGCTAATGTAAATTCTAAGCCAATTGTTAGTTTGGTTAAGGAACAGCTCATAGCAGGGTCAAATATTTAAGGTGCATTGAACTTATTTTGTGTTAATATTAAAATCATTCAGCTTTAAATTGTTTGCTTGTTAGCCACGTTAGCAACCAACCAGCATAGTGTAGTTGTTGTTGTTATACGTCATCTAGCGCGCACCGGTAAACGTCCCATGCTGCGTTCATGCAGGCTCGGAAATGCTGAAGCCTACAGAACAAACATCGGTTATAAAAACCCGATACCGATAATTCCCAATATTAAATTTTTAGTGAATATCGGCCGAAAATATCGGACATCCCTAATTTTTATACAGCAGGTTCCTTGGATGATGCCAGTGTTACTGATAATAGGCCACGCCCATTCATCCCTTAAAAACATTTTGCCCCCTTTTTTTTGGGGAAAGAGATATATGCTTCTTTTTGCACATATTTCATCCAATCTTTCGCACAACAGCAGGGTAGCATATGTAGATGAAGCCAAACAAGATCCTTTTGTCTTGACAGTTTGTGTTTGGGGATCACTTACGAAGGCAGGGACCGATGCACTAAACAGGCCATAATTATTCAATGTTAAATTGGATTGCAACTAAATTCATGAATAATGTACATAAAGCCATGCTGCACGTGTGTAACATTTCATACAATTCTCCTGACAATAGCTCCACAATAATACTAAGTTACAGAGCACAGGACACAGGTCAGTGCTGCATACAGGTCAGAGGTCAGTACACTTTATTTGATTCAAAAATTTGTAAAAAGAATATTGTTATATAGGTCAGTGCTGTAGATACAGGTCAGGGGTCTGTACTCTGTCTGTACTCTGTACTATTATATTTATTAATAAAAATAGTAACAATAAGTATATTAGTAATATTGACTGTATTTCATAAGTTTTAGTCCAATAATTTGATAATAATTGTCTTTCAGAGACAGTTAATAAAGTTTTGGCCAAGTCCATTTGACAATAATAATAAGTTACAGAGGACAGTGCTGTAGATACGTGGCATAGGTCATGTAATATTAACTTTATTCGTAAGTTTCAATGAAGTCCAATAATTTGATAGTAATTATGTTATTGCTGCAAGCAACACAGGAAATGCAAATATTCTAGTTAAGAACTGATCTGATCTGCTGTGCACCTGTCTGTCTGTCTGTCTCTCGCTCTCTCTTGCCTCTCTCGCCTCTCTCTCTCTCTCTCTCTCTCTCTCTCTCACCCCAACTGGTAGAAGACACCACCCACCTAGACCGGAGGATCGTCCTAGGTTTCTGCCTTTTAACAGGCAGTTTTCCTTGCCCTGTCGCCTAGTGCTTGCTCATGGTGGTACTGTTGGGTCTCTGTAATTAATGTTAAAGAGTTCGGTCTAGACCTGCTCTATTTGAAAAGTGTCCTGAGATAACTTCTGTTATGAATTGGCGCTATACAAATAAAATTGAATTGAATTTAATTGAATCTTATGAAAGATACCTGGAAGATCTATCATGTAGTATGTAGCTGTTGGTCCAGACAAGCTTTCCACACCTGCCAAAAGAAATTTAAAAAAAGAACATTAAACTCTTTGTTTAATGTTCTGTTTTATCTCTTTGGTTGTTTTGTAAGACAGAAAAGTTGCATATTTGTATATAAAGTTCTAGTGATTGAGACTTTCTCTCCAGCAGCTACAGGTGGCAACACTCCCCAGGTAGGTGAATTCAGTTCAAGTGAATTAAATTACAGAACGTTATTATACGTTCTATTCTGTAAATACCCTTATTTTTAAAAAAAAAAAAAGGATTTTTTTATGTCACAAAACTCACAAATGCACAAAGCACAAATAAAACAGTGTAGACTTTAATTTATATTGTTCATTATAGAAATGGTATTATTCTATTATCTATTTTAAAAAGTAACTCTTATTGTTTCTCACCGTTTGTAGACTGAAACACTGATCCGTCCTGTATATCCTCGTAGACAGGGAAACTTTCTTCAGTTCCTGCAAAAGAAGATTGTGAAGGTCACAGTTTCAGTAGTCTGCTGAGTAATCAGTGATTATCTGCTTTAAAATGACAAACAGGCGACCTTTGACACCCCATACAATGATGTCTCATTGGGCTCTAGTGTAGCGTGATGTTGTCTATGAAACGCAACAATGCAGCAATTGCTTGTCATCAGTAAATTCAGTTCAGTTTAATTCTGCCCCACAAATATAAAATATGAATGAACAGTTAAAAACAAAATGAAGAAAGCACAGAGAACTAATGTGACTAACTAGCTAAAGTGTTAGCACAGCAGTTCACTGTGGGTACGTCATCAATCTTTCTCTGTCTGTGTGACCAGATATTAAGGCTTACAGTTTAAATGTAGTTATTAATTAGAGAAGGGAAAGAGAGATGCAGCAACGGGCCGAACTTGACCCACGGAAATCTACCTGTAATCGCTCTGTAGGGTATATACAGTCAACATATAGCTTACAGGTTTTTATTTACCTTGTCTCTTAAACCTGCATCTCCGCGTACAGTAGACGATGATGATGATGATGACAAGGAGGAAGAAGGAAACAGCTATTCCTAACACCAAACCAAGTTGGGTGTCAGGTGGTTGCTGGTTTTCAGGAGCCGCTGGAAGACAAAGTAAGAATGAATAACGTCACGTTATACACAGTACAGTGCTCAGTTTGTCACAGGTTCAGTTCCGTATCTACAGGTTCGAATTGCATTATTATTTGTTCCAACTGCTGATGTACGTCATTTTAAACATTTAACATGTAAATGTGGATCGGAGGTGGCAGGCCCACCTCATTCACAGGAGGTCAAGTAGCTTTTGCTGACCCTAAATTATGTTTCTGTTTTGTCGCAGTGGTTCAGACTTGTGCTTTAGACGCTGTAGAATGATCCCAAACACTGACAGTCCCCCGAGCTCTGAGCACAGATAGCTGCTGCTGATCAGGGTTGTGGTTACAGCAGCACTGATGTCAAATAATCCTTCAGCTATTACTATTTCTATCACACATTTACAACAGCAGGTGGCGCAGTTCAACTGTGAAGGTCAACTGTTTACTGTTTCTGGAGGCCAAACGCTGTGAAGTCACTGTCCTGTGCAGGAGAGGGGAGGAGGCAGCAGAGGTGAAGGGTGTACTTACACTGTGTTGTAGTCAGTGTTGAAGTTGAAGGAGTTTGTTTTGTTGTTGTTGTTGTTGAAGTTGTAGGAGTTTGTTTTGTTGTTGTTGTTGTTGAAGTTGTAGGAATTTGTTTTGTTGTTGTTGTTGTTGTTGTTGTTGGTGTTGAAGTTGTAGGAGTTTGTTTTGTTGTTGTTGTTGTTGCTGCTGTTATTGTTGTTGTAGAAGTTTGTTTCGTTGTTGTTGTTGTTGTTGCTGTTGTTGCTGTTGTTGCTGTTGTTGCTGTATTAGTTGTATTTTCTGTGTGGAAAATAGAGAATACATAGTTCATGTGTAAATATAATTGCATCATAATGACATTCAGTAGTTTCTGTCTTTCAGGGTTAGAATTTATGGCTTTGTTGTATTTTGTTGTAAATTCTGTCTTACGTATAAATTAAATTTTAACTGATGAAAATTCAAATGTAAGAAATCTGTAATTATATTCTGACTCGAAAAAATGAAGATAACAAGATATCAACAGTCTGAATCCTCCTCAGATCCTCCGGTATGGAGGGTCTCTCTCCAGTCAGGATGATAGGGTACCTCAGGGCGATCATCACTCCCCGTCGCCATGGAGACCCGTGCAAACAAAAAATTAAAAGTGCTCAAAAACGCCCAAAAAGTATTTAGGCGACGTGAACAAAGTAGTAAGAAAGTAAGAAAAGAGTTAAAAATAGCAAAACACACACTAAAAACACAGTGAAAACACACATGTTCAGTAGGATGGAAGCTCGGACATTGAACAGGCAAAGATAGACTCAGACGAAGATGTCTACTGACCAGGTAACGTCTGAGTGAATGCCGTAAAGCAATTTGTGATTCTAGCCAGATTTGGCGGGGCGCCACCTTTCAGACTTGCACTGCTTTGCTATCAGGATGATTCGCTATACTACGAGTTCGTTTACCATCAAAATGACTTCGAAGCTGTTATATTAAGGTAAAAATCTTGCATAGTGTGCCTTTAAAAATTGATTTGTCTATTTAAGTGAACCATTAACCTATGACCTTTGTGCCCTGCAGCAAATGTGTATATCTTTAATATAAAGTCCAGTCAATGTGAAAAGGGAACAGCACCATTCATTTCCTGTGGTGAGTTGCCTAGCAACAGTGCTCTCTCAGTTTGAACCATCGTGTGCAGAGCGTGTTATATCTGACTGTAACCACAAGTTTCATTTGAGTTAAACCTGTTCTTCTGCATATCTCTGCATCTTTCTGTTTCAGTAACTGCTTTACATTGTTTATTATTGTTGCATTCAGAGTGTTTTTATTGGTAGTTTTAGGGTTAGTTCTGGTCTCTGACTCTCATATTGATCACCTTTTCATCAGTTCCGGTCTGTTTGACTTTCCTTTGTATTTCTGGGTCTCTCTTAATGTTGCTGCAGGAGCTGCTGCTGTTTGTGTTGTAGTAGTATTTGTTGTGAGTGGTGTGCTGTTATCAGTGTGACAAAGAGGATATATATATATAACTGAGTTCAAGTGCACTTTACCACAGACAGTCACGAGTCAGAAGTGTCAGACATTTAACCACGAGAGTTTCATTCAAAGGTAGAATTCAACTTGCCATCTTGGTAGACCTGCAGATTACAGTCATACTGTATTTACCTTTATTGAGTCTTGTGTTCAGTTGTTTATCTGCATTATCTGTTTAAAGAAGATCAATACCACTCTTATGGAGCTACAGCCAGCTGTCTGTTAGCTTAGCACAAAGACTGGAAACAGGGGGAAACAGCTAGCCTGACTCTGTACAAAGGGAACAAAATATTTCTGTCTTCCTGTCTGTCTTCTTGTGTCTCACCTCCCTCAGATGTCTCACCTTTGTTCACAGTTGATACATAATTTTTTTTTTAAAAATAAAAAATTCAAAAAGAGCAAGGTGGTGGTTTTTTTTTTTTAAATTTTTTTTGGGGAGGAGAAAAAAGAAACCGTCTTTTTTTTTGTATTTCACCACCGTCTCTGCTCCATGTTGGAACATCTGATCCTCCAACATCAGGAGGACATTTCAGAGTGATGGTGGTCCTCTCTGCAGCATCAAGTCTGGTTGTTCCTGTACACAGCAAACAACACAGGACTCATATTTTATAATGTACCATCATAAACTTATCACACAGATTCAGGGTAAAGTCAGAGACCATGTGAAACCGAGGAACTAACATCTGTCACCATACAGCTGTATTTTAGTTTAAAATATACGTCATAAAATAAGTTCCTGAATTAGGTGTTAGAGAGATGTGCAATATATAATGTGTTTGATTTCAGATTTAGTGAAAGAAATAAAATCAGAACTGCAGACGTTCACCAAAACTCAACTACAGTACCAGGAAGTAAATATGGAAAATGAATTCCCTTCTGTTCCTGCCAATCTACTGATGGATGAAACTGAAACCTAAAAAACACATTTACATTTGAAATCCACCATTTCATTAATATGTGAAAGTTTAATAAAAATGAAACATTTAGCTCAGAGACATGAAGAGAAAACAGAACAACTTTATTAAAGTCTGATGTTACCTGATGGGATCACCGTCAGCTCCACAGCTGGTTCATTATTACAGAAGTATCTTCCAGTGTCTGAGATGTTAACTCTACCAATGTAAAGTGATTTATCTGCCTGTGAACTGTATCGTTTGCCTGGATCATTAAGTGTCTTATCTCTCTGTCACCATCAGCTGTAAGTATGTCAACTTTAGTTCCATCTCTCTCTCTGCTCCACGTCACTTTACCCTCCACAGAGTGAGGACAACTCAGTCTGACAGGGTTCTTCTCCTCAACTATTTTATGGATTATTGCTGCAAAAGAAACAGACATTAAATTAGCAGCTGTTCTCACAATGTCAGCATTTCTAATATTGAACAGAAAAAGTTTATTATCAGAGTCACAATCAACTGTTGAATGCACAGTGTTCATTATGTGACCTTGTTTAATGAATGTGAACCTGTTGTTCCCACATTATAACCAGTTCACACTAAAGATACAGAGGAGGGCTGTTGTCAGTCAAAATTCAAAGTTCAACCAACTTTAAGCGGAGCTCTAAAATACCTTTCAAAATAAAATACCAACCATTGTATTTCTGCATGCATTTATATTTTCCAGTATATTTAGGTTCCTGTAATAAATAATATGCTGATAGTAAAGCACTGTGAGAGTCTGACAGCTCACTGTGGTCAATGGGTGTGTTCTAGTGTTACTTTCTGGCCAAGACACAGTGCAGTGAGGCCGCGCAACAGTCGGCTTTTGTTGCTGCTTGTTCTTTACAGACCATTGCTCCAGGATAAATATTCTCTGTATGAAGTGAAATGTATTAATAGTAGGTTATATGTTTGCACGTAGGCGAGCACATTTATTTCCGTGTACGTGCACTATCTCACCCTCAGAAGCCACGGTTCAAACACTTCTACAGAACTTTATGGTCATAAAAGCAACATAAAATATGTGAGCAGATGTTTGTTAATGTATTCCCTCTGATCGAGCTCATTACTCACATCAGTTAATCTATTGAGACTAATTACAAACACACTTCCTGGAGTAATGTTCACTTTACCTCACAGTAACTCTGTTTCATCCTTTCTATGAAAATATAAAACAACATTATTAAAACTGATGACAGTGCTGCACAGACTGAACAGTTTGAAAAGTTCTTACCTGCAGTGACATTGCAGCTCAGAACAAAAGCTAACAGGCAGCAGCAGATATTCCCCCTCATCTTCATACAGACTGAACTGACTGAACAGAGCACACTGTCTGTCTGAGCTGGGAACAGGAACTCAGCTAGGTGTTTAATGTGAGTTCCTCTAAAAACCCACATGGTCAACTTATTAGAATGTATTTGTCTCTTTCTTTCTGTGGTTAACAGCCACTGATGTTTCCTCTCGTCATATTTCAACCAGCACATGAAAGTCAAATTTACCTATATATATATATATATATATGGAAAAAAGACAAAAAACAACAAGAAACATCAAATTAAATAAAATCCAATTTATTTATAAAGATCCCCCAGAGGGGAAATCAATGTGAACACCAAACTTCACATGTTTGATAAGAGAGCCTGAACACATCTACGCGCCCATATTCAGTATTCAGTCGTAGGCATAGTGCCACCTTCTGGAAACAGGAAGTATGCCTTGAATGGAAGTCACCGTCTGATTTACATTGACACGGTGTGGAGTACGCGTGATAGGCTGGCACATGACATGGCGACGAACTGCAAGGGTTCATCGCTGCTTGCAGCCTGGGAATGAGAATCAGCTACCTGGTTGTATTCTTGCTTCTGAATCCCATTAGGAGCTCAGGAACCCAAAGAACCTGATTATCTGTCTCATTACTGTCAGGATACAGGGACAATTTCAGCAAATATGACAAAAACCAACTGCAGCTTTAATGCATCCATAAATAAATATGCTAAAAAGCTAAATATTACAAGTAAGCTCCCCCCACCCAGTATTTTCCTATAAACAGCTCTTACAGAAGCAGGTTTCAACCCGACAGCGGCTCAGCATTCAGGTCCAACGTTGGTCACTGGTTTCCAGGTGCTTTGCGTTTCTCCAGTAAAAAATACGTGTTGTCAGTCGTCTTTGAAGAACCTGTTCATCGAGACATAATGTGGGTGAAAATGACTCCCAACTGCTTCTCATTCAATATTTTAATGATAAAGATGTTTATGTAACTCATATTATAACGGCTCTTTGACCCAGTAAACTTACAGTTCATATGTATTTACATTTAATACCACAAAGGCCAAAATCTGCAGCTGATGATTAAAGTTACCTTTATTATTTCCATCAAGAAAAGTGCCACCGATCAAGGAATATGGGGACTCATTAGGTAGAAATGTCTCTGTAAAAAGAAATTAAATATAATGAATAACCAGAAATATAACCTTAGAATATTTGTTTCAGTGTTAAAATGTGTGATTGTAAATGCTGATTACCAGTCTTCTTTCCCACTGGTGGAAGATCAGAGATGGTGGAATATGTGGGATCATTGTGGTTTGAACCGTCTATGAAAACATGAACCAACAAACATCATTAACCAGAACCAACCTACAGAAACGTTTTAGGCATCATTCATACATCTACAGCCGGGCCCCACTGATACTGTCAGCTCCACTTTATAATGTTATTCAGTAATTTGGTGAAACTGGATCAGATTTTATGGAGACTTCCTCCAGCTGATCAACTTCAACTCATTGTGATTTACAGAGTTTCCTGATGGACAGATTGACAAGTAGCCAACCGCTAACTGCTGTTAGCTCGGACGCCAGGAGCCAAACCCGGCGAGAAAAGCACCTCGGTACTGTATTTCCTGTCAGACTGGCACCTTCGGTCCCAAAGATTGTCTTCGGTCCTGGGTCCACTGGAGGTCGAAACTGGTGCTAGCTACATAGCATAGGGGGCGCTATGAGCTACTGTAAACATCAATCAATATCCACAATTCATGTGTCAGTGTTGGTCAGGCATCCTAAATGTTGAGTCAGCTCCTGTAGACCACCTCACAGTTTACCAAGCATTGATGAACATCTGTTGTTTTTAATTATCTACCTGGATAATCTATCATGCAGTTTGAAGTTTTTGGTTCAGGCAAGATTTCCACAGCTGCCAAAAAAAAGCAAAAAAGAAGAATATTAAACTCTTTGTTCAAGGTTTCATTGAAGAAAAGTTTCATATTTGTAAATTAAGTCTCTCTTGGATTGAGATCTCTCCACCCAGATACAGGTGGGGACATAGAAGAGAGTCTCTCAGAGAACAACAGTTATAATGTAACCTAAACCTAAAACGTATTAAACGTATAAATCTGTCTCGGAGATATGACGACTTTGGCTGCTGCCTTTTGCACCTCGAGTTGTACTTTGGGAAACAGGTTAAAAATGATGTTTATTATGTAACGGATTCACTCTTCCTGGACTCAGATGGATAGAACAGTTCTTGAAAATTGTGTAGAAAACCTTTAAAGCTGTTGCCAAACATGATACAGTCAGAGCAGGAGTGTCCCCATACTCATGAATGCCAGCACAAATAACACAGAGTCCAATTTTATTTCACATCAGTCTCAATCAAAATAGAAAGAGGAAGTTTGTCTAAAAGAAGGAACTCTTTTTTCCCCACCGTTTGCAGAATGAAACATTGATCCATCCTGTATCTCATCATAGACGTGGTCACTTTTTTCAGTTCCTGTGAAAAACACTGTGAAGCTCACAGTATGAGTAATCTGTTGAGTGATGACATGTTGTACATATACAGTATGAAGTACAATACGCAACAACTTCCTATCCGTAAAGTCAATCTGCCTCTAATGAACAGCGGTGTGCAAGCTGTCAGGTACAGTAAAGAGAAAACAGAAATAAGAAAGGAGAACTAATGTGACCCAATAGCAGGCTGTTAGCTGTTAGCTGCTAATTTAATGTTTGGTTAATTCATGCCTGTATTAGATATTGCCAGCAGAGATATGACTAACTCAAGCCAAGGGTGTCTAACCTTACTCATTCTGCCTTTATCTAAATTAGAGTAAATGTAATCTTTAAATTCTCTATATATGTTGTATTCACCTTTTCTTTTAAACCTGCATCTCCAAGTGCAGTAGATGATGGTGAGGAGGAGGAGGAGGACGAAGAAGGGAACAGCTATTCCTAACACCAAACCAAAAGGGGGTTGCAGGTTTTCAGGAGCCGCTTGAGGACAAAGATACATATTAGTCTGATAAACAGAACAAATAAAAGCTCAGTTTGTAGATTCTGTATCTGCAGGTCAAACATCCACAGTCCTACCTGTGTTCAGCCCTGGTGTCAATGTTGTAGTGCTTGAAGTTGGTGGTGTCTTACTACCTTTATTTTGAAACAGTGGAGATATATATATATATATATAATAATTATTCCTTTAAATAACTGCTTATTCTGCCCATATTTCTGTCTTCCTGTCTGTCTTCTTGTGTCTCACCTCTCTCAGATGTCTCATCTTTGTTCACAGTCAGATACGCAGCAGGTTTTCCATCACAGTAATAAAGTCCAGAGTCAGCAGGCTGCAGGTCTGTTATTATCAACGTGTTGTTCACAGTTGAAACATGAAACCGTCTCTGTTGTTGTATTTCAACAGCGTCTCTGCTCCATGTTGGAACATCTGATCCTCCAACATCAGGAGGACATTTCAGAGTGATGGTGGTCCTCTCTGCAGCATCAAGTCTGGTTGTTCCTGTACACAGCAAACAACACAGGATTCATATTTTATAATGTACCATCATAAACTTATCACACAGATTCAGGGTAAAGTCAGAGACCATGTGAAGAGTTTTGTTCCAAAAACAGAAACTGACACCTTTCAGGATGTCATGAATAAGTTCCTGATTTAGGTTTTAGAGCAGAGGAAGTTCAGCTTTTCCTATATGAGACCTGTGCAGATGAGATCAGAGATAGTTTGGCAGTTTTATTGATAAATAATATATTTGATTTCATATTTAGTGAAACATGTTAAACTCTAAAAGCACCAGGAAGTGAATGTGAGAAATAAAATACCTTCTGTGGCTGCTGAAATTAAAACATTTTGATAAATTATGATGTTTTTATTGCAGAATAGTTCAATTAAAGGTAAACCCCCACATTTAGACTTTATTATATTATTCATAACTATTAAGTATTTATGTTATCAGAGTTTAATAAAAATGAAACATTGAGCTCAGAGACATGAAGAGAAAACAGAACAACTTTATTAAAGTCTGATGTTACCTGATGGGATCACCGTCAGCTCCACAGCTGGTTCATTATTACAGAAGTATCTTCCAGTGTCTGAGACAGTAACTCTACCAATGTAAAGTGATTTATCTGCCTGTGAACTGTATCGTTTACCTGGATCATTGTGTCTTATCTCTCTGTCACCATCAATTGTAAATAAGTCAACTTTAGTTCCATCTCTCTCTCTGCTCCACGTCACATTACCCTCCACAGAGTGAGGACAACTCAGAGAGACAGAGTTCTTCTCCTGGACTATTTCATGGATTATTGCTGCAAAAGAAACATAAACACAATGTCAGTAGTTTACTATCACAGTGTTCATTATGTGACCTAGTAAAATGAGTCTGAACCTGTTGTTCCCACATTATAACCAGTTCACACTAAAGATACAGAGGAGGGTTGTTGTCAGTGAAGATTGCAACACAAAAGTGGAGAAAATTGCTACAAAACTCAAGTTTAACCGACTTTAACATTAAGCACTAAATACGGCAACTTTACAAATATAAAACAACATTGTTAAAACTGATGTTACAGTTCTTACCTGCAGTGACATTGCAGCTCAGAACAAAAGCTAACAGGCAGCAGCAGACATTGCCCCCCCTCATCTTCAGACAGACTGAACTGACTGAACAGAGCACACTGTCTGTCTGAGCTGGGAACAGGAACTCAGCTAGGTGTTATCGTGTGTTCCTCTGAACCCACATTGTTTACTCAGATGAACCTCATTCTTTCTGTGGAAATGGCCACTGATGTTTCCTCACGTCACAATATAGTCAGCTAACTGATATACATTAATCACTAGTTGGTTACTACACAAGGACAGACTGAAAGAAAATGAGAAACTGCCATCTGACCTTTATGCCCTCAAAATAATTCACCAGTTAAAAAAAAGTGCCTCTTCAGCAGCAGCTGTTCTCACACTTTGTCTCTTTCTGTGGTTAATGATGTTTCCTTTGATTTTAACATGCAAAGTGATTCTACTTTAGTTGCAACCACAACAACAAAGTTGTTACCAACCCACTGGCTGTATGGAAAAAGACACCTATTATCAGCTTATATGAGTTATAAATGAAGACGTCACTGATCCCAGTCAGAGGGAGCAGTTGGCATTTGTTAACATTGGCTATTATTTTGGTGTTCCTGGTTATATGATAGAAAGTTATGAGAAACACTAACACAGTGAGTTTGTGACGAGACGTTTATTCCAAGCAGTGCAATAAGTTGATGCCTTTATTCGTGGTGCAAAATTTTAAATAAATTACGCTGTGAAATGTCTGAAAAAAGCCCTTAACCTTAACCTTAACCTCAGTTCACACCCTACCCCTAACCCCAACCAGGACCTCAGAAATGTTTATCCCATAAAAGGTCACGCTCATCGGTATGGCGGTCCTCTCTGTTGGGTTACCTACTCGTCATCAGATGGCTGATTGGTGACACACTGTGGTGCATTGTGGGCAGGGGAGTGTGGTTGTTGGTGGTGTTTGAGCCTTCTTTCTCTCCTTGCAGTATGTTCACTTTGTCTCTGCCTGTTGGGATGTTGGTATCGCATCAATATAAATGATTCAGAATCCTCTGTTTAGGTACAATCTACCTAAAAAGGCCATGAGACTGAGAACATGACACATGAAACACAGGGCGGAGATCAACTGACTATAAATAAGTGCAGCAAACCATAACAAGGGAAGGATGGGGGACGCCACTGAGGTCATTGGTTTTTAGTGAAGGTGGAGTAGGTTTGAAGGGTGACATCATGCAAAGGAACAACAAGCTAATTCTAATAATTCTCAACAGAAAATGTCTGAACTTCCCTGTGAATGTATTATCTTAATAACAGAAAAATACTGAACTCAGATTTACATCAAAATGCAAAAAAACTGAAAGTCACACTTAGGATTAATGAACAAACTCTCAAAGGAATTAAATAAAGGACAGAAAGTGTTGCGCTCAGAGGAATAACTACCCTAACACCCTCAACCAGGTGGCGGTTTTGTTCAGCAAGATCATATTAGGCTATAAATGAACTACACCACGGTCGCAATGTAACCGCCGTAATCTTCCAAGTTGTAATTAAACCTTGTAATTGAAATTAGAAAGTTAGAATAGTGTTGAGTGCTGTGAAGGCGGAGTAGTAAGTAGATAAGTCTCCGTGTTTTAATGTCACTGACAACCTCTGTAGTCTTATTAAGACACTAAAGGCAAATACCGGTTTTAGGACATTACCACAGGTGGGGTAACTCTCATAAGCTTGTGTTAACCACAGACTGATCCAACTAAGCCGGACTCTCTTTGGGTTTTAGGACTCAGCTACAGCTCTTCATGCTACAATGTGGACACGTCTCAATATCAACTACCAATGATTTATTTATGTTTCACTTCTTTTAATCCCTGCTGTATCTGTAGAGTCACTACTGTTTTGTTTTTACGAGAATGAGGAAATCAGAGCACAAATGAGCTGACTATATTTAGAAATGGTGAATCAACGTGTAAAAAGGGAAGGACATCAGTGAGCTCATTAATTCCAACAAATTCCCTAGAATATACAAAGTCTGCAAACCTGTCAGAAAAAAGTCTGCATCAAAGTGGACAAAGTGATGTGATCTTGAGTTTCGGAGAAGACCTAAAGCTGCTGTAATCAATATGTTTGTATTAACAATGTCTCCTAATGAGAAAGTCGTAGAGAATCAGGACCCGATTCTGAAGATCCCCTCAGCTCGTGTTGTTTCCCCACCTTTCTGCTCACTGCTGTGACTTTTTGGGGGCACTCACAGTCTCCAGCAGCCGGCAGCTGTTCAGCAAATGAGCAGGGGTGTTCAGTTCAGGTCCAAATTAATCTTTAACAACAAATCTTCAAGCTGAATTACACAGAATCACCACTATCACAGAGCCAATCAGTCGTTAGTCGTCACTAATGAGTGAGTGCATCAGAGAATATTAGCTTATAAAAAGCACATTAAGATGACATCAGCCTGCATCTGATGTGTGGAGTCGCCCCCTGGTGCCGGGGGGCTTTAATACAATACAGTCATTTATAGGTTTATACTTTACACAAACAAACGACGGTCACACTGCTTGCTTCTTTTTAAAAGCTGTGTATGTAGCTGTCAGACAACCATTAATTAATAGTGACACAAAGCAATCAAAGGTCAAAGTAACCAGTCAATCTACGAGCCAGATCAGCCTCAGGAGTCTGGATGGAGTCTGGATGAAGTGAGCTGACGGTAGCGACAATAGCTCTCCAATAACACAGTTACAGAGGTCAGAGGTCAGTGCTGTATACAGGTCAGAGGTCTATACTGTTTATTTGATTTGAATAAAAGTAACAATAAAGACATTGTTAGTATTAACTTATTTCATACGTTTTTAGTTAAGTACAATAATTTGACGCTAATTGTTATCTTCATCTATCTTTATATTTCTGTAGATTGATACATAATTCAAATGATATATATTAGTGTTATTAGTTAGTGTCATTAATGTTTTTTTATTTATTACTTTATAATATGTATAAAACACAAACAGGATTTGGATGTTGTCCATAAATGTTTATTTCAATAAAGACAAACACATTTATATGACACATTGGCAGAAGAACACATTCTGACACAAAGCTGCTGAACATAAATAAAAATATAAACTCTGATAATTTAAATGTATTTTTAACTTTAAATACAGAATACAGAGAAAACAATACAGTTGCCATTTTAAACCATGTTTGTTTAGTCCAACCAACAAACATCCAGACTGTTACAAATACATTCAAATTATTAAAATAAATAAAGGCAAAGCAGAAAATTCTCATGTATGTGAAGCTGGAACCATTAAATGTTTTTACATGAAAATTAATTAAATAGTTTTAAAATAGTTTAAGTTATAACAATATTAAATAAACTCTTTATGTTTTGTAAATTATGCAAAGTATAGTAATTGAAGCTGTTAAATAAACTCGACTGTTAACGCTTTTGTCCACAGTCAGAATCAAACAAACATTAAAGTTGTTCCAGTGTTAATTACAGTACTTGAGTAGATGTACTTAGTTACATTCCACCGCTGGGTTTGACATTTGACCTCTTTTCTCACCTTCCTCAGATTTCTATGGAAGCTCATGTCTGCCAGTAAAAAATAAGATGAAAATTTTAACCTTAAAATGTCAAAATTATAGGAAAATTTAGAGATAAAAATTGAAATGAAATTGAAATTATGACATAAAAAACTGTTTTTATCTCATAATTTTGACTTTTTGTTTCATAATATGGACTTAACACAAACATCTGTTATTCATTTTTTAAGTTTTCATCTTATGGGCTTCCCTAAATTACTCATGTCTCTGTCTCACTACTTCGGTGTCCCCTTTCTCAGATGTCTCACAGTCAGATACGCAGCAGGTTTTCCACCACAGTAATAAAGTCCAGAGTCTGCAGGCTGCAGGTCTGTTATCATCAACATCTTGTCTTCTGCAGAAACAAGAAACTCCCCTTTTCCATCAATGTATCTGATCCACGTTGATCGTCCAGCGTCAGGGGGGCACTGCAGAGTGACGGTGGACCTCTCTTCAGCAATTGTCTGCTTGTTTCTGTACACAACTAATACAAATACATAAAAAAACACATGCTTTATAATGCAGCTTCAGACACTTTACATTCCAGCTTGCAATGAGCAGATTAGGGGGTCTTTAAATCTTGGGAACAATATGCTGATATAGAGGTAAATACTAAAGCCACTTCTGTGACCTGGAAGCACCGATATAACTTTGATATGAACACTGAGCTGGAATTTACCTGATGAGATGACCTTCAGCTCTGCAGCTGGTTCATTATCACAGAAGTATGTTGCAGCGTCTGAGACGTCAGCTCTGACAATGTGCAGAGATTTATCTGCTAATGAGCCAAAATGTTTATAAGGCTTATTAATGAGTCTTATGTCCCGCTCGCCATCGACTATAAGGATGTCGACTCTGTTTCCATTCACCTCTCTGCTCCACGTCACCTTCACTTTACCCACAGAGTGAGGACAAGGCAGGGTGACTGGGTCCTTCTCTAAGATTATTCTTTGGGCTATTTCTGAAAAAGAAACACAGTTTGCAGGTCAATGACTGAAGTCTGTATTATAGTGAGGAACTGAGCATCAGCATATATAAAGACAGCTCTGCAACACATCTCTATCGCCCTCTGGTGGCTGACTGCAGTACAGTCATAAAGCCCACTGCCAACATGTTATCAGATGGACCAAATTAAAGAATAAATCCACATGTCAAATACATATTTACCAAAGATGGTTTCTGGCTCTAATGCTGCTGATTTGTTATTAATTTTTTGGCCTTAATGAAGTATTTGAAGATATAAACAGGAGGTTTTAGGTTAGGGTTAGTACTGCGGCACAAACCCCAAAGACAAAAGATGGCAGCAGGCCCCTTTTTTATATTAATATTTATATTATAGTATATTATATTTAAGGCTTTTATAAAGGGTTTTTAAGTTGTATCTACTGCTTTATTATTGGGTTATACTATTAATAGTTACCAGATCTGCCTGATTAGATTTTCTTTTTTTAATCTAGAGGCTTTTTTAAAATTATTTAATTAAAGCCTGTCACTATATCACTGATAGCTTTACTTTGGAATCTCTGGTTTTGATAAGAGATTTGTAAATAAACTTTATTATTACGATAATTAATCATTTACTCATTCGTTATCAGTCAGTTAGCAGCCATTAGAGACAGCTATAAGAAGAACTGTGGGTGGTCCACTCACTTTATCTTTATCTTTTCTTTAATTCATCAGGAAACCCTCCTCCAATGAAACGCTTTCTTTCTAACACACACACTTATAAAGCCTGTAATGTCTCAGGGCTCATACCAACAGTAAGAGCTTAAGAACATGCCTACGTGTTACAGCCATCCAGGCAAATACAAAATGGCCGGTTTCTTATCCCTGTAACAAAGCTACAAAGCACTTTACATACATTTAACAAGACAATAAGCAACACTTAATCAGTGATAAAATACAATGAAAAATAAAACACAGTAATAACAATTGCATATAAAATTACTAGTTTATAATTTCAGATTATTAGAAGCACATATTTAATAGTAAAAATAGTGTGAAACTAACAAACTGTAAACCTCTTACCTGCAGTGACATTACAGCAGAGAACAAAGGCTAACAGGCAGCGGAAGATGTTCACCCTCATCTTGACACAGATATCGATCAATACTCGAACCTCAACCTTTGTGAGCTCTGAGCAGGAACTCAGCTGTCTTGGGGTATTTATGAGTCTCTCGAACCAGAAACCACAAACTGTTTGCTTTTTATGGTCATCACAAACTCTCGTCATCTTCTGTTTAAATTTGTGGTCAAACATCACCATCAACCGCTGTGTTGGCGCTGGAAGGTGTGATGTGTTCTCTGAAGTTAGATCAGTCACGCTGATATGAAGATTACACTTGCACATATATTTAAAAATATTTATTCATATTTGCCCAGAGAGAAACAAAATGCAGCTAGAATTAAATGTTTGAACGTATCCGTAAAATGATCCCTGCTAATATATTCCAATAGATAGTCTCCTAATATTGGTAAGAAAACCTCATTATGATTGATTTTGTAAAACTTCTTTGAGAAAAAACAACAAATAAAAGTCTGCAAATAAACAATAAAAGGTTGTCATGTCAATGCTTTTTCTACCACAACAAGTGACTCAGAGTCATATGTGGAAAATCTATGTGACTCACTTTGTGGTATTAAACGTCATAATAGTAGTGGCTACTGTATTTTATTCACCTTAAATGGCGCTAAGCCAATCCTGGACCTGGATCTACCTATCGCTGGTCATAGAAGCACAGACATATGACATCATCCAGTCTATGATGATGAAATCTGTGACTCATATTTTCCTCACAAACACTCACAGAAGTTGGCAGAAGAGTTGGCGGGGCATTAATGTCTGTGGCTATCAGTTGTGTCTGGGGGCGGAGCCACAAGTTGTAAACATTAAAGGGGCTACGTGCAGTAACGACACTAGAACAGGGTTTATGTGCTTATTAAATATGTTTATTCATAGCTTAAGAATCATGAGAAATTATTTGACCTATGACCCCAAAACTACAGATACTGCAGTCTGTCTTTGTGTTAGCATAAACTGCAGTAACTACCGTCTGTCTTCTGTCTGACAAAATCTCATTTATTACATTAAATCTGTGCTTTTTATTGTGTTTGTGTAAAAAGTTACAACACACGAGAAATTAGGAATTTAAACTTTTATTTTGTGAAGTTTAATTAGCACAGTAATACAATGTCCTGTTAGGGCTTTCTAGCACTAGCACATTGATATCCAAACTATTATAACTATGTTATCTACTACATTGGGCTCAGCTTATAATCCACAGATGTCTTTAAGATAGAGCAAGACTGAACTTATAAAGTTTGTCACAAGATAAAACAAGACATTTAAAAGTTACTGGAAGCAACACATGATTATATACACAGCTGAAAACCTGCTAATCACATACAACACATACAATCCACTCATGATACAAACTCCACTGTTAGGTAAATGCCATTGTTCGGACAAAATAATGCAACAAATGTTTACATTTATTCTGACATTACAGGAGTTAAATGTAAAATTCATAAAGTGAAAGTGAATCAAGTGACGACAACATATGTAAAAAAACAAAAAGCAACAGAACAATTTAACTACAAAGACACAAAACAACTACAGAGATAAAATAATTACAAACAAGATGCAGAACACAGACATTGTCTTTCTATTTTTTCTGACAAATAACTCACAGAAGTCTTTTCTTTCCCGACAGAAGCAAAATATTCAGACGAAAATATAGGAATATGGCTGGTTGGTGTTTCCCTGTGCTTGTGGCTTCCCCAGTAAAACATAGTTGGAGTCATTTATCTGTGATGTTCCTGTCAGTGGAGAAAAATCACAGTCAACAGAAGTCATGTTCATTTTTTACTATTTGTCTGTACTTCAACGTAACACATTAAACAACACGTCCTCTGGCCTAAACCTACTGTGTTGTCAACGTTGGGATTGTTGCTTTGAATACTTTGGTTAAATATATGCAGAGCTCACAGATGTCCGACAGCGAGGACTATAAGGTCTTATTATCTACCTGCAGGGGGGGTCATGACCATGGACTGGCCTCCATCTGCCAAAGAAGAAGACAAGGATTGAGATTATGGTGTAATAAAATAAAAATGACTGTCTTTGATCACGAGTGGAAGATAATACACGCCCTGCAAACTGCAATTATAATGCTGCAATTTAACTTAGAAAGGGGAAGTCTACCATTTTTTAGTTGAGACACTGATCCATCCTGTATCTCGTCATAGACGGGGGATGTTTCTTCTTCTTCTTCTTCTTCTTCTTCTATCTCTATTTCTTCCAAACAAGATGGTGAACGTCACAATATTAGGAATCCAGTGAATATATATTTATAGTCTGATGATGACCAGGCTGACTGTGTATTAAAAGAGTTACTATCAGAACTATTTGATTTATTTTTTTGCAGTCAGCTGGTAGGGTTTTCTTTAGATAGAAGTCCAGGTCAGGCTTTGTTTACCTTGTCTGTTTCTGTTAGACCTGCATCTCCGTGTGAACATGTTGACGATGATGACGATGAGGAGGAGGAGGAGGAGGACGAGGAGGAGGAGGAAGAGGAGGGTAGTATGTTGTTTATGTCGCCCTCCTTGAGGAGACAAAGTCATAACTCATCTTACAAAATAAAACAGTACATACAGATGTAATGCATGTCGGGCAGCAACATCTAAACTGTTACATCGTACAGTACTTCCACATTTCACATGGTAACATGTTCATGTTTCTGCTGATTGTTTAGGTGATTTATGTCATTTTATTTTTCTAATTTAATTGTCCGCCTCAGAAGAAGGAATGTGGCTCGTTTAAAAAAAACAAAACCTTATCATATAAAGTGAGTAACACGACATATAAAGAAAGGCTCTGTTCTGATCTCTCCCATTATGCACATTACTACTTTAATACATCACAAAATTATTCACAACGACTTAAAAAGGAACAACAACATGTCTATTTTACTAGTGACTAGTATTGCTACACATACTATTGGATTTGTAATTTACCTCAAAAACAAACAGAGTGAAGAAATGATTTTGAAACCCAGACAAACAACAGAAAGCAGAACAGTTGTGTTACAGGAAAGTCTGATGTTACCTGATGGGATCACCGTCAGCTGCACAGCTGGTTCATTATTACACAAGTATCTTCCAGTGTCTGAGACAGTAACTCTACCAATGTAAAGTGATTTATCTGTCTCTGAACTGTATCGTCTGTCTGGGTCATCAATGTGTTTTATGTCTCTGTCACCATCAGCTGTAAGTATGTCAACTTTAGTTCCATTTCTCTCTCTGCTCCACGTCACATTACCCTCCACAGAGTGAGGACAACGCATAGTGATAGGGTTCCTTTCCCTGATGATTTTTTGGACTATTACTGTAAAAGAAACACATTTTCCAATAAATATTCATAAATGTTAAGAATATTTTAAAACGTATCCAGAAAACAGAACAACTTTATTAAAGTCTGATGTTACCTGGAGGGATCACCTTTAGCTCCACAACTGGTTCATTATTACAGAAGTATCTTCCAGTGTCTGAGACAGCAGCTCTTTGGATGTAAAGTGATTTATCTGCTGATGAATTATATCTTCTCTCTGGGTCATCAATGTGTTTTATCTCTCTGTCACCATCAGTTGTAAATATGTTAACTTTAGTTCCATTTCTCTCTCTGCTCCACGTCACATTACCCTCCACAGAGTGAGGACAACTCAGAGTGACAGAGTTCTTCTTCTTGATGGTTTCTGTAAAAGAAAGACATGTTTAATACATATTCATACATTAAGTAGTATTACTACTATTGTCAGTAATGTAAACCATCAGAGTCAGAATAACATTCATCCGTCAGTGACTGTACATTGAAGAAGGCCACTGTTATCAATGGAGAGAGATTCTCTCTTCTGAACTGCTGTGAGTGAGTTTTTCATTAAGTTCATAAAAAAAAAATAAAAAAAAAAGAAACTTTGACACCTATCAGTGCTGTCCTCTACCAGGGTTTTCCACAGCTACTAAATTATTGTTTCAAACCCAGACAGAAAACAGAAAGTAGAACAAATGTATGAAAGTCTGATGTTACCTGATGGGATCACCGTCAGCTCCACAGCTGGTTCATTATTACAGAAGTATCTTCCAGTGTCTGAGACAGTAACTCTTTGGATGTAAAGTGATTTATCTGCTGATGAACTGTATCGTCTGCCTGGATCACGAATGTGTTTTATGTCTCTGCCACCATCAGCTGTAAGTATGTCAACTCTGTGTCCATCTCTCTCTCTGCTCCACGTCACATTACCCTCCACAGAGTGAGGACAACGCAGAGTGACAGAGTCCTTCTTGAATATTCTTTGCTGCATTACTGCAAAAGAAACACATTTTGTCAAGAAATATTCATGCATTAAAAAAAAAAAAAAATGAAACTGTATGTTGACATATTCAGATTCAAATGAAGCTGAGCTGTTTGAAATTAAATTATCATGCTGCCCGGAAATCTTTAACATAGGACTTAGAGGATTTAGCTTAGCACATCCACACTAAGCTGGTTACATTTCTAAATGCATCTTTTGCTCTACGTTTCAAAAAATCAGCGGTGTTTAAGTGTGGGCGGGAAAGACTGAGCTTTTCCAAAACAGTGACGTAAGCAGCTGAGTGACGGTCGGGCACTGTGTGGCAATAAAGTTAAAAAGCCTAATCCTTCATTTTAAATATCCGTATTAAATATCAAGTATTAAGGCTAACCTGTATTAATACTGACTTTGTCAGACAACATTGCAACCATGAAATAATAGTATCAGAAACACAGCCGCTGGATCATGACTGCTGGTTAACAATCGTGTTTATGGGCCGTGATTAAATAACTATTTCATACTCATTCAGTTGTTGTCTGACAACATAATTAAAAAAATATGTGAATGACCACAACTATGGTGAATACAACCCTACAAAGCCAAAACATAGGAACGCCACATTTGATATCTGTACAACTGTTTTACAGTATAAGAGTTATTATGTCATACAAATGTGTAATTATGGGGTGAACAAATTAGCAAGAAGTAGAAAACTGAGGTAAAAACCAAACTGCAGTGGCTGCACTCCTTTTCTTGTGACTGAGAAATCAACTTTGATGGTCCAACAACGTAACAACTAAATTTCTTACCAGATAAACTAGTCCTGCTATAAGCCTACTGGCCTAGTTTAGCAGAGTAGCAGCAGCAGTTGTACGGTGGCAGAGTAAGAAAACAACTTTATATCGTCTCAGACTTTCTCTGTTGTCACTTATTTTAATGTCGATATAGTGATCACACAGCAGCCGTCATTAATCTGTAATTATTTTGGTTTAGTGAGGCGACAAGACCATGAAATATTTAATCTGTAGGCTGGCTTAATGCAGACATACAGTAGTCTGTACTGATACTATTTACAACCACACTTCCTGATATATTAGGTAAGACTTATATGTATGTTTAATAAATTCAATGAAATTATAAAATCAGAAAATTCTCTTACCTGCAGCGACATTACAGCCCAGAACAAAGGCTGACAGACAGATGTAGATAATCACCCTCATCCTCACAGTCTGAAATGAATGAATGCAGGAAAACAAACAGTGAGCGCAGTTTTATTCTGCACTGAGAACAGGAACTAAAACCCACGTTCTTACTTTTTTCTTTGTGTATGTGGTAATTTTATGGTTACTGGACACTGTTGGTGCTGGCTAATTTAAATATAGAGTATGATCACATACGCAACGAATGACGTGCCAGTACAGGAAGAAAGAAACAGACACCACCACAAGTTCATTATTAGAGAAGAATCTTCTAGATGAGCAAAACAATAACTTTATTAATATAGCACCTTTAAAAACAGAGTTTACAAAGTGCTTCGACAGACAAAGCAACAACAGAATAGAAAACAAGGGTGACTGCAGAACAGAGACTTTGAGTCGGCGGTGAAACTGTCATTTTTTTGTGTCATCTCAGTGTGGTAATCAGGGAGGTCCATTAATAAACTCATACTCTCTCCATTACTATTTCTATTGATTAATGTTTCATTGCATTAATTCAAAGAGACTGTGATGATACAGCAGGCTATCAATACAAATTGCTAATATAAAGTTGTTGTAAAATAATATTTGGTTGGAAGTGGGAGAAGTGAAACCTTTCAGCTAGCTAGGTAGGTAGTGCTGTCTGCCTGTCAGCTCCTTAAAGTTCCTAAAAGAAATGCCAGATACATTAGACTAGTGGGTGGGTTGTGTCGAGAACAGGGGACACAGAGCCTGGGGCTGGGACTCCTTCAGGGAGCGCCTGGACGTAAGTGAGAGACTTTTTGAGCCCACGGCTGGCACCTGTTCAAGGCTGTTCACTGCTGACTTTTGGTTTCACACGTGAGATGAACAGTGGCCTTGTGGGTGAATTTGTTTGAGCTGTCCATAAACTCCAAACTCCTCCAGATGCAGACTTTCTCGCTCCTTATATACCACATCATCTGACAAGCTTCTCTAAAGCAACATTATTAGGAATCACCCCATTAACTTTGATTGTGATGCAGATGATACCCAGTTATATCTATTGATCAAACCTGATTAAATTAATCAATTAGCTAAATTACAAGCATGTCTTAAAGACATAAAAACCTGGATGAGTTGCAATTTTCTGATGTAAACTCAGACAAAACTGAAGTTCTTGTACTGGGCACCAAACACCTCTTAGACTCAGTGTCTAAATCTTCTAATTATCTTTGATCAAGATATGTGCTTTAACTCCCACATCAAGCAAATCTCTCGGACTGCCTTTTTCACTGACGTAACATTGAAAAAATCTGACACATGCAGAAAAACTAGTCCATGCATTTGTTACATCTAGCTTGTGGAACCAAACACCCTCACCACATTTTAGAGTAGGCTTTAGACGTTCCTCTTTGATAAAGCTTATAGTTAGGGCTGGATCAGGTGAGTCCTGAACCATCCCTTAGTTATGCTGCTATAGGCCTAGACTATCGGGGGATTTCCCATGGTGCACTGAGCTCCTCTCTTCCTCTCCCTCTCTTTCTGCACTCATTCATGTCCCATTAATGCATGTTACTAACTTTACTTCTTCCCCGGGTGCTTTCTTGTCTTGCAGGTTTTCATGCTGCCATGGTCATACTTGACCCCCACTGCTAATATTACCACCAAAGTAGATGTAATAGAGCTTATAAATTCATGAAGAAGACACATAAAGTACAACAGAAATGAACTCATTTTATTTGTACACAAGATCCCAAAAATAGAAATAGTAGAGGATGTGATAATCACTTGCTGAGTAGAGGGAAGTGATCCACCAAGCAAAGTAAACAATTAACTACTGCAATCTACTCATACAAGATATTTAATGATGTCACACAGTCTAAATTACAGCATAGTCCTTCTTGGCAGAGGTAACAACAGCCCAAAAACAGGAGAGATTGTTGAGGTGTGCAGGACGTCCACCAGCTCTGTCAGACACCTGTGAGGAAACACGAGAGGACAGTTCAGAACACCAAATGTAAAAGCTCTCTTAGAGTCGGGTTTAAAATAAGCACCAACACTAAACTGTGGGACTGAGGGTTTGGACTGTTTCCTGTGTGGTCACTTATTTTAAAGTACTAGACATTATTTAATTATTTCAGTTCCTTTTAATGACTTATTATATGACGTTTTTTTCATTTTTGTAACACATCTTCATTTTTTGAATGAATTTTTAATTTTGAGCTTCCTCTCTTGAAAACAGAATTCACATGACAGATTGAGAGGTCATAACTTTAGGTCATTTTAACTCGTGCTGTGACGTCAGATTAAACTAGTAGTAGCACTGAGAGTGGTGTCGGCAGTATATCAGTGGTAGAAGCTGCAGCAGTAGGAACAGTTGTTTCTGTACTAGTCTCAGTGTTTAAAGCAGGATTATTTTACCTCTTGTTTCTGTGTGACGGAGGATCAGGGGTCAGTTTCTGTTTCTGCGTATCGCTTCTCTATCTGTCGAGCTGTGAAAGAGGGAAAATAAACATGGAGACGGTACTTTTATTTGACTTCTGTTGTAACTTTTCAGTCAATGTTAAGATTGTTTATGGTTTATTAGCAGAATATCTCAAAACTACTTTTTAAATGTCATTGATATCTGGAGAAACAATTAATTTTTTATGTGCAGATCCAGTTGTAGCAATAGTGCCACCATGTGGTCGAGGCAGACGACCACCCATCTAGAGCCGGGGTCTGTCCGAGATTTCTGCCTCTTAAAAGGAAGTTTTTCCTTGCCGCTGTCACCAAGGTCTTGCTCATGGTGGGAACTGTTGGGTCTCTGTAAATAATGTTATAAAGAGTTCGGTCTAGACCTGCTCCATTTGAAAAGTGTCCTGAGATAACTTCTGTTATGAATTGGTGCTATACAAATAAAATTGAATTGAATTGAATGTGGTCGTTTATAGAGCACTTTACATTGGAGTTATAATTCCTGAACGGGGATATTCAGTTGTACAAAACTGTTTATGGTTACAGAAAAATCTGTCAACATAAACCACGCACATGTTTTAATGCAGACAGATCTTCTGCCTTTTTCTCCTCTTTTACCCAATTAAAAAAAAAAAAGACTGAAAGGCAAAAGACCCTATCTACAGCCAGTGTTTGGTTTGTCCGTTTTGGGCTTCTGTAGAAACACGGAGGACTCATTGTCAGGTAACAATAATAATTTTAATATTAGATTCCATTTCTGCCAATCCTCCTAAATGTCACACACTGGACCTTTAAATCCTGAATGCGTTGTTGTTTGATGAAGATGTGCAGATCAAACTATATTCACCTTTTCTCCAGATAATGACAGTGAGATAACTGATGATGATTAAATAGAGTATTCCAATCACGATACAAACTGAGATTTGCCACAGGTTATCAGGACCTGGAAGACAAGAAAACATTCTTAATCAGACCATCATACATCACCAGTTACACCAAACACCAAAGAAAGAGATGGTTGCTGGTCTTCATGGGCAGATGGAAGATAGAGTAAAATTCACACGTACTTGTAAAATAAAAGAGGATGTACAAACAGAATGGAAGTCATCTATGATACAGGGTGGTAGCATCATCTCAGCAAAACCATTTATTTCTTCTTCCTCATGAAGTGCCTTTAAAGCTACTGTAAGTTATATTCAGATACTAAACTGATTAAATCTGATTTCACTTACATGTGGTTGAATATTGGTCACTTGTAGCCGTAGAAACTTTAGATCAGACATATTGTATGTACCATTGTGTCATTATCTGACTTTGAATGTCTGTATAATGTTGATTATTATATATACTGTACAGACACATAGATCCTTCACTGTTTGTTTTTGGGTTGTTTGGTAAGACTTTGTCTATGTTGGAGTCATACCTGAGGCTGCCAACGGTGTTGATGGTGCAGGCGTTGAAGTCGCTGTTGGAGGCGTAGTTTTTGTTGCTCGTGTTGTTGTTGGTGATGTCAGACGAGCTTTTGTTACAGATAGAATATATAATAGAGAGCTGCAGTCATGATGTCACTTCCTGTGGCCTTTTTTTAAAAAATGAAGTTCTTTGTTCCTGAGATTTACTTTGCACCTTCTGAGACAAATCACTTCCAGTACAACACAACTGTACTGTACATGCAACATTCAGAGTGCAGAAATTATTTTCAAACCCAGACAGAAAACAGGACAACTTTATTAAAGTCTGATGTTACCTGATGGGATCACCGTCAGCTCCACAGCTGGTTTATTATTACAGAAGTATCTTCCAGTGTCTGAGACAGCAGCTCTTTGGATGTAAAGTGATTTATCTGCTGATGAACTGTATCGTCTGCCTGGATCACGAATATGTTTTATGTCTCTGCCACCATCAGCTGTAAGTATGTAAACTCTGTGTCCATCTCTCTCTCTGCTCCACGTCACTTTACCCTCCACAGAGTGAGGACAACGCAGAGTGACAGAGTCCTTCTTCCTGATGATTTTTGGGTGTATTCCTGCAAAAGAAACACATTTTTAATAAGTATGAATGTGTTTTATTTCTATTTCTTTCATTGTGAGTAACTCTTAGATCTATGTAAACCATCAGAGTCAGAATAACATTCATCCGTCAGTGACTGTACATTGAAGAAGGCTACTGTTATCAATGGAGAGAGATTCTCTCTTCTGAACAGCTGTGAGTGAGTTTTCCATTAAGTTCATACAAAAAATGAAACTTTGACACCTATCAGTGCTGTCCTCTACCAGGGTTTTCCACAGCTACTAAATTATTGTTTCAAACCCAGACAGAAAATAGAAAGTAGAACAAATGTATGAAAGTCTGATGTTACCTGATGGGATCACCGTCAGCTGCACAGCTGGTTCATTATTACAGAAGTATCTTCCAGTGTCTGAGACAGTAACTCTTTGGATGTAAAGTGATTTATCTGCTGATGAACTGTATCGTCTGCCTGGATCACGAATATGTTTTATGTCTCTGCCACCATCAGCTGTAAGTATGTCAACTCTGTGTCCATCTCTCTCTCTGCTCCACCTCACTTTACCCTCCACAGAGTGAGGACAACGCAGAGTGACAGAGTTCTTCTCCCTGATGATTTTTGGGTGTATTCCTGCAAAAGAAACACATTTGTCAATACATATTAATGCTGAGCAGAGGGAAAACCAGAAAGTTTTTCCCCCATAAAATCTGATCTATTTTCTCCAAAATCAGTGAATAAAGTTGTGCTATTATACAATAATCAGTGAGGTGTTAGGAGTATACACCCCAGAGAGCAGGATGAGTCATCAACTACTGTTCATTGTTTTTCACAAAATAAACTCTAAAAGAATACTTCCAAATACTTTTTTGTCATGGTTGGACCACATACTGGAACATATGTGACGTGTAGCACAATACATGTGATAAAAACACTTAAAGATCAGTGTGGAAGGAGATAACAGAGCTTTTCCAAAACAATTACAACAGCAGCTCAGTGAGTGTCGGGGACTGCATGGCACTAAAGTTACAAAGACAATCTTTTGCATCAAACTTGCTCTGTGATCATTTCAGGTCAGTGTTCAGTAGCCTCCCAGAGAGCAGGAAGAGACTGACACCGAGGTTTTAACGGGTGTCTGAACTTAAGCAAAAAAGCAGTGACTACTATTTGAGTAGTAGTATTTGATTAAGAACAACTTACTCCTTCTAACTTTATATAAAAATGATTCTGTAATATTTTTCATTCTGGACCCAAGGAGGCAAAAAAGCCTGAGACACTGCAGACAGCAGTTCACTTCTGCTTACTTTAAAATAAAAAAAAGAAATAATAAAAAAATACAATTCACAGAGAAGTTGATTCAAACAGGATATTAATGAAATATATTAGGTCATCTGCATTCGTACGGGATTAGGATCACAGACATCTTCTGCAATTATTACATCACATGAGGTCCCCTGATAATACTGGTCCCATGTGAATAAGGCTTTAGTGTAGACATACAGTATTGATACTATATACAAACACACTTCCTGATGTAACATATGAATACTATATTGAATGAAATAAAAAAAACAGTCAGAAAATATGAAATGCGTTAAAACTGATGAGAAATAGTATTGCACAGGATCGTTGATAAGTTCTTACCTGCAGCGACATTACAGCCCAGAACAAAGGCTGACAGGCAGATGTAGATATTCACCCTCATCCTCACAGTCTGAAGTGACTGAATGCAGGAAAACAAACAGTGAGTGCAGTTTTATTCTGCACTGACAACAGGAAGTTGCCTGGAAATATAAAGCCCATTCAAACGTCACTTCAATTCATATTTGGTCTTTTTCTAGAAAATGAACACTTATGGTTCCGGTTATTTAGTATGATGATATTTTAGTCACAACTAATTATGTACAAGAAAAAGCCACATCCTGACTTACTACAGTAGGTACGTATGTCCAGTACATAAACATTAAAGCTGTTTTACCTAAAATGGTAACAGTCTATGTCCTCGTCCCGCAGACACACTGACAGAGCGGACTGTTGTTTGTGTCGCTCACAGCTGAACTGATGAGACAAACAAACACAAACACATATGAAACAAACAGGAGGAGATGCTTATAGAATGTTTTAAATGATATTCTATTCTGAGTATTGTTATTCGTCATTGGTAATAATGTTCATGATACATAAACATGAGCAGAATACATCAAATGCCACACAGTTCACTCGGCTACGGGTTCAACCAGAAAGCTGTTAACGTTTGCTATTAAAAGCTGAGTCCTGGGTAAAGAAATCAAACCTCTATTTGTCATATTATCAGTAGGTTTACCCAGTGTGTTGGATCTAAAGTAAATATCCAAAACCTTTAACCAATCCCAGAATGCATGAGTAAAAACACATGTGGAAAGTCCCCCACCAACCCACACCCCCTCCAATATGCAAAGACTTAAATAAATGATGATTCACAAGAAACGTTGGTTAAGAATCACTCGTCACTTCCAGCGAAGAGCTAGATAATATCAGATCTGTGTGCAGAGACTGTCCCCTTCCTTATATCGACACATGGAACTAACACAAATGTCATATTTCCATCATGTTTCCCACAAGTTGAGGTTTGATTGGAGCTTTTTTAATGACGTTATCTCATTGAGCCTTTGTCCTCTACAATGGTATAATGTCACCTGACTGGAGCATTAGTGCGACACCAGCACTAACTAACACTGGCCTAGAAGTAGTAGTGGAGGGATATGCACATAAATTTACATTTTATCTAGCCAATGTTCTGGAAATTCGGTTGAAATGTGTGCTACATTTGGATGGACGCCATGTGTCCTTGATTTCAGACAAAAGCGGACAAAAACAGGCTTCTCATTTTCAGAAAGAATCCTGTTGATTTTGGCAGCTGAAGGTTCATTTTTGGTTTGTCTTTTATTATTTTTTTGGTCTTTTATTGCCTTTTAATTGATAGTGACAGCTGAAGATGGACAGGAAAGGGGATAACACGCAACAAAGGGCCGCAGGTCTGATTCGCACCTTGGGCCTCTGCAGCAAGGACTCGGTACATGGTCACCAGCTCTACCAGGTGAGCTAACTGGGCGCCCACATACTTTGTTAAAGCTGTAGAAATTAGTTTTAAAACCAACTTGTTTTAAAACAGAAACCATTTAAAAGGGTCTTGGATATGAAATCTTTTGGCTACATAATTTAACAGGACTGAGAATTAAGCTTGAGGCTAAAAAAACATACTTGGACAAGCAACAGAGAGATTAAATTTATGCTTTATTGTGCATATTTTCAACATGTTTCACATTTACAAAAGAAAAAGATTTGAGCTAGTTAGCTAGAGATGCTAATGTTAGCAGCAAACATTAGAGCACCCTTTAATACATTACGTACATTTTTTCAGTCTGTGAAATGGGGAAGAGGGGTGTTTTAGCACTAGAATGACTGGTTCCACTGTGCATTACACTTTCTTTACTACACTGATTGTCAGGTAGTTTTGGCTGTACTGGCTCTGTCTCCAGATTATAAAGCAGTCTAAATTAATTCAGATCCTGATTTAGAAAAGTCCGTTATCTCAGCATTTTCATAACATATTCAATTTGTATGTCTGACAGTATACCTGCATAGAATGAAGAAGGGTTGAATGTTAAGTGTTTTGTTGCATATTTCCAAGCATGCACTGAAAACAGACCGAGGCTGTTTTTACCTACACCATGTGGGACTGATCTGTCCTGAAAAGATTCTCTTCAACAGTTCAACTGATTTTATCCAACATGATACCATGGGAACGCCACTTTTAATGACACTTTATGTGTAATTGCCTTTTAAGCTTTTTTTCCTGTTCTTTAACACTACAGTTACATATGCAGCATTTTATGGGTATTGGACATATGTACGCAAGTTCCAACAAATATAATAATGTACTGAAAGCTCGAGTGAAAAGCAATGTGAGAAATTAGCCACCAAGGTAACAAAAGGCCAAAAACAAGAGAGACTGTTAAAGTGTGCAGGACGTCCACCAGACACCTGTGAGGAAACACAAGAGGCGAGATCAGAAAATATCACCAACAGTTCTGAACACCAAATGTAAAAACTCTCATAGACTCGGGTTTAAAATAAGCACCAACACTAAACTGTGAGACTGAGGGTTTGGACTGTTTCCTGTGTGGTCAGTTATTTTAAAGTACTAGACATCATTTAATTCTTTCCAATGTATTTTTAGATTTTTACTCTGGTCTATCTCTCAGTAAAGAAAGAGACGGATAGTCAACAATAAAAGCAATGCATAGTAGCATCCATACAGGCATACAGCAAAACAGCCTTTAAAAATACTAGTTAAAACAAAAGCAGATACTCATCAACAAAAAAGTGATGACCTGGCAGCAGCTCCATAATGTTGGACCTTAAACATTAAAAGCACGATACCGCTTTGTTTTGAGCCTAGATCTGAGTAATATTGATGCTGAGTATTGTGTTATAATCTCAGAAAAATATTCAGGTTTTATCAAGCACAACACCAAGATGACTAGCAGATGGTTTTATATTCCCTGTTAAATCCTTGAGGTGAGGACTAATAGTTTTTGAGACTTGGTCTGGTCCAGTGACAAAGGTTTCTTTTTTGTCTGTGTTTAGTTGTAACATCCAGTGATATCCAATCTTAGCTAGCAGTAAGGCAGCAGTGTAGAGTATCCAGATTACTAACGTTGTCAGAATTACGCAATACGTAATAATACATAAAGCGGAGGGTCATCTGCATAACAATGGTAGGCAACAATCTTAACCTGATGAATAATATAACCAAAGGGGGAGAAACCTGAACAAGATGGGTTCAGGGATTGACCCTTGTGGAACCCCACAGGTGACAGTATAGTGTTATAGATATTGTGCTGCGTTTCTGTATACTGTATGTGTTGGAACAACTTTTTCAGAAAGTGGAGTTAAAATAAATTCAAACTCACAAATGTTGGTAGGCAGCCCCCATAGCATAATGTGTGAGATACAGTGAGCTGTGACTGTCACATAAGCATGTGTGGACTCTGTTGAGCTTACAGACTGTAAACTCTGAAACTAACAGGTTATAACAGTTAAAAGTTGGAATGAATACATAAAAAGTCACACTTTAGTGATAGACACTGATAGTGGTGTCAGCAGTATATCAGTGGTAGAGGATGTAGCAGTAGTGACAGTAGTTTCTGTACTAGTCTCAGTGTTTAAAGCAGGATGACTGTTAACTGTTGGACTGTATGAGGATGAACACTGATGAAAGTTCAGTTTTTACCTCTTGTTTCTCTTTGATGGAGGATCAGAGATCAGTTTCGGTTTCTGTGTGTCGCTTCTCTATCTGTCGAGCTGTCAAAGAGAGAAAATAAAGACGGAGACGGTACTTGTTTAATTTCTGTCGTTCCAACTTTCTTTGTTAGCAGAATATCTCAAAAAACAATACATTGGAGTTATAATTCGTAAATTGGTATGTTCAGTAGCACAAAACTTTTCACAGTTACAGACAAAGCTGTCAGTATAGACACACATACTCGCATACAGATTTTCTGCCATTTTATCCGATTAAAAAAAATACTTAGATGTGCTTGAAACAACAATTATGATATATGTTTTATAATTGTTTTTAAAACAGTGTTTGAATGCAGTGAGGTTTTACAAACGAATTTAGATTAAATGTGCACATATCAGCCTTGATCTGAGCTGGTTGATTTGATAACATTTTACCTATAGGTGGCGGTACAGCAACATGATGAATTTAAATGGTCATAACTACCTTAACATAAGTTTGATTCAAAAGGGATTTTGAAAATTCATCTTGGTACAAAACCAAGGTATAAATGATCTGTAGTTGTCTCTCAACAGTATCAGAATTGAGCTTCAGAACAATGTTGTTGATCATAATAGAAAGAATAGAAACTATTTACATAAAAATGTTTTTTCCTATAAAAGTTGCTATTTGTATGAGTACCGATATAAATACAGTTTACTCTCATGATACTCGTAAAAAGTACATAATCTGTACCAGCAACTTGTTTCCGGCGAGTACTTGCCAAATCCTATTGTTGATATCAAGTTGTTTCAGTTATTATAGGTAAATTTGAGTCTTTTTTTAGTTTCAAACAGCTACAACATTCACATCACTATTATGATACAAAGGTGCTGAACATTTTCTGATGAACAAAACCTCCTGCAGGTCAAACTATACTCACCTTTTCTCCAGATAATGACAGTGATGCTGATCATGATGATTAAAAAAAGTATTCCCAACACCGTACGAACAGACATCTGCCACAGGTAATCAGTATCTGGAAGACAAGAAAACATTCATAATCAGACCATCATCTATCAACAGTTACAGTCAATGTTCAGGCATTTATCTATTTGTCTTGGTACAAAAGAGCTGACACACTTTCTATAAACCTGAAGCATCTCCTTAACATAGCTGAGAGACACATGAACAACAAACATGATGAAGGCAAAATGAACAAAGGAAGCTGAAAACATCATTATTGGTCACATGAGGATGAAGGAACTGCAAGTTCAAATGTTGATTTCCACAACAATCAACAACAAGAAGACTTCAACATCGATGGTTGAATGTGAATGATGTTATTGGTTGAAAGTATAGATAAAGTAAGTTCATGCTTACATAAGAACATGTCACATTTTGTTTTACAAGAAAAAATATTATTGGATTTCAATATAAAAATAGAATTATTGATTGAGTGTTTGAAAATATTTTGCCATACATTGTTAGAGGTACAATACAACTGAGGATGTGATCTTAAAGGGTTAAAATTGCATTTTCCATTCCACTTTAAGCATTAATGAATGCAGCACATAGTTTGTGCTCAACTTCCCATGTTGAAATACCACCTTAAATATAATTTGAAGACAGCATTAAACTTGTACTCAAAGTGTGGCTGGATTACTGTACAGACCTATCAGGAAGGATCCCCAATGACCAGAACCTCTGTTTGAAGTAACTGTTACAGTAATTCTTGTTGGAAAGTCAATTAAATGACTACAGAGACACAGAACAACCAGAAAGAGACACACAAAGACTACAGAGACCAAACACCTCCTTCAGTTTGGATGTCTGGCACCTGTGTTAGACCTTTTACTCGTCGGTAGCCGGGAGCATGTTGTTTCCGTCCATTACTCTTGGTTGCATTTTAGGTTTTCAGACATATTAGCCTTTCTTTAGCATGTTTATGCACTTACACTATATCTCTTTTTATAGCATATTTTGATGGAACTGCTTTAATCTGATTTTTGCATCCAATGTGTTTTCTGTTTTTTGGTTTGTATTTGGACCAGTTTAACATTTATATCTGTTTTCATCTTGTTTGTGTGTTGTAGTCGCACCTGTATTTGTTGATGCAGTTGTTGTTGGTGTCTTGTTCCCTTCATTGTGGAGTAGAGAAAATATATATAAATATATAAAATATATATAACAAGTGAAAAATGCATCTCATAATACAGACACTTTTTGTGGCGTTTCATCGAGCTGCAGCGTTCTCACAGCAGAAACCACCTGAGCAGGATGTGTACATTACGTACTTTGTATTCTATTGATCCAGTCTCTTTACATTTATTTGCAGTCAGTATTAAATCTGCTCTCATGTCTGTACTCTAGGTCATGTTGTACCTCAGCTTTTCTCTTATTTTGCCAGTTAAAATGTCTTCTTGTGTCTCACCTCTCTCAGATGTCTCATCTTTGTTCACAGTCAGATACGCAACAGGTTTTCCATCACAGTAATAAAGTCCAGAGTCAGCAGGCTGCAGGTCTGTTATTATCAACGTGTTGTTCACAGTTGAAACATGAAACCGTCTCTGTTGTTGTATTTCAACAGCGTCTCTGCTCCATGTTGGAACATCTGATCCTCCAACATCAGGAGGACATTTCAGAGTGATGGTGGTCCTCTCTGCAGCATCAAGTCTGGTTGTTCCTGTACACAGCAAACAACACAGGACTCATATTTTATAATGTACCATCATAAACTTATCACACAGATTCAGGATAAAGTCAGAGACCATGTGAAACCGAGGAACTAACATCTGTCACCACACAGCTGTATTTTAGTTGGAAATATACGTCATCAAATAACTTCCTGAATTAGGTGTTAGATCAGAGGGAGATATCTTTTGTGTGAGAACTGTGCACAAGAAGAAACATTCAGTATAATGTTTACAATTCTCCAAAAGAAGAAGAAGACTGTGCTGAGATGTGATCAGACAGTTTTATAGATACCTTGTGTATTTTACTTCATATTAAGTGAAACTTAAAGTCCACCAAAAGGCTCTATTACAGTACCAAGAAGTAATGTGAGACACTAAAATATAATTTTGAGAAATAAGTATTTTTATATTATATATATCATACAATACAAAGTTTAATAAAAATGAAACATTTAGCTCAGAGACATGAAGAGAAAACAGGACAACTTTATTAAAGTCTGATGTTACCTGATGGGATCACCGTCAGCTCCACAGCTGGTTCATTATTACAGAAGTATCTTCCAGTGTCTGAGACAGTAACTCTACCAATGTAAAGTGATTTATCTGTAAATGAACTGTATCGTTTGCCTGGATCATTGTGTCTTATCTCTCTGTCACCATCAATTGTAAGTATGTCAACTTTAGTTCCATCTCTCTCTCTGCTCCACGTCACTTTACCCTCCACAGAGTGAGGACAACGCAGAGAGACAGGGTTCTTCTCCTCGACTATTTTATGGATTATTGCTGTAAAAGAAACAGACACATTAATAAATAAAGTTCACACTGAACTGTCAAATATAGTTATATTATTTTTTATTATTATTTTGTTATATTGTTTGTACATAAGTCAACAACCCCATACACCACTGACACAACCTTCAAGACCTCACACTATAGAGCAGACTATATATGCTGAATGAATTATTATTATTAATTAAATTCAGTTCATCCCTGCTGAGATTAACAATATAAACCAGTTGGATCCCAGTTCAGCAGAAGGAAATGTTACCAATCAGAACCTTTTACAGGTTTACAGTAATTTATTCATTTTAAAATGCTCTCACCTGAAGTGACGTTACAGCCCAGAACAAAAGCAAACAGGCAGATGTAGATGTTCACCGTCATCTTCAGACAAATGATCCGCTCACAGAACGACGTCCGACCTCTACTTCTGTCTGAGAACAGGAACTGTGTGGTTATAATGTCATAAATACACTCCTCCCATCTCAAGTCTTTCTGTGGTCGATGAACACTCTTCTCTTTTGATAGAAAGTATGAGCAGTGGAAAGTTTTAGGTACTTGTACTTTTTGTTATGCATGTGTATGAATGAGACAAAAAAGCCTCTTAGACCCAAACCTCAAACTCAACAGGAAGTCGGACATTTTGAATAGAAAACGTGTTTTCGACCATATCTTTAAGAATAAATGATATTTCATCATTTCATACTTTAATTGATCGGACGATGAGTTGAACACTGTAACTCTGGAACAGAGATTGTGACTAACATGTGACATTATGGACTCAAAGGTCATTGTGACCTCAGAATCTGTTGACTTCTACAGAATGAGTAAACAACAAACACAATGCAGGATACTTCCATCCCTCCATCCTGCCTTTGACTGCAAACAGCTGTGTAATGATGCACCATGGCCTGGATGATACATGTCACACCTCCTCTGCTCTGAGGACTGAAGCCTCCCTGCAGGTCTCACCGACACCTGCTCCATCCTCCACAACAAGCTGCTGGTGTCCCAGTCTGTCCTCACACAGCCTCACTGGACTTATGTAACAACTCCACCCCAAAGATTAACATTCAAATGAACCTTCCCTGCAGCGGGAGGGGGGGGTATCATAACTTTAATAGTCGGTGGGTTTGTTAGTGTGTGTTTGTGTTGTTGTCGTAATGCTTCAACCAGCGTCAGTTTCACTAGAACTGCTTTTTGCTGTGATAAACTGTGATTGGCTAGTGCGCATGTCATGTCCTCGTTCCTATTGGTTGCTTCTTCCTGTCAATCAAAATACGCTCTTCCGATTGGACCGAATCACCTTTAAACCCTCTCTCCGCATCGCCCTCCGCGATTGGTTGACCAGCGACCCAATCGCTCTCTCCGAATCATCCCATTGGTTGTTCGCGCCGTCAATCACACATGCCGCGCTGTGATTGGCCGCTCCGTCGCAAAAGTGGGCGGTAGTTTTCCGGAAAGTGCGTTTCCTTGTCTGTCATATGCGGAGCGAAAGGGAAGAGGCCACAGAGCGAGCAGGAGGAATCGAACCAGCGACTTTGTGACGGAGGAGTTCTCCCGTTACTCTACATTATAGATTACATTAACGCCCGGTGGCACTGCGGGACCTTCATGGTGGACGGAGCGGTCGTATTGGGTCTGTTTGTTTAAGCTCGCTGTTATCACGCTATCTGCCTGCAGCCCCCCCCCGGCCCCCCGGCCCCCGGCCCCCCCTCTGTGGCTATGAGTACGGACCTGCTCTCTGACCTGGACTGTCGGTTCTTCGCTGATAACCTCCTGACGAGCGAAGACTGGGGTGAGTTCACATTAAAGGGGGGGGGTAACGGTGTGTGTGTGTGTGTGTGTGTGTGTGTGTGTGTGTGTGTGTGTGTGTGTGCGCGCGCAGACCCGGATATGTCAGTTTATCTTTAACACAGTGGGGGTGGAAGTGTGATCACACATTAATAAAAGAGCACTCCTCCTCCTCTTCCTCCTCCTCTTCCTCCTCCTCCTCCTCCTCTGTGCACGCTGCAGAGGACTGGGGTTATTAATGTAACTGACGGATGTTTCTTTAAAGTAAAATATAAAAACGTGTGTTTATTTATTCCATATTCTGTACTGTTGTTGTTGTTGTTGTTGTTGTTGTTGTTATACATACAGACATTATGGAGTATGTTAATGGAAGAAGAGGATTTTATAGGAAATATTAGCTCAGGCGCCTTTATTAGGGGCAGAGGTCTCGCTGTGCTGACGACTCATTACAGGTCGTACTGTTTCACTGCCGTCGTTTTACAGACAGACAGACAGACAGACAGATAGACAGACAGATAGACAGACAGACAGACAGATAATATTCCAGACCAGGCCTATATTGAGAACCACACCAGGCTTGTAAAGGAGACGGGTTTACGTAATAATATCTGTACAGTTTCCGTTGTTGACAGATGAACGGTGGGACGATAATGGGAAGTTGATATTGATTACATTATTGGGACAGTTAAAATACAGTCGATTAGTTATCGGTTTATATTGATTATCATTTATTACGTGTAGGTCTGGACGCTGACTCTGAGGGTGCTCCGATCAGGATGTTTGATCACTAGAAGCAGTGAATCATAGACAATCCTCATTATTATTATTATTATTATTATTATTATAATAATGATATAACTGTGTGACGGACTACATACAGCAACCCATCAGTGTTTGTCTCTTATCTTCACGTCAGTCTGCAGGAAATGAAACCGATCATTCGCTGATAAAACCCACTCGCTGCTCTGTTTGACTCTGGTGGGCTCAGTAAATCACCGCAGTGTTTGTTTCAGTTTCCAAATCAAGAGTTCACCTCAGCATCGTCACGCATGATGGGAGAAATGATGGCACACGAGGTCACGTTGGAATGAAGCTTTCTACAACACTATAAATACTTTAATGTGTCCCTTCCAGTGCGTGGTGGTACAGCGGAGGATAACATGTCTTCAGTATTCACTCGTTCACAGCTCATGTGTTTAAACGCTGTCCGTCTCTCCGCAGATGCCTGCCTGTACCAGTGTGAGAGCATGGAGGAGGGCGAGGACGGAGACTTCAGCGGGGGGTTGAAATACGAACCGCCGGTAAGGAGACACAAAGAAAGCGTCGCTCTGGTTTCTGTCCCGCACTGAGAGTGTAACTGATGCTCAGCCTGATGTGTTAATGTCTCTGCCTAACAGTGAGGGCTGTCTGTTAGTCCCTCAGTGCGCTGCTGTGGTCTACAGTGAAATATCTTTACAAATATTGGACGGACTGCTGGGAGATTTGGTGCAGACGTTCGCGGCCTCTACAGGACGAATCCTGATGGTTTTGGTGATCCTCTGAGTTTTCATGTAGCGCCACCATGAGGTCAAAATACTCCTGAAACTGGCTAAATTCCTTCACTGCCAGATCGACAACCTCCCTGCTCTTCCTCTGCACCGCTCATAGCAACCAAAAACAATGGTTTAAAGCTTTAAAACGCGAGCTGAAAACAATCAACTCAACATTTAGCCGGCGCAGAAGTGATTATTGTTATTATTATTATTATTATTATTATTATTATTTACAGTGTCCCTTTAACCCTGTAGCTAAACACATTCACATTGTGTTGGCAGCAGCAGCTTCCCTCAGTCTGTAAACCCTCAGAGCACAGACGACGGGTCAAACAATAATCAGGCTAATTGTGTGTAACAAGCGTGTACACACACACACACACACACACACACACACACACACACACACACACACACACACACACACACACACACACACACACACACTCACAGGTTAACATACTAACTAATCCAACCGTTGTTTGACCTAATTTTCCTCCCCCTTGTTTTTCCTCCCTCTCCTCTCTCCCCCTTTCCCTCTCGCAGTTTGACAATGACCTCGTGCTCACCCTCGATCCGGACAACCCCACGTCGCCATGGCGCCACCTTGACGACAACCTTCTCACAGGTACAGACCGGCCAGCCCGCGGGGGCGCTCGCTGGGAACCTTACACCACCTTCGTCTCAGACTGTCTCTGAAACATGAGACGCTTCATCCTCAATCCTGTCCCTACAGTCCCTACAGTCCCCACAGTCCCCACCGTCCCCACAGTCGCTGTGTCTTTGTGCGGTTTTACTCGCTGGAGTCAAGAAGTTGTCCAGTAGTACATTTTCTAAATACAGATTTGATCCTGGAGAGATCGTGTTTGAGGAAGAAAGCTAGTTTGTATTTTTATCGTCAACAAACAGCGTGTTACTCCGTCTCTAACAGTCTCTGACTTCCTGTCTGTGGCTCTCAGCTCGAAGTCTGTGGTTCCTACTGATAAAGTTAATCTTTGAAAACACAAATAGCTTCATGAATAGAATAAACTACTGTGTGTGTGTGTGTGTGTGTGTGTGTGTGTGTGTGTGTGTGTGTGTGTGTGTAATGGCAGTGGGACTCATTGATGTGTTTGATCGTTTTTTGGAGCGGTGGCGCTCTCTCAGGCTTTGATCCACTAATAATAATAGTTGTTAGTGGATACGTTCATTGTTTGGTTTTGGGGTGAACATGAGCTTTGATGATCAGAAGATAAACACAGGATGTCACCAGACGGATCCTTTAGCAGCAGGAACAGAAATAAACTTCCCTCCTGATATTACGTTGCTTTATCTTTAATATCAGACAGTAATAGTATTAGTAAAAAGGTTCATTTGTCCTTACACTGTCTCAGTCCTTTATTACGGAAGAAGCTTTTACTTTAATTCACTTGTGTGAAGATTGCCAGCAACTCTCATTATTATTATTATTATTATTATTATTATTATTGTATATATTATTTCCACACGCTACTTAAAATGAATGTCCACTGTCTTACTGAAGTCTCACAGCAGAGATAAAGTGAAGCCTTTTGGTAGCTTTGTTCGCTCTCAGCTCTGAGTATACACTGAAAATGAATCCAGCTATTATACACAGCCCTGGCTCTGTAACCGGGAAGTGGATCGGACCGAGCCACACGGCACACGGTTACTTCCTAGTTTGCCAACACATGCTGTTGTTGTGATGCTAGCGAGTAGCAGGAGGGTTGAGTATCGCTGTCTGGAGCTGCACATCATTACCTGTTCATTAATATGGTGTTATTAGTATTACTGTTACCAGTCTGGGTTCTGAGGTTGTAAATGATTCATTATTAGAACCTGAAACTCCTCTGCTGCCACTTTGACGTCACATGACCTCAGTCTCTTGATGTTTGTGCGTCTCTTTTCTCTGAAGGGGAAACTCCTGTGATAAAAAATGAAATGACCATCACTCAACCATTACCAGTGGAAATGTGTAAGTTGTCCAGTTTCTTTTAAGAATCCTCTGTTGAACAGAAACAGATCTTCCTTCGTACTCTGATTGTTTGTGTGTCCAGTGTTCCAGGTGAAAGCGGAGCCTCCCTCTCCCGCATCCTCGCTCGGGTCCGACTGCTCGGCGTCCTCACCGGACCCACAGGTGTGTGTTTACCTGAGTGCATGAAGGTTTATTTCCTCTCTTGTGCATCATGTGAAGGATAGAACTCTCCGTCTTCTCTCCCGTGCAGATCACAGTTAAAGGTGAAAACCCTCCGACTCCTCCCTACATGTACGGAGACGTGCTGTCTCCTCCGCTGGGGTCGATGGAGATCACCGTGGCAACAACAGCCGTACCTCCACAACAGACACAGCTACAGACGCCGCTAACGACGCAGATCCCAGCAGTCATCAGTGGAATACAGACGCAGGCTGCAGGTCGGTCACCAGCAGAGGGTCTGAGGTTGCTGCTGTGTTTCTCTACTCTTACTGTTGTGAAAGGCTGAAAGTAGAAGCAGCTGCCGGTGTGGTGACGGTGGTCAGATGTGTTGTATTGGAGGAAAGAGGCTTTAATATTTTTTTTTATTTTTGCTTTGGTGGCATTTGCTGCTGTTCATATTCCCTCCTTACTGACCCGCAGTACTACAACCCTGATGGATTGGCTGGACTGGCAGCAGAATGAGGTTGTTCTTGAACTCAGTGTTTTTTGACGGATGGACTGATGGATCAGAGGACTTTAGTATTGCGTCTGTGTGTGAGAGACAAAAGAAGAGAGGGATCACTTTGTTATTGAAATGGAGCCTCAGGCTGTTGTTGGTTTTTAGTTGAGACTGCCACACCTCCACTTATTTTCACTTATTTATTTCTTTACAGAGACACTGCTCCTTGATTAGCATCACAGTGACTGCGCTCATGTTTCAGCTGTTGTCCCTGAGTTAAATTAACAATAAGAAACAACATCTAAAATTAGAACAGCGTGAAGCAGAGGAGTGAAGCAGATGAGTGAAGCAGAGGAGTGAGGCAGAGGAGTGAGGCAGAGGAGTGAGGCAGAGGAGTGAGGCAGAGGAGTGAAGCAGAGGAGTGAAGCAGCATCTTGTAAAGTAGGACATGAACAATGCAGACAATACAAAAACAATCTTAATCAGACATTCAGTACAAGCAGTTAAAGGATCTGTTGTCAGAAATGGAATATAATATTCATAGCTATATTTCCATTAGTGTGTAGTCACCTGAAAAAGAGAATAATGTGTTTTTGTTACCTTTTAGAATTAGTTTTGATCTACAGACGGGTTCTATGGAGTCTGCAATGTTGAACCACCCAACAGACAAACACTCGCTCTACATACGGTCTTTCATACATTGCGAGGCCACCGTAGTTTCTCCTCCACACTCGGTTGAGTCCAGTGGTTTCAGTTAGTCTTAAACTGCAACTTCACCTCTAGATGCCGAAGAAGAATGAAGATTTTATTTAGATTTCTCAGTCTTCATGGTAAACACTTCCTGCATCGACAAATCAAAGACCCACAATCCTAATGACAAACATTTACTGACACATATAAAACCAGCTCAGTAGCTTCATATCTGATGGACTGAGATGAAGCATGTGAAATATATAGAAAGATATGTCTTATATAATAAAATGTATAGCAACAAAGGCAGCATGACAACGTCTGCTGACGATATCTCAGGGTTCACACGTGGAGGTTAAGTGTAGCGTGAGTTTGACAGTCAGGTTGTTAAGTTGTTTGAGCCTGAAGGGAAAACTCTGGATTTACTGGTTGTTTCAGTTTCAGAGGTATTCAGTACAGTCCTCACCCCAGGACAGACCCACAACCTGGGGAGGGTTACTGTCTCATCTGGTGAGAGAATGATGGTTAACTCTGCTGCTGCTGTGGGAAAAATACTCCTTCACTAATACTAATACAATAATGTATAAAATACTCCACTACAGACTTTTTAAGTATTGGAAGTAAAGATTTTCAGACTTTTATCTTTGGATCTTTTCACCTCTTTGGGTCTCAAACAGTTAAACATTGAGAGAAGTAATGAAACTGTGAACAACTTATAAACATCTGAAACATGTTGAGGAGCCACAACTAAACACTGCATGAATGTGAGGGGTCACAAAGGTTGTAAAGCACTGGCTTAATGTTTAACAATGTATTGTATTTTAGACATTGTGAAACAAACGTAGAGGAGTAAAATGTCCAGTAAGTAGCAGACAATGGAAATACTACTTCAGTATAAGTACTTGAGTTAAAGTACGTAGTTGTGTTCCAGCTCTGCTCTGCAGCTCAGAACCTGGAAGGAGAGCAGAAAGTGTGTGAGTGGTTGAGAGAACAGCAGCTCCAGTAAACACCGTGGTCGTCTTTCTTTGTGTGTATGCAAATGATTCAAGAGTGTGTGCATGTGACGCAGCGCTCGCCGTCTGCAAACAGCTATTTACATAACTCGATCATTGCATCAGTTCTGCGAGGGTTTCCACTCTGAGGTCACAGCCTGAGTCACTGTGGACGGCTGCAGTGTTTCTACAGCGGCTCCGTCTGTTGTCTAAGATCTCAGCGTCCTACGAAGGCTGAGCTGACGGCGTCTAACTGACTTCTGTTTGTTCTTCCTGAAGTTCTGCCGAGTTCGGCCACAATAAAGGCCAGCACCATCCTGAGCACCAAACCCCCCATCCAGCCCAGACCAGTGTGTGTCACCACCCTCCCCGTCCCCCAGACCCCCGCACCGGCCAAGACCCTCATACTGCAGGGCCTGCCCCCCATGGACCAGACCAGACCTGGTAAGAGGGCAGAAATACACACACATCATGTGTTCTGTTTCTTTGTGTGTTTGGATGTGAAGGAGCTCGTACTGTACTCGATGTGTTATATAATCTGTGGCTGTGAGGAGGTTTGTGTTGAGGACAAATGAGATTTACAGGTTTTAACCTCTCTTTCACAAACGGTCCTCACACGCAGATGGCAGATAGATTTGTCCTTCAGTGGTTTCTCATGCAAAACTGCATCTAGCATTATTAATCAGCTCAGATTTTGAGCCTTTTTTAACCTTTTGAGCTTCATATTGTAGTCAGGAAGTCTCGGCTCCTGCATCGGTCAGACGCCACCTTCGTGTTTCCTTTTGGTGGCTTAACACCGGGAATGTGTTGGTACATAGACACTGCATAGAAAGCAACAAACAGTGGTTATGATAGGTAAAGTGAGTCAGTGGCCCTACGCTGTGATTCCAAATCCAGACACCTGGCAGCCAAACCCTGACTTTACCCGTATTTGGTGCGTGGTTGCTGTTCATTTTGAGCCCTGGTCCAGTGTGAAGCTTGTTTTTCTTAGTGAAAATTACAAAATGAATGCGAGAAGTAAATAGTTATATTATAATGTTGTTAATCGCAGGTTGCAAATTTGGTAGAAATGGATCTCAACAGCTGGTTCCATCCACCACTTTGGTTCAGTTAAATATCCGGACATGTATTGAATGAACTGAAGTGAAATTTGGTTCAAATATTGAAGATGCTGCTGACAGATAAACAGTAGCAGCCAATAGTTGGAACATGCATGTTGAAATGCTGAATTTAGGCGTTAAATGGTGACTGTACAGAAGATAAAATCTTTTAAATTCAGATACCAACAAGGTCTCTCTCTGGCACCAACAGAACTTCATAAATCCCAGCCCTAAATTAGCAAAGTAATCTATAATCTTGTTAATTCAGCAGCTCTAACTATCAGTTCATTGGGAATTGAACCTTTACCTCCAGCAGTACCAGAGCAGTGATGGTCCGTCTCTTCCTGTCTTTCCTCCTCCAGTCGTCTTGTCTCCGTCGGTCTGCCTCGGTTCGGCTCCGGCCATCGTCAAAATGGAGCCCGTCTCTCCCAGCATCCCCCAGCACTGCTCCAGCCCCACGGCTCCGCCCACCAGCAAACCCATTGTCCCGGCGTCGACGACGTTACCCGGCAACAACTCCAACGACATTGACGTGAGTAGGCTGGACGTATTTACTCACACGGATCAAACCTCAAACAGATATCCGCCCCTGGTGGAGTGCCACGCCTGAGTTCATTGTCTTAGTTTGGACAATAGGAACACGAGGAATGTTTACCAAAGGGATCTAGTGTTGAATGAAAAGGATTAAGTGATCAAATATTATTATTATCTTCACCTCTGTTAAATCCTCTCATTGTTTTAGTATTAGGAAATGTCTTATCTGTTGTGCCTGTGCACTTTATCTGTTTCACCGTGGGAGAGTGAGAAACGTCCTCTCCATTCCTTTCTATGTCTGTTGCATATGAAGTAATTGACATTAAAGCTGACTTTGACTTTGACTTGTTAATAAGGACCGGGCCAAGTAAAGAAAGCTTCCCACTTTTGGCCACAGTAACTGTCTGCTGTTGGGTCTTAAAGGCAGGAATACCCACCTACAGCAGGGACGAGGCTTTCCTCCAGGTTGTTTAGGTGGTTTCTGTTGCTGTTGCAGCTCCAGTTACGACAGAAAGACCCCCCAGATTTCCCAGAAATGTTTGAGGTTAGAAATCTTCTCAAGTTAAAAAATAATTGATTGTTGTTAGCATTTAAAACTCTAGATCATCTTTATCAATCAGGAATAATAAATATAGGAAAAGAAGTTAACACAGCAGTATGTTCAGTTCACAGGGAGGATCCACCTGCAGCCTCTTATATAATGGCTGTGCTATGAGAACCCTCAGGCTGTTGCATTACTTCAAACAACAGCTGAACTTCATCCTCCCTCCACCCAACCTCCTCCTCCTCCTCATTGATTCTCCAACACATCTCCTCTTTTTTCCTTCTTCCTGCCCTTTCTTTCCTTCATCTTCCTCCAATCCTCCTCCTCCTCCTCCTCCTCCTCTTCCTCGCGCAGATGAAGGTGCTGAAGCGGCAGCAGAGGATGATAAAGAACCGGGAGTCGGCCTGCCAGTCGAGGAAGAAGAAGAAGGAGTACCTGCAGAACCTGGAGGCTCAGCTCAGGGAGGCCCAGCAGGAGAACGAACGTCTCCGCAGAGAGAACCAGACACTGAGGGAGAGACTGGCTGGGAAAGAGGTGCGGGCTCTTCATCCTCTTCATCGTCCGTTTTTCATCTGCTGCTGTGCAATTAAAACTATTGTACACTTACATATGAGTGCTGCTGACTTGATTCACAGTTTCCATCAAACTCTTTAAACTTTAAAGTTGAGCCCTCCCAAGAGGAATCAATAAATGAGGAAGAAAGGAGTAAATATCTCTTCTGAAGCTGTGATTAAAGCAATAATTGCACTGATTTCCCTGCAGAGGGACAGCTGCTGCTTTTAAATTCAATTAACAACAACAGGTTGAACAGGAGGAAATAACTGCAGGGAGAGAGCAACCTGTAAAACCAGATGATGGTAATCTGTGGGAGAGTCAGACACTGCAGGCCAGTCTGCGAGCAGGTTGTTTAATAACCAGTGCAGACACAAGGAATATATATAATGTATTTTTAAAATCAAACTAACTTCAAACTGCTGGTTTACACATACACATTCAGAATCTGTGTTTAAGTTTCCTGTTGATGTCTTTCAGGGCAGCGACTCAGCGAGCAACAAGCGAGCCGTGTGTGTCATGGCCGTCCTGCTGTTCATGACCTTCAGCTTCGGACCCGTCAGGTATCCTGATACAGCTGTTCATTAGACATCTTAAAACGCACTCTTGCTTTTTCATGATTACAGAATCAGAACACAACAATTTCGGGCTCTCTGACTGAACCTCGCTGTTCTTCTTCACTGCAGCATCACAGACAGGAAGCTGTCGGGCCTACAGGAAGGCGTGGTGTCGTACACGGGACGGCGTCTGCTGGAGTTTGAGAAACAGCGGTATCAGCAGCAGCAGCAGGAGGCGGCGGCGGCGGCGGCTCAGCCTGCGAGCACAGTGGAGGACAGGACGGAGACGGAGGAGGAAGCAGGGGACGAGGCTCCAGAGTCAGACCAGTTCAGGTGAGACGAGTAAACCAGAAATCTTTTAATGTCTGAAGTGAATCCATCCTGTTCCATTAGTTGTCTCCTCTGTTGAACCCATCTGGGGACGGTGTGTGGCATTAGTTTATGCTACATACAGTACGTGTCCCTATACAGATAAACAATAAAACAAATTGAATTAGCATTAAATAATCACCAGAGTCTGATCTGATACTTAAGTTTTCCTAAATTACACAATCAGAATCAGAAATACTTTATTGTGTTACAGTTGCTAATGTGCTAAACAAAGAGAATTCTAAGAAATAGTAATAAGAAGAACGTTAATATATGTGCATTGTATTACAATACATAACAATATATAATGAAAATGGAGAAATATGAATAATAAGTGTGCGGAAATATGTTCATTATACTACAGTGTATAATAATGATAATATATAAAGAATAAGAATGTAAAATAATGTAATATCAGTGTGCTAATACTAATAATAGGACAGATCCATGAATAAGTGTGCCAATGGAAAGAAAAGAAGCGTATAATTGCAGTGTTATTAATTAATGAGTGTTTGCACGTGCAGAAAGTCAATACTGAACCCTAAAAGAGCAGATTTAATCCTCAGAGCTGCAGACTGATGCTGTAAATGATCACAGAGGAGATAATGCCGTTAATTAAGAGCCGATGCTGGAAAGTGTTGATTCTCTACTGAGGAGCTTTAAACAGGAGCTGAGGGAACCAGTAAACACCGTCCAGAGCTCGGTGAATGATTGATGAAAGCAACTCCAGCCTCTCTCTAACACGTTCCACTGCACTCACAGATAATCACTTTCCCTCCACAGGTGATCACACCATCGGCAATGCAGACAAACATGTTTACAGCGGCCAACGTAACTGGCTCTCAAACTGTCACCTGCTGCACACACACAGTGATTTACTTACTGATGGTTTCTCTTTTCACTGTGTGTGTGTGTGTGTGTGTGTGTGTGTGTGTGTGCGTGTGCGTGTGCGTGTGTGTGTGTGTGTGTGTGTGTGTGTGTGTGTGTGTGTGTGTGTGTGTGTGTGTAGGAACCTGAGCGATGTGTTCAGTGACATGAAGGACTTGGTGCTGCAGGACATCGATCGTTACTTCTCCTCCTCAGACTGCAGACAGTTCAACCGCTCCGAATCTCTCAGGTCAGTCCCTAAAACCTCTTTTTCATTCCCTCCCTACTTCTTCTCCTCCTTCATCTCCTCCTCACCCTCATTCACCTCTTCAGACTCAGAATGAACTTAACCAAACTTTTTATTCTCCTCTAATGACAATAAACATTTATTGGTTCATTTACACATCAGCAATAAAATATTAAACTTCCACCCTTCCTTATTTCCTTCCTTCTGTCCATCCATACAAGTTAGATGTAAATGTACAGGATGATGATGTAAGGAGCTGGCAGTTAGGAATGAGCAACTTAATATGATATTAATAAATTAAATAAGTTAACAAATGAGAAGCTAAGATTAAAATTCTACTAGAAAATGATTTATTTACTGAATCAACCTCTGCTGGCTCTTCCTGTCCTCCATCCATCCATCCATTAGCAGTCAGGAATACATATACAACTTCTGTAGTCTCAGTTTAATGTTGATCTCTGTCTAAGCTGAGCTGTTGGTGTTTTTCAGGCTGGCAGATGAGCTCAGAGGTTGGGTCCACCGGCACCAGATCGACAGGAAGAAGTCCGGAGGGAAACCAAAAGTCGCCAAGAAGGCCAAAATCGCTCAGGTCCAGTCAACAAAAAAGCATACATATAGTCTATATAAGATGGGTTAAATACACTTTATTTATGTTCTAGTTCTACTTTATGTTCTCTTCCCTTCAGAACTTAAACTAATCACATTATCAGAGATCATCAAGGTTTCATATTAATCCTGTTTCTGTCTTTTCTCTTGCAGAAAGCTCAGCTGAGGAAGACAAACTTCTCCAGATACCTGCCGATCCAGACTCACCGCTCCATAGAAAGGTTGGTTACACTCAGCAACAACACACATCTGAAAATATATGAAAGATATTCTGTAATTCCCCCTTAAAGAGCTCGTTCAGTCATTACATGAGTTGTCAGAAATGCAAACTGCTGTGAAACTGAAATCGAACAGAAACTGAGAAACAACACAAGTCGTGTTTCTGTGGTTCTGTGCAGTGAAGGTTAATAATGGGGTTGAACTTGTTGTTTCTGTGTGCAGTCAGCTGCAGGTGCTTCCTGGTCCCGAGGTCACCTACAGCGACTTCCTGGACGCCATCGACCGCAGAGAGGACACGTTCTACGTCGTCTCTTTCAGACGGGTACGAGGAGTTGCTCCACAGCTCAGTCCTGACAAACCAGAAAGACAGTTAACTGAGCTGTCTGTGTTCTCTCTTGTGCTCACCTTCCTCCGTGTGTTTGCTGTAGATTGATCTCAGTAAAGGTTGTTGGTTGGTTGGTGGTTGGTTGGAGACTTATTCAAGCACCCTGTACTTTAACGTGTCTCCTGTGTGTCTCTACAGGATCACCTGCTGTTACCGGCCATCAGTCACAATAAAACCAGCAGGCCTAAAATGTCTCTGGTGATGCCGGCCATGTCTGTGAACGGTGAGTCTGATTATTAAACACATCACAGCCTGTCCTTTCAAAATAAGAGCTGCAGAGATGTTTAATATTCACATATGAGCTCAGACTGCAACTACTAACTAATTTTTGGTTTCACCCATATCATTTTATATTTCCTTTAGCAAAGTATATATATATTTTTTATTTTTTTACAAAGACATGATATATTTGTTCTTGTATACTTATATTTATTAATTGCCTCTCCCTCCAAACACTTTTTCCACCTCCTTTCTCTCCCCCCTTTTCTACCTACATCCCCCCTCACTCTCTCTCCCCCCTCCCTCAGAGAGTCTGTATAACTCCTCTCAGGGTTACGAGATGATGATGCAGGTGGACTGCGAGGTCATGGACACCCGCATCGTCCCCATCAAGTCCTCCGCCGTCCCGCCGTCTCTCCGCGACCCCCCTCCGCCTCCCCCCTCCTCCCACCATAACTCCCACCATCAACACGGCAACCACACCTCGCTGCGAGGGCGCCACCATCATCACCCCTCCTCTTCCTCCTCACCATCCTCGCCATCGCCTCAGCAGCAACCTTTACCCGCCCGCCGACGGACAGCGGAATTTTTAATCAGCCAATCAGAAGGGGTCTGATGAGGCGTTGCCATGGTGATTTGGACAGAAGAGAAGGATAAAAACGGATATCTTTAAAAATGACTTCATCATCCCAACGACAGGTAACACATACACGTCTCTTCTTCCTGAAAAACAACAAAAAGTTCCTGTCGCCAAACACAACGTCCTCGTTCCGGTAGAAGATAATGTCCTAATATATAAGAATATATTGGTAGAAATGAAAGTGGGATGCAGACACGGCAGCACACTGCACTTAGAACCAGTGCTGCGTTTTAATATTTAACAGTGACAATGTTTGAATGAAGTGCAGAGACAGGAAGCTGTCGGGCGGTCCACCACCCGGCTCGGCCCACAGGTGGCGCCACCGGGCTGCACAGTTACGGTTTAAAACCTCTCCAGAGATCAGGATCCATATTTTTCTGCCCTTTTTGCCCGTCAGAGTGAAATCAGCAATAACCCAGTTTATGAATCATGGAGCTCGTAGCTGTGCAGCTCCAGCAGGTCCTGCTCCTCCTCCTGACTCTCCCACTCTCAGTCGTGGTTTCTGTGGTGTTTGCATTTGTATATTTGTGTTGTTGTGGGAATTAGACTACATGTAGAGAGTACGGTATCAGGACTGACGGCTGCTGCCTGAAGTCGGATCTAAAAGTTGGCTGGAAGGAGAGATCCTCTGCTTCTGGAGGACGAGACAGAAAACTAAATATCAGTCTTTATTATTTATTAAAGGATCATATAAAATAAACATTTACAATATGGATCCCTTAAAGTTTGTTATCAAAGAATTGTGTAGTGAGCAGGACATTTTACAAACTTTAAATGGAGACTAAATGACCTCAAATACGTCTTTTATTTTAATTAATTAACATACAGCCGAAGCTTATTATAATATATCAGTTTATTTCAGTTCCTGGCAGCTGAACATTTTGAGTTACAGGTTTTTGTTCATGTGGTTTTTATTCACACATCTCAGAGGAGCTGCAACAGCTTACAGTGTAAAACAAATCTCAGAATACAAACAATTAGACAATTGATTAATTAGTTTGTTTATCATCAGAAAAAGAAGCAACTCAGTCAAATATCAACACACAGACACATATTCAGACCCAGTGTCACTCACACTTTCCAACAATATCACTCTCTCTGACGTCCATCACAGATAACCGTCCATTAATCTGCTCAGAAACCACTGGAAACATTGGATCATTGGACACTTTTCTTCAGTATCAGAGTAATCCAGTGATTTGAACATTCATGGGTACACTGCAAACAGGAAGTGCTAATAGATCGTTTGGCGTACTTTAAAGTCGCCAGTTTACCAAAATATAAACAGATATAAGCGAACAGACAGACAGACAGACGGAGCTGGAAGTGAAAAATGTTCGGCATCATTCCACAAATCTGTTATCAAGATCAACTCAGCTGAGCCCAGGAGAGATTATATATAATAATAATAATAATAATAATAAAATAATAATAATAATAAATGATTATATGTTTATCATAATGTAATATGTTAGAATACGGAGGTTAAAATAAAAAGTCTTAGTGCCTTGCTCATGGACTCTTCCCAGGACCACTTCAGATCTGACTTCCTGTTGCATCCGTCAGATTTATTCATGTTTATTTTCTTTTGAAGAGAATTCCTGTTGTTGTTTTGAATGGAGGATTATTTAATATCTGTAAATATCAGTGTTTACTGTAGATATTTTGTTTGTCACTTTTTATATTTTTTTTATTTCTTTTGTCTTTTGACAACAAAAAGTCAAACAATAAAAAAAGAATAAAGTCCTGGAATAATGAGGCATTGGGGAAAAACAGACTGATGTTGAATTTTTATATTTTTTATTCTTGTGTTCCGTTCAGTGGACCAACCAGCTTCACTCGCTCATAACTCAGGATGTTCTGTCCTGATATATTTATGAAATTAATACGCAGATTTTTTTTATTGTACAGAATAAACTACAGTTCCTCCTGTAACGACACTATATGATCAGTTTGGTTGTAAAAAAATTACTGAAACCTTCCCAGAAAAGATCTTTACTGCCAAAACAAGATAATAATCGAGCCTTTGCAGACGATGTAATATTTTCTATTGTAAAAAAATTGTCGAACTTTCTGCTTTTTCTTCTGACCAAAACAATGTTTCAGATTATTTCCGTCTTCCTTATCTTGTCTTTCTGTCTTTGCCACTCGTGTCAGTTTCCAGCCTTAGAGTTTGAAAGATGCGTCCATTTATCAGAAGAAGCTGTTGAGTTACATTATGGGAAATGTAGGATCCAGTGGTTTTGGGGTGTCACCTCTTTAATTCCTCTACTTTATGGAAGTAAAATACTACAGTTCAGTTCCCTCTTCAGAGTTCACAGGTTTAAAGCAACAAAAAGCAAAGATTGACAATCAAAGAATTAAAATTTGAGGTTTACCACTTAATTATTTGCCGTATCGTAAAAGAACTACCTGAATATTTTGTATTTGTTAATACAAAGTGTGAGAAAAACGAGATTCAGTAAGAGAATAGTTGGAGGTTTTTTAAATGCACTTCTTGGTTTGCCCGCCAAAAGTTCACCATTTTCCTGAAAGTTAAGAAATACTCTGACACATGAACCTCAGTAAAACGGTGAATTGTTGTTTTTACACTTTTTGCACAGATGAATCTAACGAGAGATAACCTGTTAATTAGTTAATGAGAATAAGATTTTAGCCGTTTGTCTGTGGATTTTGTTTCCTGTGGACAGAGCCAGGCTAGCAGTTTCCCCCGTTTCCAGTCTTTATGCTAAGCTAAGCTAACAGGCATCACATCTACTGTACAGACATGAGAGTGGTGTCAGTCCGACTATCACTTTAAAGCCCCTACAAGGAACTTCCATGTTATGTTGATTCTGGCGCCCCCGTGGACAAAAGCGGTAGTGTGTCTACCGCCACGTTTCATTGATTCCAAGGGGAAGCCGATCGATAGAGTCCGATAGAAATATCCAATCTTTTCACAAACGTTCTTGTTTGTTTAAAAGCTCCGTGCAGTACCTTTAACTTTTTTACCAACTTGAAAGCAGATCCAAAAATGTAACCGCCTGCAGAACCCCGACCCTGCTCCTGTAAAACCAGAGGAGATGATGATGATGATGATGATGATGATGTCTTCTTGCTCCAGTCGCTCTCTGTTTGTTTCCTTTTGTGTTTTAGTGTGTGAAGTGCTTTGTCGTCTGTCGTCTCCAGCCTGCTGCTCATCATTTGTGTCTGAAGAAAAATGTAAAAATATGAATACAATTTCCTTTTTTTATTATTTTTTATACTGTTTGAATTTGTTACTTTTTGTGTAAAGAAAAATGCAAAGATGGTAAAAAAAAAAAATGAAGTGAACTGTTGTGTTCACAGAGTCACGTTCTTATAAAACACCACTGTTTGTTTTCTGGTTAAAGTTCGTAAAGATCAACGTTTCCCGTCTGGTTTGTGGTTCTTAACTGAAAAACCTTTTTACTCCCTGTTTTAAACGATGCAGGAAATGTAACATTGTCTGTAGTTGGGTATCAAGTGAGCTGCAACAGATCGTTACTTTTATTATCAATTAATTTGTCGGTTATTTTCTCGGTTAGCAGATGAATTTAGGTTGTAACTAACTATGTACCGACACTTTGCTGATACACTTATACCACTTAACCTTAACGTTAGTTCAGAGATATTTTAAGCAACTTTAACAACATTAGCAATTTAATTTGTTACAAATTATATAAATAAAACATGTTTTCAAAGTCATTGTTAGCACGGTAATGCTATTAGTGCATCCCTAGTCATAAATGTAAGAAAATATATAAATACAATTATTAAACTTAAATTTAAATTACATTTATTAAAGCTGCAATAAACAACTATTATTTAAAAAAAACAAACTTTTTGTCCTCTCGGCTCTGATTGGTTGTTTTTGTTCAGGTGATGGATTCTTGCAGATGCCATTAGGAGCCACTAGGAGGAGCCAGAGGAACCTGATAGTTTCACAAATTATCTGTCACACGTTCTGCTGTCAGGATGCTGTGAAATTTTCAGTAAAAAGGGTTATTTTATTTATTATAAAAGTTCCCTGCTGCAGCTTTAACGTGTTGATTTTGTGAAGACGAAGCAGAAAACCAGCAGATATTCACTTTTGAGCAGAAACCACCAGTGAACCTATCAGAATAGATGCAGATTAATTTTCAATCAGTTAATGAACTAATAGATGCTTTACAGCTGAAATGAATAATAAACAAGAACTCAAAGTTGAATCAGATACTGTTTGATTTAAATTGTTATTGTGTGAATTTGTGTTAAAGACGCGATATGAAACACAAACTCAGCACAAGTAAAATGTGATTGTGAGCCAGAATTTTAGTTTGAGATCCAGTTAAGAACCACTGACCTCTGAGTGGAGATATCAGATCTTCAGCTTGTTTCTGGCTCCTTTAACTTTCCGCCGTATAAACACACAGCTGAGTGTGTGAACGCATGTGCCCTGTGGTGACTAAAGGTAACCATGTAAATACGATACAATACGCCTTTTTGTCCTTTTTGTTTTTTTTTTTAAAATGGAAAAAAAATCATAAATATGTAAATAAATCTTTCTAATTCCCTCTGATGATATTTGAACTGCTGCCGTTTATGTTTGTATGAAATGAAGCGTTGACTTTGATAAAGATATAATAAAGTAACGCTCAGTGCTCCTGTTGTTTGTTACACACTCACCAACATTGTTAGCAGGCCGAGCAATACCTGTTAAGGAAGAATAGAAAGGAATAGTTTTCTTTCTATTAATCATTGTCCAGGAATTAGAGACAAAATCAATCTGCAGTCAGTTAAAACAAGAAGTAAAGTAAGTGTTCAGCTCTGTGAATGGAGGGTGTCATTTTGGACCACCATGTTTGTACAGTAGCCCAGAACCCAACACTTAGAGAGGGGAGCAGTATTCAGTTGGTTGTCATTGTATCTCAGTCTCAACAGTCCTTTGGGTCGATCAGAGGATCCCTCAGACCGACACCCCAACAACAGCTGCTCTCTATCAGGGTGGATAGAGAGAGGAACTGATACAGCCGGACAGAAACTCTCTGAGCTCTGTTGGGATGGAGCCGCTGTCTCTGATTGAAAGTTAGATTGTCAGTGTCGGTTTACTCGCTGACTAAAGGCTTATTATTGTCCCTTAATACCCTTTAAAAGAGGCATTTGTTTGTTTGATTTTTTCATTGTTCTCCAACTGGATATTTTTTTATTATGTGGTTGGGAACTGGTTCGGCTCCCACATCAGAATTATATAGACAGACTCTAAGTGATTTATGCTGCTCACATGTTCTCTGAGTCACATATGAGCAAAAATATCTGATTTATTTCTCCTTCGCCTGCAGTCTGAACTTTAAAGGACCAGTGTGTAGGATTTAGTGGCCTCTAGTGGTAAAGTTGCAGATTGCACAGATAGAAGAAACTCTGGTGACCATGAAACTCAAAAAAAATGCAACAGGCCGTTTCTTTGGTTTGGTTTGTCCGTTCTGGGCTACTGTCAGGTGATTAAACTCGAATGAAAAGATACCCCTGATGGACGTTTGACAGAGACCACATGACACCGCTGCAGACCACCTGAGGCCGTCAGCTCTCAGGCTCACCTTTAGTCTAACTGTGGAGCTGTAAATGTTTAAAGACTTCGGCCTGGAGCTCAGAGAGCTGCAGTTAATACCCGTCCCTGAGGAGACCGGAGGGTGGAGGCCACTGGGTCGGGGGTATCACTGCTCCTCTGTATGTACAGGTGTCCTTTACCTGAGGAAGACCCTTCCTGTAGCAGTGTGCAGGTATTTAACATGTGTTTGTGAAGGTAATGTGATCCTGCAGCTGCAAAGTAAAGTGCTGCTTAAAAACATCAGGAGGAAACTCTACAAAATAAAGTTGTATTTTATTCCTGCATGCTAAATGTAGTCTGCAGATATCTCTCGAAATTAGTTTGTTTTCATCACTTGGGTGATTCAGAGGTTCCCAAACTTTACATAATAGTTTCACATTAGACCACAGAAGTGTTCATAGTCAATCAATAATCAAACTAGGATCAATACAAATCACCCTACAACCCACTCAAGGACCCCTGTTGGTCCCCGGACCCCCGTTTGAAAGCCACTGCATTAATATATTCATCAGTTGAATGTTGCAGCTGGTGAATCCGGAGCTTTACTCCAGAATATCTGAGGCTGCTTGTTGCTGGTGGTTGGTTGAGCAGCTGGAGGGCGACATTACGCTGCAGACTGTAGATCAGACAGACAGACAGACAGACAGACGCACATTTCACCGTCTTTAGTGAAAACTGTTTAAACTGACGAGAGTGGACGGACCTACAGGATCATATATTTTATGGCAAGTCTAATTTCTTTTTGTTTCTACAAAAAAATCACAGTTTGCCTCTTTATCTCCCTCTGTACTCAGACCTTCGATTCAGGTAACAGAACTCCCCTAAAAAACCCAGAATACAGTGGAAGAAACTTCAAATAGAGCCACGGAGGAGGAATATCTCTCCCAGGACGGACAGACGGACAACCCAATAACATCACATTATATACAATACTCCTTATGTCCTCCAGTATCATCCCAGGGTTTTTCTAGTTTTACTAAGAACCAGTGGAGCAAAAGGATTTCATTAGCCCACTAATTTAATAATCCCATTACTATAATTACTCTAAAACATATCTGATCTGATTACATGATATTAAATCATGTTTCTTTGTGTTGGACAAAATATTTGTGGACTGAAAACAAGATGTTTTGTTCTTATATTGGTCCGATTGCTCTCAGCCACTCTGAGCAAAAAGAGCACACAATGAAGAGAAACTGTGTTTATATAACGCTTCTAGCATGAGGAACAATATCTGATTATTTTATAGATTATATATAGAGATTATAAAATATAAAGAAAGCTGTAGATATAATAAATAAATTCAGAGACACAGAAACACCAGCATGGAGGTCTGGAAGAGGACAGAATGGATCATAAAAATCCCAATATATGTAGTAAATGATGTAGTTTTAGGAAGTATTATGAAATATGACACAATAATGTTTACAATGTTCATTTACAACGTTTATTAAACTCAAACATGTTAAAATGAACTAGCTGGTTGAATTAAATCTGAATATAGAAAAGTGCTTTATATCTGTTGTTCATATGGTTCACTGATTCATTCTCATCCTGTTTGTTTATTTAATTATTCTTATATTGGATAAATTCTGCAGAATGAGGATGTCTCAGAGTCCACAGCTGTTCAGATAGATAACTCTGTGTGGTAACTGGAAGTAAAGTAACACTCACATCTCGTTCTGGTACTGATGTAAACCAAGCATCAAAATATACATTGTGCTGAATGTTTCAGAATCAGATATATTACTGTATTCTAATCATTGATGTATTAATGTGTTTGTCACTTTAATGTTGCAGCTGCTGAATCTGGAGCTCGTTTTAGTGACTTTGTATTTCCCTTCAGGGATCAATAAAGTTTTATTATTACATCATAATTTATCTGTTGATCAGTGAATGTAATGCAGTACAATATAACAGAAAGTGATCATTCACAAGTTACAAGTACCTTAATATTGTGCTTATGTACTGTAGTTGAGTAGATGTACTTAGTTACTCTCCACCACTGGAGGAAAAAGACAGTGAACAAGGTCAAAGGTCACAGCACTGCGGAGCGACCATTAAAACGTCTGGAGACAAAATTAATTTCAGAAATTCACATACTCTCTCTCTCTCTCACACACACACACACACTCTCTCTCTCTCTCTCTCTCACACACACACACACACACTCTCTCTCTCTCTCTCTCCACACACACACACTCTCTCTCTCTCTCTCTCTCTCTCTCTCTCACACACACACACACTCTCTCTCTCTCTCTCTCTCTCTCTCTCTCTCTCTCTCTCTCTCTCTCACACACACACTCTCTCTCTCTCTCTCTCTGTCTCTCTCTGTGTGTCTCTCGCTCTCTCTGTGTGTCTCTCTCTCTCTCTCTCTCTCTCTCTCTCTCTCACACACACACACACACACACACGCACAAGAGTTAGGACATGATATCATACTGAGGATTAGTAATCAACTCATTGATGAGTTTCCCTGGCAGACAGAGTGTGTGTGTGTGTGTGTGTGTGTGTGTGTGTGTGTGTGTGTGTCAGATGAAGTCATGGTGTGTACTTCACTGTCTGGTTTTAAAGCTCCGTATTAATGATTGTTTTCCTCCTCAGCAGCCTTTAAATCTGCAGCTGCTGACAGACGCCGGTGAGAGAGCACTCACTCTCTATGTCTCTCGCCCTTTCGCTCTCTCTCTCTGTCACTCCTCGTTCTTCATGGAAGATCATTAAAAAAAACTGTCGGGCTTTTTATTCATTTCAAAATTGTGACTGCTGGTTTAAGAACATGTGTGTTCACTTTCAGAGTCGATGTAAGAATGAAAGCAGACAGACAGACAGACGTTTATGAGCAGATCTAACCTTTCCTAAGTCCCACCCCTTTTTACTCTGACCTCCAATGAGAGTTGAGCACCAACTTCCCGATGGACGTAGGAACGCCACAACCGTAACTTTTATTGAACTAATTATTTTTTAAATTAAATTTCTTTTTTTAAATCTCACAGACCCCCTGCAGTACTCCAAAGTACCCCTAGGGGTACATGCGCCCTCATTAGAGAAACACTGAGCTAAATAATGATCAGTCGTTAGCAGTTACATCTCAAAGGTAATGTTAGTAGAATGACAACAAATGAACTATTTTACATACATATTTTTAGATAGCTGGATTAGCTAACTTTTTATTATATATCTCTTTTCTTTTAATTATCTTTAAATTGTGGTTGACTTTTCAACATAAACGAGTCCAGCACACGTCCAACCAAAAGTCGTACAGAGGCACCGTCCGCTCTCAACGGTTGTGAAGCTGTTAATGTTAAAGTAGAAAAGTTTAACTGCACTGAAGGTTTGAGCTGCAGAAAAACGCTATAGTTCCTTTAATATAAAGTTAACATGCTGGAGAGATCTTGGTGATATTTCTAACTTACGACGGTCGTGATGGCAGCTTTAATGCCGCTCTCGACCTCCTCGGAGCTCGTAAGTCTGCGGTCTGCATCCCGCAGGAGCAACAAGGTCTAGATTTACACCAGCGAGTCTCAGTTACAGGATCAGATTTAGAGTTTTTGTTGGAGGGCCAAAAGCTGCTGCAGCCTCAAACAGTGCAGGAAGTACAGTAGCACTCTGGGAGATTTAAAGCTGCACATGAACATGATTTTCACACAAACAACTTTTCTGTTGCGACTGCGTTGAATAAAACAACAATAACAAAAAAATAACAGCTACATGTGAGAAATAAAAGAGGCAGCCAGGCCACAAACTCTCCCTTAACCATCTTTTAATCGCTGTTTATTATTTTAATTAGGAGAATTATCTCTTTATAAACAGCTATTAAGGAAATTGTTTGGCTCCGAGGTTTTGTCAGCAGTTTGGACCTGATGACCTCATCAGAAGCAGCCTGAGAGAGGCTGTATATGTGGAGGTGTATGTGTGGGAACGAGAGTACATTATGTGTATGTGAAGGTATTTTCCGTTATAAACGTGCTGCAGTGGTTGGAGTCTCACTAAACAAGCAAATAAACATCGTGGTTCTGACAGCGTGCCAGTGGCTGACAGCGAAGGGAG